AATATATAATAATGGCAAAGGCATGAGGATGCTTTTCGCAAAAAATGTGAACTTCAGAATTGGACAAAGCAGCCCTTTGACGAGGTCAGTGATTAAAAATACAACCAGACGCTCAGGGCGTAAATGGAACAGTATATTTGGAATCCAAACATCGCGTTGTTTGTTATCCGAACGGGTCGCCGTAAATCAATGGTGTTTGCAGTTAGACACCCTTCTCTTTGCCCGGCGACTTCGAATTTTTATCCAATGAATCCAGCTAAGTGACAAGTTTGCAACGCTTTAGGAATTTAAAAGCACACTATGTGCCAATATTCAATGCTCCATCGTTTTATATATCTTATCCTTTAAACGAGCCATTCTTGTGTATATATATATATTATATAATCGGAATCTCTGAAACGGCTCCAACGATTTTTATGAAATTTAGTATGTCGTAGATTCGGGGGCGAAAAATCGATCTAGCTAGGTTTCATTTTAAGAAAATGTCCTTTCATCCCTGTTTTCAGGGAATGTAAAATATCATTCGAATATGACGGTAAATTTCGCCGCAAAAAAATGTTATAACAGCTCGGTCGGTAATCGGGCGGCCCCAAAACAGACGGCCGCGGTTCGTATCACGATTATTTACACACTTATTTTTTTTGTATCACATTGCTTTTTTATTTTTTTTTATTTCCAAAATACATGATTTACCAAAAAAAAAACCTCCTCCTCCAGGTACTATATATATATAACGGCCACGCAGCAGCTTTAGCTGTTGCACAAGGCTCGTCTGTGGAAGTACTCCAACCTCACGGAATACTGGCGTAAACTGGAAGTGTTATACTTTTGCGTTTCATCTGGCGGTTTCGGTACCGGGGCCCACTTTATTAAAAGGTGGCAACGCATCTGCAACCCTACGGGTGTTGCAATGGACGGTGGTTATCAGTTAACATCAGGTGAACCGTAAGCTAACTTGCAACCTTCTCATACACGCCTTCGTGGACGCAAGCACACTCAAGTTGAAATGGTAGGTATTGTTTGTAATATTGAATACGCTCGATATAACTATTAGTGGAGACCCCTCTCCAGCAATGGGAAATTTATTTACTGAGAAACATTGATAAAATTGCTTTTTAAATCGATTCCTAGCTTTTAGGGTTCCGTACCCAAAGGGTAAACCGGGACCAATATTACTAAGACTCCGCTGTCTGTCTGTTTGTCCGTCAGTCAAGAGGCTGTATCTCATGAACCGTAACAGTTACAGTTGAAATTTTCACAGATGCTGGACTTCTGTTGCCGCTATAACAAAAAATACAAAAAAAAACAGAATATGTAAATATCTAAGTGAGGCTCCCATACAACGGACATGATTTTTTGTCGTTTTTATAGATAATGGTATAGAACCCGTCGTGCGTGAGTCTGCATCGCACTTGGTCGGTTTTTTGAACTTCATTGCTACCATCAATTCGCAAACTATCGTCGATGCGAACGTATTTCACGGCAAATGGGTCGTTTGGACGGAGAAGCTTTTAATTGCAGTTTTAGATTTCACCATTCGCAGCGATATTTCGCTTTCGATAGCCACTGCAATTTTGTTTTATCGAAAGTTTTCGATGCTCATTATTTACGGTCTCTTACAAGCGATATAAAGAATATGAATTTGAAATGCGGAGTATGTTACCTTCTGAAAAATACGCATATTGAGCCAATAGTAAAAAATAAAGAATATAAACTTTCTTTTGTTTTAAACGAGAATAATAGAAAAAGAGCTGGTGGTTTGTATTTTGGTAAACGAATTCCAACTAACATAGTCTACAACACATGTACGGTAGCAGTTTCTAAGCCAACCGTTATTTGTATGGGCCCCGGTTACGTAGTCACTGGACGAAATGCGAAGTGTAAACATTTGAACTTTGACTTTTTGTGTAAGTCAGTCTCTTTATATAATATTAAAAGATGCTGTTTAGCCATAACCATCAGCTCTATCCTGTGTAGACTGGAGAAAAGCTTTGGTCATTAAATCTGTTTTTTGTAGTTTATTTTTTAATGTACAGTTTGCAATGAAGCTTCAATAATTAATTTACTAGTAAAATCGTTATAAAAAGATGGCAATTCAATTGCACGTATGGCATAACAGTGTTAAAAAAGACTCCGAAGAAACAGACGATTATTTTATGATTAAAACATATGAATTTTATGTGAAGATACTGCTGTTTTCAAACCCTAATCCTAAACGCAAACAACCGAAATTATTCATTGAAAGTGTGAGCTTTAGTCAAGCTCACAAAAAATATTCTCATCATAGCCTATCTTTTATGGAATAATGGCGATGATTTATTTCGACCAAAACAACTTTCGTTCAAAGAACCCAGAACTGGTTCCATAATGCTATTTTATTACTCTTTCAAAGACAAACAAACTGACGTGTGAAAAGTTGTAATAAAAAGCACCAATAGGGCGACAAACAAGTATGGTTTCTAGTCTGGTAAACATCAAAGTAGTAAATATTATCTCTAAAATGAGATTTACTTGTAATACTGACACTGAATTGTTGTAACTTATTTATATGATCAACTTTTTTTTTTTTTTTCCATGCTCATATAAGGCTGGCGTTAAATACACCTTTAAATTTCATCTGGCATTTAAGGTACCAGAGTCCATGTTATTAAAGGGTGATATTGCAAACACCTGGAGAGTGGTATTCACCCAACGTGAATACTTCTCAGAACCGTCACTTAAGGCCTTGCTACTACTAAGATTTCAATGTCAAAATTTGGTATAGTCATGGTGGATTTCCACTTTGACAATTTTTTTTAAGTGAGAAGGTGGCAGGCGAGCTTTCGGTACACCTGATTTTAAGCGATAACCACCGCCCATGGACATTTGCAACAACTATAGGGTTGCAGATTCACTTCACGCCACTCTGCTGTGAGGTCGTGGTACTTAAGAGGACGGACCTGCCCATTCGTGCAACGGCCAAAGCTATTGCGTGGCCCCACTACAATACATAGTACACTGATATTCTACAGTATATTGTCCGAATAGTGTTATTTTAGTATTCCGAAACATTGTTCACATAGAAACTAATAAGAAGCCTCCAAAAAACTTATAAAATATACATTACGAGCGGAGACAAACAACCACCGAAGATTCCCGTAAACAAGTTTATTGTACACGTCGCACGTTTTATCGTAAATTTCGATACTTTATTGCGGGCTATTGTTATGTTGTTTACTTGTTTTTCTTTATAATCACTATATATACATCTATTCAATAATCATTCATCTGTAAAAAGCTTTACGACCTCTAAAAAATATTAAATCCTTGGTCAATAAAAAGTATTAATACTTAATCTGGCAACAAACCTGCAACTATTTTGTTATTACAGATGTCTTTACACCGCCATGATTATCATGAAGAATCACTTGCCCGTTTACCGACTTCTCTTTTAAAGAAATAAAAGGAAATGGGATGATGACATCGAAAACCTTGGGGAAAAAGTTGGGGAAAATTTATCCATATTTTTTTAATGCAAATAGTAGAGTAGCGAGCAGATGGCTCACCTGGTGCTCCTACATCTCATAGGTAGGTACTCCTTATTTTAACTATCCGATACTGTTATGTGCAGAACGAAAATATCACCGCGTTCCGAAGAAAAGGGGTCCCATATCTCTTTTGAAATAGCCCCCGTTCATAAATTTTATAGCGCGTGAAATTGTATGGGTGACATTCACATTTGTCACTATTTTTCGTACCTATTTCGTAAAGAAATTATTTATAAATAAATCACCTATGAATTGCTGATTTCGAAGTGCGTTGGAACAATATTTTGGGAATTACCAAACATATTGTACCTTGTTTTTCAATTGTAAAGACAAAAACATTTGCTTATAATTATTGAAATTTACAAATTCTCTTTTGTAATCATTCGTCGAAATATTAAAATTTAATATAAAACGTACTTTATTTTCAATAAAACTTTTCTCTCACATCTACTGAAAAAAATAATTGCCGAATTGTTTACATGCCAATTATTTTTAAAAAATTTAAAAATTCTGATCTCTTTTAAAAGATCTGCCTCAGTGTTACTTGGATTGAAATGACACACTATTACGATGGAGTTGTAAAATCTATCAGCTCCTAATGGGCTAGTGGGTTTTACATTTCCTCCTACTCAGTCGTTAACTCTTTACAGAATGGTCGTGGTTGAAGTCGTGCTTGAATAACTAATGCAGCAAACTCCATGCACAACTATGGAGTTTGTATTCCAACTTTTATAATGTTTGTCTAACTCATGGGTCGGTCACATGGTAAATAACAGATACCTCGCGAATCGCTTGATAATCTGATATTTCGTATTAACCGCTTTTGTTACATTTTTTTAAAGCGTCTCACTTTTCTCTAGACTTCAATTTCAACGGGCTATTGCAAAAGAAACGATTGATTCTATAAATTAAAATTCTTAATATTTTTTAAGGTTTATTAGGTCTTTTAGGTTAAAGGCTTTGTTCATTAGCATAGTCCCATCGTTATAAAACACTAGCTGTTCCATGCGATTTCATCCGCGAAAATATTTTTTGCTTCGTCCCCGTAGCGTGATATTAAATACCCTTCAACCACCTCAATAATGGCTTTCAGATGCAAAGTTTTTTTTCAAATCTGACTGGTAGTTCCAGAGATTGGCGTTCAAGTGAACGAACATACTCTTCAGCTATATTATATTAGTATAGATTCTATGTACAGATAATTTAGCTACGTTTTAAGCTGATTCGCCTTACCCAATTATTAATGCTGTTGTAAACGGTGTCCACCTAAAATATAAATGAAACAATCATGAAAATAGAACATTTATTGCGGAACTAATCTTATCAATCGCACATCTATTTCTTTGGCACAAAATAATTTCTCATTATCCTATGTGTGCAACAATCTTAAACAAAAATAAAATATATTCCATAAAACTTCTTAACCACGCGGAATCTCAATAGACTTGTCACTTGCATAGGGTGATAATTTCAATTGCTCAACGGTTCAATCTCTCGCACGGATTCGATATCCGCCTTGCAGAAGAAACACTGTTTGCTGTTCAACAGATGCTGCATTATACACGGACTGCAAAAAATGTTTGTCAAATTTCAAGAAAACGAAGAAAACTCTATAGATCTACACATATCTACACATATCTACACACATCTACACACATTCACATCCGTCAAAGACCAATGTCTCCGAAGTCTTTTTAAACCAGTTTTTTTAATGTGTGAAAGTGGCAAGTGAGCTGGCGGTTCACCTGATGTTAAATGATAATCGCCGTCCATGGACAACTGTAACGCCCATAGGGTTGCAGATGCGTAGCCACCTTTTAATAAAGTGGTCTCCGGTTATCTCACTCAACAAACGAAACGCAGAAGAATAACCAATACACTTTACGCCGGTCTTCTGTTAGTCGTTGAACTTAGTCGGATGAGTCTGCCCATTGGTGTAACAACAGCAGACTGCAGCAGTCTTACCACAGGATAATGAAATTTATTTTTCCGTGTGAGAGCTGCGCAAAACGTTATATTAATTCCTTCCGCTACGCCAATTTTGTTCTGTTTTTCATAATTAATTCTATGGCCATTCCGGATAAGCGGTCTCCATTCCAAATTTCACACAAATCCGTTGTGCCGTTGCGTGGAAAGGAGACAAATCTTGATTAAATACTTACATACTCAGCATATATATACGCAGTTCATCCTTGTGCCCGCCAATAACTTTTGATTAATTGATCAAATTTTGATGGAGATGATAAATGAGATATGCGCTCACGCAAAAATAAACGATTAACGCCACACATGCACGTTTCAAGCACAAGAGGAGAAGTGAAACAGTTTCGGACCATTAAGATAATATTAGGGCCTACTTTTGAAGACCCCTACGTATTATTTCGGAAATACCTAAAATACCGTATTTCGTAAAATAATAGGACGTTGGACAGGCGATTTAAACGACCCAGGCCTTGGTGATGTCGATCTGCCCTTCGTGAGGCTTAGAGATCGATAAGTGTTTGATATGATTTATCTTATTATATGTCAACTATGATCCTTGGTAAAAACAAACCTAGCTAAAAACATTTATTTAAATCTATGAACAATTTTCCCATTTAAAAATGTTTTGAAAGCTTCACATTTTAAGTTTTATCTTAAGTGCAGAGACTAGCACTAAAAAGAATTAATCATAAAAATTCAATTGCAAAGACAGCATGATCGAAAGTGTTTGACATGCGTTAAAGTATGCATACTAAATGGGGCCAAGCATTGCTAAAAGTGCAATAACGATAATAGATAGATTTCGCGATTTACGCGGCGTGAGATCATCGGACGCTTAGCGCAGTCGGTTAAAACGTATGGGCATGTAAACAACAGACTCAAATTCAATTCCCACGGTGGCGAAAATTAAAAAAAATGTAGCACAATAAAAGTATAACTAAATAGACTTAATCGCAAAACTGATATCCCTCAATGTTTGAAGACCAAAGTCTTCAATCAATTTAGGTTGCCAGTGATGACCTACGAAACCGAGACGTGGTTCCTCGCAGCTGGCCGAAAGCTCAAAGACGCTATGGGTCGGGCTATACTCGGTATTTATTCGCATGATAAGAGTTCGTAAAGACATCCGCAGTAGAACGATATAACCGAATAACTGAGAACATTAGTAAGCTGAAGTGGCGATGGACCGGCTCTACAACTCCTATAACTCGTAGAACCGATAACCGTTGAGTAAGATAGATCCTTGAGTGACAGCCTCGTACTGGCCATCGCAGAGCACGATGTATGCAGACGGCTCAGGGTCGTGCTTCGTGGCAGTCCGTGGGGGAGACCTATGTTCAGCAGTGGACTCAAACAGGCTAAAATGATGACGATGAAGAAGAAAGATGAAACTTTGTAATAGTTTCGATAGACGCACCGGCAAGAGTGGTGGCCGCACGGCATGAACGCCGTATCGGCTGGCCTGGCGTAACAGATGGTGCAGAGCAGGTCGGACTGGGTCCCACTGGAGCCGGGCGAGCTGATCTTCGCGACCGCCTCGCGGGCGACACGCAACCGCCCTATCACCGCCTCTAGAGATTTTAGCTCGTCCACGGTGACGTCGTCCGGATCTAAACGGACAATATGACCAACCTTTTTCTATTTTTTTTATTAACTTCATTATTGCAATCTATCAATTTGATACGCACTTGCACGATGCCGACAAGTAACTGCTCCGTTTATTCATGTGCCTCTCAGGAAGGTTTTGGGGAGTCTTTCTTTTTAGTCTGCGAGCCGAACCTTTTTCTGCGTTTTTTTATGTGAAAAAGTGGCAAACGAGCCGGCGGCGCACCTGATGTCCAACTGATAAGCGCCGCCCATGGATATTTGTACACCCCTTTTTATAAACACGTTTTAATGATCTTAATAGGCCCTGCCTACCTCACTCACCAGGCGTAATGCAGAAGTGTAACGCTTTCACTTCACGCCGGTCGTCTGTGAGTTCGTGTTACTTACCCGGACGGACTTGCCCATTCATGCAAAAAAAAAATCGAAACTTCTCATTACTCAAACCTATGTATCACAAACACCAATTCGGACTACTTGGTAGCATATTTCTCCAGCACGGACGAGTCTACTGCTGCTGAGAGTCATTGGCTTTCTTCGGGGCAAATATTTGTATGGTACACAAATAGCCTTAATAATGTAAATATTGGTATGATTTTATCGGAAATTGAATTGGAATATATTGATTTAATGCGAACGAACCGGACACTGAGCTATTACGACTCATTTGAGATTTTTTTTGACAAATAATTAGATTAAAGAACTTAAAAGTAATTTAGAAATCATATTTTACGTAATTACGCAAAACATGCGTAATATGAAATAATTCAAAATTTGAAATAAAAATATTAAAAAGTTTTACGTCCCCTTTGCGTTTTCTATTTTAATAGGATGTTTTGATATCCGTCTCAAATATCACTATTAATTGCAATGTAATCTCAAATTACTTTTAAAAATAATGAATTGAATATTTCAGAGTGCACAGTTAACGAGACAAAAACAAATCGTACAATTATAGAAAGAGAATCGCTTGTCTTCAGACTTCCCAAGCATAAATTCCAGGCCATCTATACGGAATAAAGGCTCGTTCACAATGACTTTGGTCACCTTTTGCAAGTGCTGAAATTAATGAATCTTAGTTTTAATTTTATTTGGTATATATGATAATTTAATAAATTGTTATCTACATAAACCAAACAGATCTTTACGAGTACATATGAGTACATCACATTTTTAAAATAAACTTGCAAAAAAAAACATTACTAATTGAATCATATTCATAACAAACACAATACATAATAAAGTATGTTATATATAAAGAAAACATCAATGAATTCTAATTTAAATCGAAGTAAGATAAATCTGGTAAGTATATGAGTTTGTCTTGTGTTGTTTAACGTTTCTTCATTCATTTATATCCTTTTTTTTGTTTATAACATCTTTATAACAGACAATGAAAAACAAAATCATTAAAATAAGATATGTCTCATATCAGAGCCGTGATAGCTCAGTGTCCGGGCGCTCGCCTTTAATTCAATATACTCGAGCAACCCGAGTTCGATCCCCGGTGGCGGCACCAATGAAGTTTTTAACTTTAAGTGCTGACTTGTCACGTGCTCCGCGGTGAAGGAAAACATCGTGAGGAAACCTGCATATTTTCGAAATAATAACAAAAAAATATTTCGTAGATATGTGAAGTCCGCCAATCCGCAGTGGGGCCGCGTGGTGGACTATGCCCTGATACCCTCTGTATAGAGGAGGCCTTTGCCCAGCAGTGGGACATGTATAGGCTGTTACTTTACTTTTACTTTTATGTCTCATATCAGATGACTCGTTCGAGCCGTTTCTAAGGTAATGCTTTCCAGATTTCGTGGGTTCGATTTCCACAAGGATGAGGTATTTATGTGACCCACTGATGATTGCTCCGCATCTAGGTGTGTTCTTAAGGAGGGTTGCCATCAGACACGAGCAGTAAGAAAACCCAACCAATATCACAAACAATGGCGGCAAAAAAATGTTTCTACAATTAGGTATACGTTTTAAGTTGAAAAAAAAAACAAGCAAGCAAACTGCCATTCATTGGTGGGATAAGGGCGGAAGGTGGGATAAGAGAATTTAGAAAAGGATGTTTTACACTAACATCAGCGGGAAGATCAGGATGCAACATGCGAATGAGGCACCCAGCTACAGGGGCTAGGGCGACGTAGTAATGGATCCGATCGGTGTCAGGTAGGCCCCTGGCAACCAGACGCGCGAAACCGGCCCCGCCGCCACCACGCACGCACACGCGCGACAGCACCGCCATTAGAATCTTTGTCGATGATTCACGAACGAGTGAATTAACTATGGTAGGACCTCACAACAGTCTCCGCTGTTGCACGAATGGGCAGGTCCGTGAAAGTACCACATAACAGAAGACCGGCATGAAATGCAAGTGTTACACTTCTGCATTTCGTCTGGTGAGTGACGTAACCGGAGCCACGTGTGTTGCAAATGTCCACGGGCGGCGGATATCCCTTAACATCAGGTGAACCACCAAGTCATGTGTTACCTAATCACATAAAAAAAAGAGTTCCCAGTTATTTTGACAACATTTCGCAAATGACAAAATCAGTTTTACTCCCTGATGTGAATGTATGTATACAAATTCATCGTTTGAAATCGAAAGTTGAAGACAATCAAAATAATTACAACAGCTCTGGCGTTATTCTGGTCATTGTAGCTTTTACTGACGCGGTTAAACGTGTGCAACTTGCGATGAGGCGGGATAGTGGCCAGGTAATAGACAACCTTAACGATAATCACCATTATTAACAAATTTACTATACTGACTCTACTTATTAGCAAATTACAAACATAATGCATAAAAAACAATAATCTAATTATAAATTATTATTACCACTGACCTGGCAAGTGCGTCCAAGTAGGAGATCGTTTTGGTTATCGCTGACTTCGGGTTTAGTTAGCATCGTCGGCACCAAGTGGAGAGTCATCTCAAGCGCCCGAGCCAGCCCATGATACAGATCGAAGCAAGTCGCGCACAGTTTTATCTGACGCGGCTCCAGATTGGCGTCAATGTGTACTCTATCCATCTGGAAAAATACCTGGTCAATATGAGTGGCTAAAAACCACCCTTGAGACAGTCAAAAAGGACTTGTCCCGTTGATAGGTGACAACTATTACCCACCTCTTGCATCATTGTGATAAACTCCGAGAAGGCCCAGTTTAGCTGACTAAGCAAGGAGTTAAGGAACGATGCCGCCTCCTTGGGGTTCGCTAATAGATAGTCTCTCACGCGACTCTGGATTACTTCCGACGGACAGGGTCCTGTGAAATTTTGGGAATACGGAGATATTGTGCATAAAATGAGAAGTAAATTGAAATAAAGCCGAAAGAAGAGGTGCTAAATGAAATTTTAACTAACAGACTAGGCATTAACTATGTGTAACATAAAATATGTGGATGTATGGCGTATAATATGGATCTATAAAAGCTATCTATCGAAGTATGGACATACATTTGGGACAAAGGGTGTGTAAAAAGTGCGAAGAAAATAGATTTCCGTAATAACTAAGCAATTAAATCAAATCGACACCAGACGACATGCAAACCTATAAATATTTATTCTTCAAACCGGTCTTCCTCTAAGGTACGGTGCATCTCGGTCAAAGCAGCCCATTAAGTAGCAGAAGCAACTACGTGGTTTTGCTTTAGTTTTATTTAACTAACAATTTTTTTTTGACAAAGACATTACCGAAACATTGGCTCATAAGCCCAGCGTCCACTTTGGCTCCTAAATTATTCACTGTAGGCTCTCTGTCTCCGAATCTGTAAACAACATTACTTAAAGACATCTGGCTGTTAATCGATGATAATTTTTTTTTATTTTTTTCGACTTCTTAATAAACGAATACAACACTCATCTGAGTCTGTATATTTTGGAAATAATAACAAAAAAATATATTTCGTAGGTATGTCAATCCTGCCAATCTAAATTTCTTCCAGACAACCGTGGCGAAAAGATTTTTTTTCTAAAGAGACGTAAAAAAGAGAAAAGAGGGAAATGTATATGAATCACTAATAAACACAGGATGAAGGCATATATACATCAATGAAATACGCAGAAATTTCGGGAAAAATAGGAAAAAGAAAAAGGAAAGCAAAAACTTCAAACACGACTTAGTTAATTGCCTTTTTGGTTTAATGACATTTCGTATATACTAATTTGATTAACTTGTTAATCCCTATAACATCGCCGTTACTGGTAGTATTGATTCACTTCCCACCGTGTGTATAGACAACAAACTTAATTGTACTTGGCAGCCAAATGTGGCCACTGTCGGTGGCGAAAGCCAAATCCGGAGCCGTGCCAGAAACGGACGAGCACCCAGTTGGACTGCGCCCAAGCGCGGTTCTGATAAGGCCGCACCAACTCCTCCACCATGCACATCTGCCTACGAAGAAAATTATTCAAATCATTAAGAATCTCACACTTAAAGAACGTCAAATTCGGCCTTAATCCCGTATAAAACTGTTCATCGGAAATTAGAATAAAAATATGTTCCTCTATTATGAATAAGAAAAAAATCGATGCGCAAAGTATAAAAAGTTAACGAACTTCAAAATTGGCAAAGTACTTACTAAGTTTGAAGCGTAGCATCTACAATTTTTATGTCATTCAACCTTCTAGGCAAAGTCTGACATTAAGACGTTTAGGACCAAAGTGATAATTAATTGGGCCGATTAACATTAACTATTACAGAAACATTAAGCGTGGTTTTTTTTTGTCACATATCGTCTAATATGCAGCATGAATGACCAAAATCTATTGCAATAGAATTTGCCTTCATCGCAGCAGCATCGGCAATGGCAAATGTTTGACTGGTTATTTCTACCAATTCCATCCCTTCACTTACTGCTTTATCGGCACCTTTTCTATGGCCCTCATCGTCGACGGCTGGGTCGCAAACGACGCTAAGGTCTGGACAAGGGACTCTCTCGTACTGGCCAGCACTATCCGTTGATCCGCGAACTCTGCGCAGAGGAATCCCGCGCATGACACCATCAGCTCGTCCCATTCTGTGAATATTTAATGCAAATTTGTACTCGTGTTATAAATGGTGGTTTGCTTGCTTGTTTTTTTTTTTTTTCAACTTAAAACGTATACATAATTGTAGAAAAATTTTTTCACCGCCATGTTTGGAGAATAAAGGCATGTCTCAGTCTCTAAATACTGCACTACTTACGGTATGGGGTAACGATGTCATTTTATAAGTAGAATAATTCATTTTTATCTAGTGATGTCGAAGTTTTACGTGGAACCTGCTATTTGGTGAATCGGTACGGTCGGGTGCATGTACAGCCTCAGCGTATTGCACAGTTCCAACATGGCGTCGACATGATACTCCGGCACAAACGCGAATAATGACTCAGCAAATCCAGCTTGTCCGTTATCTACGAACAGATGAAAAGTAGTTACCTTGATAACAGTCTTATTGAATACTAGCTGTGCCCGTGACTTCGTCCGCGTGGAATTTAAAATTAAAAAAATTGTAATAATTGTTATTTTGGTATAATGTACCGTGTATACATCCATATGCATTTAGTAAAAATCGGTTATTTAATATTACAAACAGACACTCCAATTTTATTTATCTGTATAGATTGTGCAGTAGCATCATGACAATGAAGTAAATCTGAGAATGGTAGGGCTTATATTGTTGTGAAATTTTATCCGTTATGATGATAAACTCGGTATCATCAAGTCTTTCAGATTGACGAATCGTACGGATAACCGAAACAATAACGAAATGTATTTTTAAGTTTTTCATCTTTACAACACATTCATGGAATTATTTAATGTAAATTGTATTCGACTGCACGTGCTGAGATATGATGAGTAATTTTAGTATTTATAAATGTTTAAAAAAAGACTGACGCTTATCGCTGAAATCCTTTCGAGTCAATGCACTGTAAGCCGCTATAGGGCGAATGCAAAATAGTTAACACAATAAAAGGCAATTTGCATTTTAGACGCTCCGACGAGTTAGCCGGTTTTGATATATTCAGACAAATATTCTGCTATTACGGGCGATTCTCGACTCTCATTAAAACGGTCAACGTTGAAGTGAAATTAAAAATACAAAATTCACTTGTTATTGAATTCTCCCACAGCCTATTTACACTACCACCACTATTAGTTTTTGTTAAACACACTATTCATAATTTAAATCTATTAAAAATTATTTTCTACTTTTTAGTTGTCTAGCTGTGGTAGGGCCACGCAACAATGTCCGCTGTTGCACGAATGGGCAGGTCCGTCCGGGTTAGTACCACGACCTCACAGAAGACCGGCGTAAAGTGGAAGTATTACAAATACTTTCGCGTACATTGATTAATAGTCTAATATAAATAAAAGTATTTTTAACTAAATTCGATTGCATTAAGTACCGATTTAAATTAAATTTATTATAACTATAATTATAACATTAAATAAATAAATGAAAAATGAAAATAATAAAACTAATAAATGCATTTGATTAATAATTGTTTTCGTGGCTTATAGGGACCCCTTTCGGGTAAAAGCCTCCTCCAAGGACTTCCATTGTTCTTTGTGTCTAGCCAAGAATATCCAATTTTCTCCTGCTACCTTTACCAGTTCATCCGACCATCTAGCGCCTGGGCGACCTCTAGCCCTCCGACCTCTAGGATATCGACGACAGGTGGATACTAATAAAAGCATGTCAAAAATCAACTTACGTGGATTCAAAATATTCATGTGGGCACCAGAGCTCTGTCTAGGAGTCGCTGTTTGAGATGCTTGGCTTTGTGGACTAGAACGAAATGTGTGAGGGAAAAAAAAAGATGTTGTAAAACTATCCTACATATTCTATCGTTATTTATTAAAAAAGTAATTCCACAAACATCTGGAGAAAATTATAATAATAGTGATATATATTTCGAATTCACAGTGATATCCTTAGTAAAATGACAATAGCACGTTTTGAAAAATCTCCATGATACTGTGTGATTGTATATGCATTAAATATTTTATAATGTAAAAACAGCTCTATCACGTTATCTTTAACATCACTAATACGGCATCGACTCTCGCCTAAACTTCGCTAGTATCGTCTGTAATAGATACATAGACATATCAATCAAAAATATATTTATTCATATAGGCGCTTGCGCGCTCTTATGAATCGTCAAATTTTACATCAAAATATATGTATATAGTTTCGTAAGGTATCATCGGTTCGGAAAGCAGTTTCTGTTGAGAAGAGACAGGCAAGAAACTCAACAGTTGCTCTTTTTCAAAAGTATCAGTTTACAATATAACATACAGGTATAATAGTCTTATTCTAGCCTACGTGAGTATCAACAGTATTAACTCCACACATTGGCGTCGTCGAGATATTCCGTAATGGCATAGTATACTTTAACCATAAGTTGACTTCTAATTTTACGTTTAAATTGGTCAAGCGGCAGACTTAATATCGACTGTGGAATTTTATTATACATGCGCATAACATATTATAACTATTATGGCAATATATTTTCTAATTGTTGAAAATTTATTTCAAATGACATTTTTTATTTACATTCATAGAAAATGAACGTTCAAATGTTTGAATATCATAATAGGCAAAATGTTTCCATTAAAAAAAAAAGTTACAGTAAGTTTTGTTTTAACAAAACCATTGCATCGAAGTGATTGAAGTGCCGTAGCACTAAAATGGTTAATCGAACCTATGGACATGTCCTTCTTAGTACCCAGCAAATGAAGAGATAATTAGGTAACTTTAAAACTTAACTTTAAACAATGACGTTTAACTTTAAAACAATGACGTTATGTTACGGCATCCGGTCGTGTTCAGTACATTCAAACAACCTGATTTCAATTCCTATAACAGTACCAAAGAAATTTGGTAATAAGTATAATTTTTAAACCTTATTTAATATGTGCACGGTGTAAAATTATCTAAATGAAAACTTCATATCAAGGAAGTAACAATAAGAAAATATGAAATGAGGCTGTTTCCTACTTTTTTCTGAATTAAATTTAAGAATACCCTTGAAGAAGCTGTGGGGTAGTCACTAACCTCTGATCCGAGCTGGACGTGTACTCTAACTGGAGCGAAGCGTAACTGCTATTGCCGAGAAGGGAGCTTTTACCAGGCAGTATTTCTTTACTTGCGACCTAAACACAATAGTAATAAAAGCGTGTCACATAAATTACAATAACATAATTGAAGGTGTTATAATCAAGAAATAAGAAGTAAATGTGTTTTTGTTTTAAGAGGCTTCTTCGATTTATTGCCTACACTGTACTGTTTCCAAATTTAAGCATTTGTTGGTATATTATGAATAATCTTGGAGCCGACTCCAAAAACTATACATATAGTCAAAAAGATAATAAAATTTAATACACCTTACTTAGTATTAGCGTTAATTTGTAATTTTATTTCCCGAATTTTAAAACACTTTATAGTATATACTTTAATTGTAATTAAATTTTAGATTACACAAACTATTTTGCAATATTAAACAATTCTGTTAGCTGTCAAACCACAGACTACCAGGCGACTAAGCTAGTCTGGTATGGGAAATAAATAAACAAGGCCACTTTCCTCCGCCTTACTTCAATATGAGTGGCGTATTCGGGGTCAGAAGACAATCGGAGGGAGTACAGTGTACCAGCGAAGTGTTTCGCCAACTCCTGTTGCCGCTGTTTCGTCCAAATGGCACCGACCACCCACGCCATTTGCAGAGCGCCAGACACCAATTTCTCCTGAACAACTTGCAGTTAACCAGCTGTTTACTGCGACTTTTCACGTTAGTTATGGTGCAATAATCATCTATCAGATTCAGATCCATCCCAGGGACCTTTAATTTTTACGGTCTATGTCTGGCCCCCTAAACTATTTCAGAAATCATCTCAACCCATTTATTGCATGAAAACAGGACAAACCAACAAAGTTTTGAGTTGATGAATGCAAAGAATACAATTAATCAGATGATAGTGAGAAATCATAATGTTGTTTTGTTAAAAAAATACAGTTAAAGTTGCGGCCACCGCACAACTTAGTGGCTACAGTTTACTACAATACGCTTGTATTTCAATTCAGAGACGAGATCAATACTTATGCAGCGAAACAATGTTCGTGGCTAGAATTGTAATGGACTGTTATAATATACAATATAGGAGGTGTAACAGAATTTTTTGATTAATTATATTTTCAATGGTAGGCTCATCATTCGAGATGAAACTTAAAAGGTAAATTAAACGTAAAAAACGTGAATGATCAAAAATTTACGGTGCGAGGACTTTCTCAACTAACCAAAATGTCCGATGACTTCGTGCATAAAAATCTCTATATCTATATACTATCTTTCTTGGATGGAATGCTTGGGGCCATCTAGTGTGCATACTTTACATACGTAAAATAATTGGTTACTGGAAACACTCTAAGCATGCTTATATTACATTCACCTTAAACATAAATGTCAGTAGGTTGTTACAAAAATATCGTAGGGTAAAAAAGTACCTCGTAAACTGCCTTAGAGCGCTCCAATTCTTTAAGCATCCTCTCCATTAGCTGCTTCCTGACTTTATCCTCTTCCGTCAGAACTAATCCTTAAAAAACATTGTACACTCATACCGTGATTTCGCCTTTTATCATAGCAAAATCTCCATTTTCTTAGCATTAATGTCTATTATTTTAATTTTAAATATTGTTTTGTCTTCAATCTGTTATATTTCAGTCTGTCATGTATTCAGTCAGTTTTTATCGATACAATTTCATATAAGAAATTTTCCGAATTATTTGAGCAAGTTGTCATTTGTAAAATATAAGGCAAATACATTGAAGAAAATTCGTAAAAAATACAAAACTTACTAAAAGTCCTGACAAGATAATGAACAATCTGCTATCATGATTTATTAAACTTAAGATTCATTCAATGGGTAACAATTTTGTTGGCTTTAAGAGGACAAGTCTTTGCTCCACTTACCAAAATATAATGAATAAATAAATTAGAATACTAAACTAAATAATTTATACCACATATCCCCACTATATTTTAATGAAATGACAATGACTAATGGCGCTAAGCTATTTACTTCGGCACCAGGGGTCGTAAGTTCCATTCCTAAACGGCACCAGTATTTAGATTAACAAAACGATTCACATGTTGTGCCGACCTTACCGGGTCGGGGCAGAAGTGGCAGAAGAAATAAGAAGATTTTAACGATATGACCTGAAAAATATTCGAGAAACAAGACCATATGGCCGCTTAGTGATGTTCGAGATAAATTTAAATACACATTTCTCACGTACCTACACCTGCTTGCATTTCGGAGGAAACCGAGGCCATTCGTTGTTCGATATCGTGGAGGCAGTCTGCCAAATCGAGCTGGCTGTCTCTGAGCTCGCATAGCTTCAATCGATGCATTGTACAAAAATATAAAATTTTATAGGATCTGTTCACAACATTATATACTGAACAAACGATTAAAACATAAGGATTTGTTCATCTGTGTAAGCATATTTTTTTATGAGAGAAAGTTGCAAACGAGCTGGCGGTTCACCTGATGTTAAGTGATAACCGCCGCCCATGGGCATTTGCAACACCCTTAGTGTTACAAATGCGTTGCCACCTTTAAATAAAATAGGCTGCCTCACTCACCAGACGAAACGCAGAAGTGTCACTTCTACTTACGCCGGTCTTCTGTGAGGTCTTGGTCCTTACCCGGACGGCCCTGCCCAATCGTGCAACAGGGTTGCGTGGCCCTGCCACCGTAAAAATGGTAAAATTGTGAAAACAAAACACACCTCTATCAGGTATAATGTATAATTATAATCTAATATAAGTTGCGAACAATTTTACAGCCAAAAATAAACACGTGCAATATTACAAGATTATGGTGGCAAATTTCGATGGATTTATTTCATCTTTAAATTAATACCGTTCATTTATTACAGAAACTAAAATATAGTTAGTATTCTTTGCATCATTTTCGGCATTCAATATTCCAAATTGTTATTATGGAAATATGTAAAATTATCGGATGATGCATTACTAAATTTAAATACGAGTAACACCAAAAGTGGTTGGTATTCTAAAATGACAACCGCATCCTTATATTTGGTCTTTATCCAATTATACCGTTGCTAAGCCACCAGGCGGGGGGTCGTCGGTTCCATTCCCACACGAGATGAGTATTTGTGTGAAGCGCAGATAATTGTTCCGGATCTGGGTGTTTGTTCCCAAGGAGGGTCGACGTAAGGCAGGCGGACGATCGCATAAAACCTTGCCAAGACCACTATACAACACGATTCACATGTTGTGCCAACCCATCTAGGTGGGATAAGGGCAGGAGTATGATGATGATGATCGTAATGATGAAAAAAACTTTCCCTTTACAATAGTTTTCTACGTCATAGTCGCAACAAACAAGATAATAATGACTAATCGGATCAGAAAGATTTTTTTTTTTTTTTTATCCGAAAAGTTGTCAAACGAGCAGACGGTTCACCTGATGTTAAGTGAATACCGCCGCCCATGGACATCTGCCACGCCCGAGGGTTACAGATGTGTTGACAACCTTTTGAAAATTGGGCACCGGCTACCTCAAAAAAGATGACAATGTCATGGGAAACCGGCTAGCCAGTTCCAAAAACAACAATGAAATGAATTAACTTTGTGGTTCAACAGTCACTAGTTACCTTCGTACACTAGACACCTTATATATTAAATGTTTAAAAATGCGAATTAATTAGTAAGTAGTAATTAGTAAATTAATCAAGTTTTATCCATTTCCAAAGACAAATAGGCAATTAAAATTCATGTCAGGAAGCAGAAATCGAGAATTTTATGCGAGCTTTATTCGATGGTTATTCTTTTTCAATCTCAATGTAAAGGAGCCTATCGATACACAAGGAACATCAGACTTACCTTCTCCGCATGTTTTATAGCTGCACCGTGGTACAATGCCAGCAAGCCGTCGATCAACCTTAGGTATGCGGATCTCACGTCGATGGAACCAGCGCCAGGCATTGTGGACCTAGTCCCTTTTAATGCTAACGCTGTCTCGCCCGTGGTTCTACAGCAATACGTAGTTTCAGAGTAAATACTATGTTTCAGAACAATCTAACTGTGATCGCATGGGCATCCGTATCAGAATTTTTTAAGGAAAAGGATGCAAATGAGCAAGCCTGTCACCTGGTATTATGCATAGAAAAAATGGTATTAAAAATACTACATTTATATAAGTGAAGGTGACAGATGATACGTATGGTACAAAAATATATAGCAGTCAAAAGAATTGCAACTGAGGCAAACTATTATTATGTAATTAAAAGGCATACATAATATGTAATTACACCAATTGACGTAATTTGCCTCATTTAAGGTGCGCTAGTGTCATATCTACCTCGTATTTGTATATAATATCATCGTTTATGATAACCTGTTTGGCATCGGGGGCATCGCAGCGTGCATAAATCTGGCCATGGACGATATGACTTGAGGCAGGGTTGCCAACGCTGGAGATCCTGCTGCCATTTCGCTGACTCCTAAAAAGATACATTATTACTGCCAAAGGTATTTAATTAGTACTAATAAAAGAAGGTATTTAATCAGTGATAATAAAAAAATACTGTAAAGTATTCTTAATAATTTATTTATAGACAAAACAAACAGCATCTTGCATTGAATTTATAATTTGAAACGTGTGAACTTAAGCAAGACGCGTGACCGTCTTACATAGTCCCGAAAAGCCATCGGAATCACAGTCAATTACCTCCTCGGAATATCCTAGGGACGCGCTGGTGAACTTACAATGACAGCTTGTCTATTATTTTTTAAGAACATTATGACTTCAATAATAGTTACTACAAGTACAATTGAACAAAATATATTATAATCTACACCCACGCTTGGAACTTTTAACAGTCTTGTCTATACTTTTCCGAAAATGATTTAAATAAAAGTTACTAGCAACTACTAAAGTTACTTAAGTAAAAGTACTATCAAACAGTACATTATTATATATACAGTAGATTGTCTACACCCGTGCTCAAAAGGCTAAAATAAAATAATTTTAAATTAGTCTTACGAGGGCTTCCTACTCGGGCTTAAACCAATTCTCAATAAATGATTTCGCTTGAGGCCTACATGGTTAATGGCAGTGACGCTCTACCATTGTTCAATAGTGGACGTCTTTTGGCCGGTTATGATAATGATAACAATATTATATTTCCGCACTGCCAATGAATCATGAACCATAAAAGTAACAAGAGTGTGTATACCAGTGTCTATACCACCGCCTCGGTTGTAATTCGGTTCAAAGCTTTGTATGAACGCGTTATCCTCTCCTAGTACGTCAATTAAATCTTGCCTGAAAAGGTTAAAGAAATCAGTTTCATTGAAGCTATCTAAAAATCTATTCAAATAGGGCAGCAACTAACGCCCATTATATTCTATTTCATAATTACCTGAGGGTCCTAACTAAAAAGGGCAAAACGCCACCTAGTCGATCGACGTTGTAAAAGTCCAGCTCTCCGTCGATAAACGTTTTCGGTGGTAAGTGAGGCGGCAAATTCCTTAAAAAAAAAAAACAAGACATTAAGTAACAGTGGGCTTTAAATGAGTAAATTAAAGTCCGAAATGTTGGACCGTCCGTTCCAATTACATTTCAGTGGTTGAATTAATGCAAAACATCCTCCTGACCCTACCCATCTATATGGGGTCGGCACATCACGTGAATCGCGTTTTTAATTGTAACAGCATTTTCTTACGGCCAGCCACCTGCCTGACGTCAACAGTTCTTGGGAACAAACAATCAGATCCGGAACAATTATCTGCAGGAACCGATTCAATAGCTTAGCATCTGCACCACCAAGTCACCGACTTCTTTCTTGCCAGTATAACGTGAATTCTTCCATCAGAAGACTCAAGGAATATAACTAACAACACTTAAAAAAAGTGATTTTTAACGTCAAGTTATTACATGCTATCAAGAATCATAAGGACATCGTTATTGCTTTCCATAATATACCTCTCTTCACACGACATATCTATCGCTCCGAATTGGTCAATCAACAAGTCGTCCTTATTATTAATAAAGCTACGAAATTATTAACTGCCTTTTAGATCACGGGCATTGCAAAAATGTACCACATCGTGGATAACAAAATATTTTTGAACAGTAATAATAACAATAACAACTAGTAATACCATAGTAATGAACCAACTAAAGAACTTACGAAATACCGAGGGGATCCTCCGCAGTCCATAGCTTTAGTACTGCAGTAAGAAGTCGTGCATGGCAACACCATGAGATGGCAGGCGAATTACGGGAGACATTGAAGAGTCGCTAGAAAAATCACAACATATGGGTCGCAGCATCGCTGTCAACAGTTAGGCTACCTCACTTACCAGATTGACTACTGTCTACTGTAAGAACATAGTACTTTACCGAACGAGCCCCATGGCGCTATAACAATTAAAAGGGGATAAATCTCACTATTGCTTGCTAAAAAAAATTATCTATCTGTTCCTCCGATCTATTTTTCAAGTAGATTTACTCATATAATATATCCAGCAAATATTTTAGAAAAACTCCAGTTTATATTTTTTAACTTCAGATAATATAGACTGGAGATTTCATTCAACTAGAATAAGCTCATTACCATATCTAATATACAATTGTCCATTATGTATCTTCGGAACTTTTCCAAAAATATCTTCCTCGTGGACGGTACCACGTTCGACCCATCCGAATTATCGAGCAAGATGAGAAGAAACTCCAACTACAAAAGGATCGAATTAAATTCAAGACAATACCACATACAACATGTATAAAAATTTTAAATTTTCAGAGTGTTAATCTCTGCACATAAGATTAAACATTAAAATTTGTAGGAAAAAGAACGGAAAGTTTGTCGCCGCTGTGGGAATGGAATCCATAATATAATTAAAAACCTTCGCCCAACAATTATAATTATAATAGCCTTACACTTTAATTGTTTTATTTTTACTTTCCTCAAAATTCAAGTTATAGATTGTCGAATTTATTTTGTAAAACAAATCAAATTCCTTTTCCCTACCTGAATATTTTTCAGTGGTGTAACAGCTTCTGTTATCTTTTCACAGTCATTTTTGTACTGTGTTTCAGCAACGATATCACTTTCATCTATAACGTAATATTTTCAAGAGTGAATTTTCTGTTTGTTGTTATACAGGAACCGTATTACAATTAAAAAAGTATACCTTTAGTGTCGGTTTTCTCGGATATCTTGGTTTCTTCCGTTTCTTCTGCGAGTGAATCAAAATAATAAAATCAATTTAAGATAAAACTGATAACTAGATTAGATTTTTGGCCGGTTTCAATATTCTATCTACAGATAGATTTAGTTTCTGGAGATAGAATTTTAACGTAAGTATTATGGATATAATGTCAGTAACTTATCGCTAGTAACTACATCTATTTGTAGATAGAATATTTAAACCGGCCGTTAATCGATTTGTGGTTAAGGCTTGACCTCATGAATTTTATTACCCCTTTATAATGTAAGTATAATAAACTAAGCAGTGCCAACCAAAATAAATAAACTTATCCTCCAATATGTCTTAAAATAGAATTTCTGCTCCCCATTTATAAACTTATAGAATCAGTATTGCCTTAAACATTTTGAAAAGCACCTCAAATAAAATGAAACAAAAATAAAAAAAACAAAAATTAAGTTACTACATAAGAAAAATTGTTAAACAAAAAAGCAAATACATAAAATATTCATGGTAAAATGGATAATAAGCGTAAAACAGCAAAATAAGTCAGGAAAAACAATACAATTACCAATGATTCTCGGATCCGTTTCCCCTTGTACGGAGGTGGGCCTTTGCCACCAAGCCTTCTGTATTACGGTGCGCAAGACACTCTCATCCGGACACTTGATGTTGAGAAAGTTGTCAAATCTAAAATATGCGTGAATCATTGAAGATTATGTGAAGCTACCATTTACTTTCATCTTACAAAAAAAAAAAAACAGTCAATCTAAAATGACAATGATTACGGACTTTACGATGGCACGCAACAGTTCCATGAACTCGCAAAAGACCAGCGTAAAGTGGAAGTGTTATACTTCTGCGTTTCGTCAGGTGAGTGAGGTAGCCGGGACCCGCTTTATTGAAAGGTGGCAACGTGATTGCAACCCTAGGGGTGTTGCAAACATCAAGGGGGAGCGGATTATCACTTAACATCAGGTGACCCGCAAGCTCGTTTGCCACCTTCTCAAAAAAACTTTATATGTGGACATTTTTAATGGTTTATTCTTTTTACTGACACGCATAAAACAAGATTTCTTGTTTAGCTCCGGGATATATGGAATTATTTTTATCATTGTTGCAACAAAATGTGAAAGTAGTTGACAATTTGGAATAATCAAAAGCTTGTGATGAGCATTAACTTAAATAATGATCAAGAGAATGGACTATATACTGATGACTCTGTGGCGCTGTCGCCAAGGTTTTGGCTTCGGTGTCGGGGGTCGTGGGTTCGATACTCACACGGGACAACTATTTGTGCGACCCACAGATAGTTGTTTCGCATCTGGGTGTTTGTCCACGTGAAATTTATGTATGTAAAACGTCCTTACAACACAGGATAATGTTATCCTAAAGTAAGGGCAATGTTTAAAAAAAAAACTATACGAATGAAGTGTCATTACTTAATGAAGAAGGTCACGTAGGTCGCAGCGGGCCTAAATAAAATTATAAAAAAGGGTAAATCTATGAACCTTTTTCGTTTTTATTTCTTTATATGGAGGGTAGAATAAAGGAGGACCGTCTCGTATGGGGGATTAGTCGAAAAAGTGTCCACTTGTAAACAGCAAATTATTGTTCGAACTCTGACCGAAATAGCGCTAGTGTAGCAAGTGGAAATTATATGAACTTAGCAGTTATAAGCAGAGTGAAGTGTGCTGGGTTGAAAAATTTAATATTTCTCTTGACTTCTGTAGTTTTAATTTAATTTTTTTTGTTTCTTTAATTCCATACTCATTTTTGTCTATATATTACAATAAAATTTAAAAAATTGCGCTGTAACAAAGCGGAAATGTTTCTTTCCTTTTTTAATTTCGTATCCTACTCTAATAGTTTGTGGCGCTCTATTTAAAATTCTTCCACTTGCTACTATAGCGCCACCTTAATTTGCTCCCTTTCAAGGGACACTTTTTAATACACTGAGATAGTCCTCCTTTATTCTACCCTCCATATTTCTTTACCATCGTACCAATTGACTCGTATGGCCAAATACAATAAAAATTTGTAGTTGTTTAAGCGGGGATTGTTTAATTTTATTATTTATTATTATTTAAATGACAAAAAATTCTCAAAAACCAGTTTCCTAAATTGTATTTTCTTCGCATATATAAATATAAAATGTAATATTTGTACACCACAAATGGTGGAATATAAGGGACATTACAACTTTTAAGACCTATTTTGTTTTTAAAAATAAACGTATCTTCCTTTCTTTCTTTCTTTTCTATAAATAGCGAAGGCTGTTTGCCTAATTCACAAAATTCACCCGGAATCGCTGTTTAAGTGTACAAAATATTTTATATCGTGGTTCGTTTTGTTATTAAACTCCCGACAATTCGAATGCTTTACAGCTTTCATGGTCAGGAGATGGACGTTCGGGTGACAAGCATTGTTTACGTGTAGATAAATTGCCAAAATAAAAGTTTTCACCGCTGCCGGAATTCGACCCTGCGCCTTCACGTCTACGCATCTATATATTTTGTTCCTACCCACACGGCAAATGCTAATTGTATTAAAGCCCTGCAAGGCTTTTTATAATGTGTAATACTACATAAAGAGACTACTAAACTCGGTGAACGCTAATAAAACATGGAAGCCGCACGTTCATACAAGTGATTGTCCGTAAATAGCACTACAGCTCTCACCGACAGTTATCACGCGCATATAATTATATTTATTATTATTATTATTTCGAAAATATGCAGGTTTTTCCTCACGATGTTTTCCTTCACCGCTGAGCACGTGATAATTCAGCACTTAAAATTAACAATTTCATTGCCGGCACCGGGTATCGAACTCAGGTTGCTCGAGTACATTTAATTAAAGGTGAGCGCCTGTACACTGAGCTATCACGGCTCCTAATTAATATACAAATCAATAATACGCTGAATTATCGTCAAACTAAAATTAATTTATTTGTTAGTTCAACAAAGTCTACATTCCTGAAACCGTCTCTCGGTACGGTTTATAAGTCCCGAGCCGTCACGGTATAGTTTTTCGTTATGCCATTTTGCGAAAACTATGCTTCCATGTTTATTTGCGTTCACTGACTAAACTATAAATCATCACTGCAACTTCATACTTTCATATAGCCTAGCGTTCTTTTTAGACGCAAACGAACTAAAAATGTTGCCAATTGACACTTAACGTTATCTTGTTGAAGAAAACGTATTTAACCAGATGGTGGCGTGTCTCCCTGTGCTGCATCAATCCGCAAAGCACGAAGACTCCTTCGATTTGTTGTTTGAAGCTCATATCCTAAAAAACAAATACCCAAACAACTACAGTGATCATTATTTGATATTTACTTTGATGCGCGCTTAGGGCACATTCCTTCAAACAAGTTTAAATTATATATATATATATCTTAAAGTATTAGTAATTTAGTTGATGACGTTCATAAAGGGAAAACACACACTACAGTCTCGTGTTTTTGTCGGAGTGTCCTTTTTATGTAAAAGTTGGCAAGCGAGCAGGCGGTTCACCTGATGTTAAATGACCCTCATTTACGTAATCGTGGGCAACGGCCTCTTCCATATACATGCCGTTACTTTACTTTACTTTACTTTAGGTCATGTTATGTCCACGAAGAATCCAATCCTTTTACCACATCTCTGCAACGTTACGACCTGGGAACCTTCAAGAAGAGAGCATACTCTTCCTTAAAAGGCCGGCAATGCATTTGTGAGCCCTCGGGTGCTGCAGGTGTTCATGGGCGGCGGTAATCACTTACCATCAGGCGAGCCTCCTGCTCGTATGCCCCTTTTCTCCATAAAAAAAAAACTAGGAATGAATTTCTGTGACTCGCGTCAAACTTTCCATTACCGGCGAAACGGAATCGAACAGCAGACACTCCCTCACTACGCAGTGCTCGAGCACGTCGCACAACGCCGACTCGTCCAGGAAAGTCCACAGCAGATCCAGCAACACGCACAGCTTGACGTGGGGCTGCGTCAGTATCTTCGCAGACAGGTCTTCCTGCGAACAGGACGTGACGGGAGAGCTAAGCACCGAGGATTTTGGGTTTGTTTTCAACCGACTTCGAAAAAGGTCAAAGGAGGCTCTCAATTCGACTGTATTTTTTTTTCTATGTTTGGTACCTCAGAACTTTCGACAGAGTGAACGGATTTTGGTGATCCCTTTTTTATCTGAAAGCCGGTGCTTCCCATGTGGTCCCATATTAGTTTCAATTTGGGCTCCGGAGATACTTGGGGATCTCCTGAAAATCAATTATAAAATGAATACAGAGCGAGATATTTAAAAATTGGCATACAAGCAGGCGGTTTACTTAATGTCAAGTGAGCACCATCACCCATGGAAGAAAACACAAGGTTTTGCTAGAGCCTAATCCTACCTAAACTGACGGCATCGCAATTGCGACCCGCTTGCTTGTTTGGCCTCCTCCGTATGGAGGGTATCAGGGCATAGTCTACGATGCAACCCCAGTTGACGACCCGAATGGCGTAGTGGGTAGTGTACCTTCTGCGCCAGATGGTTCGATCCCCGCTACTGGAAAAATCTTGTGTGATGAACATAGTGTTTTTCTAGTGTCTGGGTGTTTATATATGTATAATATGCACCTATTTATTTACAAAAGAAAAGTATGTTTATCACTTATCTAGTATCCATAGTACGTTGCTTAATTTGGGACTAGAGAACGTTGTGTTAAAATGTGACCTAAAATATTTATTGCGGATTGGCGGTCTGCACGTGTCGTCGAAATATTTTTGTTGCTATTTTTTCTAAAATATGGAGGTTTCTCGACGATTTCCTTCATTGCAGAGGAAATGATACATCAGCACTTAAAATTAAAAGTTTCCATTACCGCCCGCATCGGGATTTGAACTCAGGTAACTCGAGTATATTTAGTTAAAAGCGAGCGCCCGGACACTGAGCTATCATGGCTCTCAAAATTACACTTAAAAATATACACTTACAAAATTCGCCGCCTTGTTCGTCGCGAAAAACTCCGCCGCCTGTGGGTCGACGTTGACGCTTCTAGACCTCAGTCCTAAATGTCCCCTGAAGCGCGTCAGCAGCTCACCGATAACCACGTACGAGAGCTTCAGACAAGCGCCCAGTTCTATTACCACCAGACGGCCCAGGGACATCAGAAACGCCTTTAAAAACATCAAAAACTTCACGGTACTTAGCTCTTATATAAGATTACAATGTTACATTACGACACGTTGCAATGTAAATTACAACGAGTTATTATTTCCGATTACAACGTAGGCGTCTTCAAGGCAAGAGAGAATATGTTTTTACTGAGCTAGCGCGCTTACCATCAAAGGCTGCATCGCCACTTACCATCAGGTGGGATGGCAGTCAAGTGCTGGCCAGTTCAAAATAAAAAAAAATCATCTAAATTAATTTCTACTGAACTGTGTAGATATAAAATCACAACGTGAATTAACGACGCGTCGCGATGTAGATTCTTGCGATGTAGATCTTAAGTAATTTCTACTGAGTTGTGGTAGGGACACGCAACAGTCTTCTCTGCTGCACAAGTAGGCAGATCCGTCCGGCGTCGGCGGTCCAACTGGCGTGAAGTGGAAGTGTTATACTTCTGCGTTTCCTCTGTTCCCTCACTTCGTTAAAATATGGCAACACATCTGCAACCATGGTGGTGTTGCAAATGTCCATGGGCAGCGGATATCCCTTAATATCAGGTGAACCACCATCTCGCTCTTCACTATCTTAAATTAAGAAAAAACTGAAGCTACAGTCATACGCACGCTGTATACTACTGTTAATACGGTGGTAGGGCAGCCTCGGCTGTTGCACGAATGGACAGGCCCGTCCGGGTAAGTACCACGACCTCACAGAGGACCGGCGTAAAGTGGAATTATGACAAATACTTTCGCGTTTCGTCTGGAGAGTGAGGTAGCCGGAGCCCAATTTCGAAAAGGTTGTCAACGCATCTGTAACCCTCGGGGGTAGCAGATGTCCATGGACGGCGGTATTCACTTAACATCAGATGAACCGTCTGCTCGTTAGCAAGCCTATAGCGAATGTCCTATATGAAACAAAGGCCCATCCGTCAATTGAAGAAGGCAATAAGCAGAATACACAAGAAATTGTCTGACTGTATAGACCCATCCAAGAACTAAAAATCAACCATAGCTTAGACTATTCATCATTATCATCCTCCTGCCATAAAGGCCGTAGACGTGAAACATGTTGTATGTTAGGCTATGTTTTTAAGACCGGTTGCCTACCTGACTTCCACCCTCCTAGGGAAAAAACACCCAGATCCAGAAAAATTTTAACTGTAAGTCACAAAATACTTGTCCCATGTGGGAATCGAACCCAAAACCCTCGACACCGAAGCCAATAGCTTAGCAACTGCGTCACCGAGTCATTAGTTTAAACTATTATTAGTCACTTATTCTGTTCAGATGAGTGACTGGCAGAAGTTTCCACTCAATCTAGTCGCATTTATTAAGTAGGTATCTTTATTAGAACTATCCTTAATTTTGTTCTTCCCTTTTCATGCTACTATCATGTGCAAACCCAAAACGAGAACTGCGAAAGGACAAGTAACAACGTACCTTTCTCGACATCTTCTTAACTTCAGCGCTCTGGACGTCGAGAACGTTTGTGGGGGACGCGCGAGGACTGTATACGGAGTTTGTGCTATCGATGCGCAACGCCACCTCCTCCTCGCCGATTCTCGATGCGTCCGACTTTGCCTAAAGACGTGAAAGAGCTCATGTCACACTATTATTTTTATATATATATATATACCTTTAGCACATTTCAAAATATCTCAGTATTTATCATTAGAATAATAACAATGAATAAATGCGTCATCAAAATCGACTTTCGAAAATCAATCAATACATTCTTTTTATTTGTGCAGAAAATACATGATTAAGTGTATAATACTTACCTTTACGCCATTATTAGTGTTAGTATAGTTAAATATAAGCAATTTACACGTAAGAAGATATTTTAAAAAGCTATTTCATTTTAAACATTTCAAAGTTTTATCACACTATTGATTGTTAACACATTAATAAAGGGAGATTTATCGGCTTACTTCATGATTTTAATTTCATATCGCTGTGCGTACGCATCTTAAAAATTCACTCTCATATTTTTCCGCAAAAAAAAAAACGAATATAATAAGTATCACACCAATTAAAATCTTACAACACTTGGCCGCCACATAAAAATATTACTGACAAATACCTTGCTCGATTTTGCACCGACCGTCTTAAAGTCAGAGAGATGGAGAAGATCATCTATGATAGTATCCAGAGACTTGAACAGGAGAGCCGCTTTGGCGCACTCCCTTCCCGGTGGCGCTTGCAGCGGAGCGTATCCTTCCACGGGAAAACTGTCATAAACGGCATATGTATGCATACGCAACACTACATACTATAAAACAAGTCATCCTGCTGCCTATCAGTCCCTTTGTGTGCTTAGATCTTTAAAACTACGCAACGGATCTTGATGCGGTTCTTTTTACAAGATAGAGTGATTCAAAAAGAACGTTAATAATTATGTATAATAGATACATTGCACCCGTGCGAAGACGGGGCGGGTCGCTAGTATAATACATAATATATTTATGCATACGCATAAACTTGTCTGTCATAAAGCCAGATGAAGTACCACGACCTCAAATAAAACCGGTGTGAAGTGTAATACTTCTGCATTTAGTCTGGTGAGTGAGGTAGCCGTGGCCCACTGTATTAAAAGGTGGCAAACATCTTCAACTCTACAGGTATTGCAGATGTCTTTGGGCGGCGGTTATCAATCAACATCAGGTTAACCGCCAGCTCACTTGCCAACTTAGTGAATCACACGAATCACTTTAAAAAAACATGAATGGCATTATATATTTCCACTGCCCGCTCCTCTTCACAAATGACAACCGTTAGGCATAATTTTCACCAGCCATTCTACTGTTCTCGATATTCGTATGCTTTATGCCAGGGCTTTCTCTACCAACTTTGCTACTAATATAATTTAAAGGCGCTAAGTCATAATCTCTTACCGAAAACTTTAGATGTTATTTAGAAAGACACGATTATTTTGGAATAATTCAGATGACTCACACGAACGGAACGTGGCCGAAGTTGGCGTAAAGATGCTCCTGCATGGCTAGTGAGACTGCTGGGAAATACGCGATACCAGTTCCGTGGGTGACATTGTCGAATGCGACACCCATTGATTCGCCGTTCCTATGTCAGATAATCAAAAACCGAAAGTCAAAAACCGGACTATATAAAACCCTTTTAAATATTACTAAATATATCGCAACTAAGATCAATGTATAAATACATCATGCGTTAAAAAAGCATCAAGAAGCCTATCTTGATGCTTGCCGTCAAGCGTCAGCGTGCCGTCAGTATGTCGTCGAACATAATTATGTTTCCCATAATATGGTGCAATTTAGTAAAAATATAGTTTAGCAGTAGACTTGCTCAGTTTCTATAATGATTGATCCAATGAAGGTAGAAGCAAAAGCTTTATTTAGTTTTAAAAGCGTACACAAGAATAAAGTTTTAATTAAATGCGTAAGGAGTAACAATTAAATACGGACCTGAAAAACTCCAAATTGCCCCTGTCCAGGTCGAGACAGCATCCGATGACGTCACCGGGCAGCCAGGCGTGGCCGTACGGCGACGTGGCCACGTTCCACCTCCTCACCCTGCCACCGTCGTAAGCGTAAGAGTTGGCCGTGTCGCCCACACCAGTGTCCATTGAAAATGTACAGCCGGCCGTGCACCAGCCAATCTATAAAAAGTATACGCCAATAAAATTACGAACTCTATTACAATGTTGACATTTAGGCCTACGGTTACTGGTAATTTCCTTAACAATACCCTAAACAAATAACAAATTAATAGAACACGAAGATAGAAAGTGTCAATAGAACTTAGAGGCTCGATAGTTGCTTTAGCTGCCAGTTAAAATTTCTGAGGCATTAACATAAATATGAGCAGCCTCTTCATTTCTATTTCAACTTCAACTTCATTAATAACATAATAAGATTAAATGAAAACGGAGTTCCCACAAGGCAGATTTTTTATGTGAGAAGATGGCAAGCGAGCTGGCGGTTAACCTGATTTTAAGAGGTAATCGCCATCCATTGACGTCTATAACGCCCTTGGGTTTGCAAATGGCACTTTGTGATAAAGTGGACCCACATGAAACACCGTAGTATAACACTTCCACTTCACACTGGTCTTCTGTGAGATCGTGGTACTTCCCCAAACGGACCTGCCTATTCGAGCAACAGCAAAGACTGTTGAGTGGTTCTAACACAGGCAGAGTTGTGATGCATAAGTTCGAGAGAGATCTCTCCATCGATTCCGGTCCATCGCGGTCCTAACCACATCGCAGAAATTCGGAGACGGTTCTATGTCCTTGAGCTGGTCTGTCCATCGTGCTGGAGATCGGCCACGTGATCTTTTGCCTTCAGTGTTTCCAACAACGATCAACATTACCAAGCTTTCTCCTCTTCTCATTATGTGGCCAAAGTAACTTAGGAACCGTTAACCGGATGCAATCAATAACGTCAAATACAATGTAAATTAAAATTCAAATGACTCTACATTTCAAATTCTACACAGGAATTTCTAATTACCTGCATAATCCCTTTGGTTCCTAGCTGCACTTCGAACATCCATTTCCCAGCGTAAACGCACGCGGTCGCCCTGATGGTAGCAAAGCTAGAGAGACCTTGAACGCTAACCCTTTCATCGCCCACTAGTACCAAGCGTCCAGTTCCTGTAAAAATAAATCGCACAGGACTATCGCTATAACCATACATTAAGTAAATGAAGTAATAATGCATATTGGTGTTAGGGCCACGAAACAGTCTTCGCTGTTGCATGAATGGGCAGGTCCGTCCGGGGAAGTACCACGACCTCATAAAAGACCAACGTAAAATAGAAGTATTATTTTGCTGCGTTTCGTCTGGTGAGTGAGGTACCCGGAGCCCACTTTACTAAAAGGTAGCAACGCTTATGAAAGCATACGGGTGTTGGAAATGTCCATGGGCGGCGGTTCGTACTTAACATCAAGTGAACCGCCAGCTAGTTTGCCACCTTCTCGCATAAAAAATGTAGTTGTAATAAAAAGAAACTTAATAACGAGCAAAAATGACCGAGAAATTTACTTTTTCTGTGCCTATGTTTAAGGGTTCTGTAGTTGGAAAAGAAATTCATAGTAGAATTTCCAACAGCTATTGACATTCCTATAGTGTCTATTTATTTAACGCTGTTTTTTTTTTCTAATTCAAAATTTTATTTTGAACTTACGTCTGGCTAGGCATACCTGTAGAGGCATCGAAGACAACAATCTTCGGTCCAATTCTGCCTGGTCTCTCGTCAGCTGTGTCATGTTTCTGGTTTTTGAAGAATTTTTTAAAGAATAAAACTAAACTTTAAGGAGATTGGTCCCGTTGTTTACTTGTACGTTGACACTGTACTTGATAAGACAATCTAAGATAAATCCTGGTTAACAAGTATCTAATAGTCAGTTACGGTTAACAAAATCTTTGTTAATTGTAACTTACTATAATTTGATAAAATTGTATATGTTACAAATTCTCACCACTAATGCACCTTTTCTTTGGTATTCTCGAAAGGATGTCCTTCCCAAAAACTGCCAATCTAAACTTTTATTAATTTTGACCACAGTATTTTACTTACATCTACAAGAGCTTGAGCGTGCTTTTTAGCAAATTTCGATTTGTGACTCATAATTTTCACATCTAGAACCTTCGTAAGATTATCACGAATGTGCGTCAAGTACTTGCTCTTCCTGGTAGAAAAATAAAGAGTGTGTTTAAATAGTGTATCGCTTACATCGAGCAAAGTCATTTTACAGTACACCAAATTTGCGTTGTTATTTTCGTTTCTTGAATAAATTTAGTACGAACAAATTTCGGATGAGGAAAGCGGAAGATAGGGCACTGTGGCGTACCTTTGGGGTCCTTTATCGAAAGGGGCGAAAGAATTCAGCAGTGGACTTCAATAGTCTGACTTGAATTGAATTCAGTTGAATGAAACCAATCTTATCAAAATTCATATATTCTCAAAACATCAATGAAATGAGCATTAATGAAAATCAACAAAGCTCTCACCCATAATTTTGCTTACACAAATTGCTATCCGATATTGAAGTACGATTACTGAAATTTATTTTGAACCGAGACCCCAGTATTCAATGACAAATCGCTTAGTTCATTTTAAAAATGCAAAGTAATGTTACAGCTAATATATGTTCCACAGCTATGCAAAGGCTTTATCTATACAGAGGGCGCTAAGTCATAGTCGAACACGCTAACCACTGTGTATTGGCAGACTTCACACATCTTTGAAATTTTTCATGTTTTCCTTCACCACCAGTCAGATTTCAAAATTGCAAGTAGCAATTTCATTTGGAATTTGACCTCAGGTTGCTCAAGTATACTAAAATAAAAGCGAGCGCTCGAATACTAATGTACTAAAAACATTTCTCTGTTCAATTCTACACATTTTAGCTTTGACTAGAATTCGTAACTAATTTAAGCGCCTAAATAGCTCGCCAGGCCGAATGAATGTTGTAAAGTATTCGACGCCTTGGCAATTTTAGTCTAAAATGAAAATCATTACCTACTTTCGTTTATCGAGACTAAGTAGTTATAAAATCTGATGTACACTTGGATCGACTAAACGACCAACAATACGGGTCCTGAATAGGGAATGATAGTTTTGATTTTTGTCATTGACAATTCGGTTTGCGGATCTGTTATGCTATTGATTCGATTCCCACGAAAATCGAAGCATACTTACATCTAAAGTAAGTACATCATACATGTAAGTATGATCTACAAGTAACTGTTTCGTATCTGGGCGTTTGTTTAGATTCAACTAGTGTACGTTTTTTTTTAATGTGAAAAGTTGACAAGCGAGCAGGCGGTTCACCTGATATTAAGTGAATACCGACACCCATGGACATCTGCTACACCCGAGGGTTACAGATGCGTCAACAACATTCTGAAAATTGGGCTCCGGCTACCTCACTCACCAGACGAAACGCGAAAGTATTTGTCATACTTCCACTTTACGCCGGTCTTCTGTGAGGTCATGGTACTTACCCGGACGAGCCTGCCCATTCATGCAACAGCCAAGACTGCTGCGTGCCCCTCACAGTTAAACGTACAACGCCTCTGGTACATATGAACCGGGAATATTATTTAACTGATTCTGTCGATCCGTGTTGTCTTTGAGGACGAGCTCGTTGCCGAATATCTTGCGCACCATGTCGTGTATCTCGCCCTTCTCCGCGGAGCCGCTGCACACCCCGAACATCGTCCGTAGGACATTCATCTCTCACAATTTCTCGGATGCAAATTATCTATAACGTAAGATACATCAAATAATAGATAAATGATATGAACAAAAGATATAAAAGACATCAAGAAACAAACATGATCTCTTTATGTTTGAAAATAATGAATTAAAAATGTTGCTTGCTTGGTAATAAATAGTGTCGCGGTCAATGCACCAAAATCAAAAATCAAATCAAAATCAAATGTATTTATTCAACATAGGAGCATTACACTCACTTATTGATAGTCAAAACACTACCACCGGTTCGGAAAATAAAGCCACTGTACTGAGAAGAACCGGCGAAAGAAACTCAGCGGGCTTTTTTTTTTTTTTTTTAAATAAGCAGTTTGACATAAATTCGTTAAAATACAAAATAAGAACTCCGATTGAAAGAGCCTGGAGCGATCAATTCATTACCAGAGTGTATTATCATTTAAATAATCATTAATATTATAGTAGCCTTTAACACACAAACGTTCTTTTACTATTTTTTTAAATTTAGCTATTGATGCATTTTGAACGTTTTCTGGAATTTTGTTGTAATAACGTATACATTGTCCCATAAAAGATTTACTTATTTTACGCAGTCTGCTTGTGGGTAGGATCAATTTATTTTTGTTCGTAGTATTTATACCATGAACATTATTATGTCTTAAAAATTTATCCTTATTTTTATGGACATACAAAACATTTTCAAAAATGTATTGAGGAGCAACAGTCAACATCTCTTGTCACCAATTTGTATGCCGTGATGCGACATGGGGACATAGGATACTCTCTTATTCAATATCTTGCATGCAATGTTATTACAAATAAATATTATCTACCCATTAAGGAATAGAATGTTTAACCCCCACCTCCCTCGCTCATACACACAACACAGCTCAAAAACACGCTCACGCATCCACCAATGTGCGTTTTGAATGCATTCAGTACCACGGCCTCACAGAAGCCCGGCGTAAAGTGGAAGTACAATACCTTCGCGTTTCGTCTGGTGAGTAAGGTGACCGGAGCCCACATTTCAAAAGGTTGTCAACGCATCTGCAACCTTGGGGTGTAGCAGATGTCCATGGGCGGTGGTATTCACTTAAGATCAGTTGAACCGTCTGCTCTCTTGGCAATTTTTCACATAAAAAAAATTAAAGAAAAATCAGGCACACACTATAAAAACGTCGAATCAGCCCGATACAACTAAAGGATAACTAAGGGTAAAATATTATCATTGTATATTCGCTGGATGATTATTGAGTGTATCTATTGAATTTAAATTATATTTTTACATCAGAACTACCTATAGTTCTAATTTCGGTTGCATTTCTTTATTGTTTAAAAATATTTGTTAGTGAAAAAAGATTGTCGCTTTTGTAATACATTAACGCTCCAATTGCTTACGTGGTTGATTGATATCCCGATAAAACTGTCACGTGTTACCAACCTGAGCTTTCACCATGTGTATAGGGTAAATGAAACATACCTAAACATATATTCCTTTTGTAAATAAATAATCAGCATAGATACATAAAATTATAATTTAGATATAAAAGAAAAGTAAAGATATTAAATACCTAATAAACTGAATGTTATCTAACAAACTAGCTCACGCGGCATAGTGCCTAGAGCGCTCGCCGCATTTCCGCTCTAAACAATATCATATTATAAAAGGTAAAAATTTCATTGGCCATAAATAGTTAATCTTAACTTTATAAGTAGCAAGAAAAGAACCAGACCTCTTGTTACCAGCGGCAGCGACTGATCAAGGACGTATACCTTACTAAAATGTGCGGGGAGCCCACAAAGTTAGTTGATGGAGAATAGCATCCAACATATACTTACTTATTAAAAATGGATTATTTATTTCTAACAAAATTAACCAGGTTTCGTGGAAAATCTTTGTAAGTTTCATCAAAATATCATCCACTACAGAAGATTCGAAGCAGATTAAATCATTTTGACAATTGATCAGTTTAGCAACAACTAAAACACCTTTATTTTTAAATTTATTTAATAATACAAACTTGTTTCCAGCCAGCTTCAAAGGATCACAGACATCACAGTTATTCAGTTTGTTGTTGTCTATTTTACCACGATAGCGTAGAATTACTAAGCATCAATTTTTATTAATGAAAAATAAAATATTGATGCCAAAGCAAGGGCAATACACATGTTCAGACCATTAAAGTTAAATGAAAAAAATAAATAACTTCTTACAACATCGAAACATGTTTTTTTTTCTACAAACGTTCCTTTAATGTCACAGCTATAAAACAACAGTACCTAGGTAATCTAAATATAGTGAAGCGTAAAACGTCTAGTGGCAAACTCCTAATCATAACAAGTATCGGCGACTTAATGGTGTTTATCAACACATTGCCGCTGCACGTCCGTTGACCAGCTTTCTAGTTCTGTACAAATATTGTTATGCCCTGCTGACGGTCGTAGAGTATTTTCATAAGCAGTTGCCTACTGCGTTACGTGCGTTACAAGGTACAACTCTTCAGAGGTTATTAAATATTTAAAGATAGCATTATAAAAGATTTTATAATAATAATAATTTATTCATACACATGGTACATATAGTGGTGTCTATATTTATTACAATAGCTCGAATATTTAAATAAACAACAGGAGTAAAAGTTAAGATAAAACTTATTACATAAATAAATACGTTATTACGAATTTTGAAAATTATTAATACCAAAGAATTAAATAAGTCTATTGAACACAAGTAAAATAATTATAGTAAATAAAATGTCAACATGATAAGAAAATTTTAAAGTTATAATAATAATAATAAAATGTTTGAAAAGTCTTCACGCCAAGCACAAAAAAAAACAATAATAACTAGTTAGTACTCGTGCAGTTATTGATGTCATAAAAGCAACATGTGAGCAGCCTAGTTTTATTCAGAATAGATTCAGTTTTTAATGTATATTGAATATATTGATACTCATAACATAACATCCCTTGTGATAAAAAGGTTTTCGGTATACAGTCTAAAACAAGTTTTGCTGAGAGTGTATATTATGATTAATGATTTTATTTACGGAATGTGTACTTCAAATATATACCACTAAGACCTATGTTAGATATAGTTACCTAAAATTCGACGGAAATAGTATGCTTTATACGCGATTTGCTCGAAGTGGTTTGTAGGTCCCTTTTCTTCTCGTTAAAAATACTCAAGACATAAATGAAAGCGCTTTAAACAAGGATTATTTTCTCCAATACATCGGCGAAGTATCGCCTGCAAACAAGAAAACTCCTCGACTTACGATAATCCGTTAAAAGCTGCTTAAAAGTCGTATAGAAAGCGGGTTGTGGGCGGTATAAAAGTTAATCTTTTACAATTCCTTCGGCGGAGCTTTTATACGTTTCAAAGGATTTGATTCAGATATTTTTATTTACACTACAGATATAGGTTTTACGTTGATTGAACACTAAATTCCTTCAGTTGCTAAATTCAGTTTTTAATTATATATTTAATTTTAAACGCACGTGATATTTTTACGAGCTAGTGATTCAGGGTTGGAGTAAAACGCTGGTGTTCAAACAATATTCACTTTATTTAAAAACAAAAAGGAAACCGTTCAAGTGCGAATTGAACTCGAGCATATACTTCCGTACATTATGTATTAAAAGGGCAATGTCTGTTGTATGGGAGTCCCACTTAAATTGTATTTTTTTTATTTGGTTTTTTAGTATTTGTTGGTATAGAAACAGAAATTCATCATCTGTGAAAATTTCAACCGTCTAACAACCACGGTTAATGAGATACAGCCTGGTGACAGAGGGCCAGACATACATTGGGGTCTTAGTAATAGGGTCCCTTAGGGCAATGAACTCTAAAAACGTGCCTGATTAGAACTAGTAATTACATTCATTTGAACTTATCTCAAAAAGTGCGTGATTTATAAGCAACTCATTTAATTTTTTTTACTCATTCATTACTAACACGCACACAAGTTCGTTTGTGTGCATGAACAGTAAAATTTAATATTTATGAAAGACCACGTTGTCGACAAGTTCTGTTTTTTAGGGAATAGAATTGCAATTTTTTGGAAAAAAAGATGAACATTTAAAAGTTTGTTTTTATTTCAATAAACGATTATACTACCGAGTCTGAACCTCCTGTGTAAATTTGGGCACCTTTAAAAAAGTATAGTGGCTTTTCGTGCTGTGAGGATGTCCACCTCTTACGCCAGGCCGAAAGGCGCCGGTTCGAATACTGGTAGCGGCGAATATGTTGCAAGTTTTATCTAATTTCATCATAATGGTTGGTCTATTTTCTATTTTTTGTCAACTACGCAATAAATTACCGACCCGATATTGTTTTATACCAGGTTTAGGATTACTTGCTGAGCAAAAAATCACAAAATGCTGACAGATTCCTTTGAACTTTAGACGCAATCTTGAAAAAATGTTTTTGTCCGATATCTCAGAAACTATGCACTTTAGGGCAAAAGTCAAAGTCCTTAATTTTGCATCTTTTGTTACTTATAAACTTATTTGTTAAACTTGCGGCTTACGAATTACGGCTAGTAACGTGATACTGGATTAATCAATAAAATGGTCTACCCAGTTTTAAACATCAATCTTTTAGTAGACCCTTTTTTTTCTAATAGCCATACTTTTTGAGCTATAGAACATTTAGTGTTATTGTAACGTCTAATTTGGTCCTTTTTGATTATTAATTACATCAACAATCAGGATATCTAATTTACGCTGATCTTAGACAGGCCTTGGTAGGAAAGTTTATACTTAATAGTACCATAGTAAAATTAGTTCAAATAAAATAAAAACGGGGTATTGCATCCTTTATTTCAATTAAGTACAAATGTATTAGTTCTTTGGACGTAAAATTAATAGATATTATATCTGATTTGACATTATATAATGAAAACACCGACATGTATCGTATATTAATCTTGTATCCATTTATTACAATTCCGAGGTGCAGTTAAGGATTTTACTAACGGTTGAATTCTAAATTCTAAATTTAAGCATGTATTCAATTATATGTTAATGTACGGCGTTTGTGTGTGAACTATGCATCTTTTGTGAAATAATTTAAAATGCAAACATATTAATTTCCCACTACACGGTAAAATATACCATTATACAATGTTACCTGGATATCCCGGGTCACCTCTTCCCCGCTGCGTCCCTCAAGACCTGGAGGACCAATTGGACCTGGAGGTGGATTAAATAAGGACACGGAAATTAAAATCGGCATAAATCACACAACGCTTTACAATGTCAAAATATATTTTAACAACTTTTATGTGAGATCATGATAGTCGTGATAAAAACATACATTGAGAAAGTTTCAAAAATAGAAACATATTTCTATTTGTGAAACTTCGCTAATTTTTATCTCTATCGTCCATTCAACGGCAAGATTATTTTACATTTGAATAGGTAATAAATAGACAATTACTTATCCAGATAATAATATTGAAATAACAACGTATTTATAAGGCAGGCATCCACAAAATGGTTTTAGACTACGTGACCAGGAAATTAATATCAAGAATTCATTTATCTCCTAAGCTCTAAGGTCTGCATACCTTGAACCCCTCTTGGCCCCTCCGATCCTGGTACTCCCACTCCTTCTGGACCCCGCTCTCCTTTGTCGCCCTTCTCACCACTAAGCCCCGGATTACCAGGTCTACCGGGCTCACCAACTTCACCCAGATAACCCCGAGGGCCCTGCATACCCGGTTCTCCAGGCACGCCTGTTTATCGAAATGTTTATAATGTATATGTACATGTGGTTTCTTATACAACAATATAAAAAAATATAGCAAAAGCAATACACTTTTAACTAATTGGCGCCTTATTTCGCCTTTCTAATTAACAGTTTATGAAAACGGTTTTACGGTGGTAGGGCCACGCAGCAGCCTCGGCTGTTGCACGAATGGGCAGGCCCGTCCGGGTAAGTACCACGACCTCACAGAAGACCGGCGTAAAGTGGAAGTATGACAAATACTTTCGCGTTTCGTCTGGTGAGTGAGGTAGCCGGAGCCCAATTTTCAAAAGGTTGTCAACGCATCTGTAACCCTCGAGTGTAGCAGATGTCCATGGGCGGCGGTATTCACTTCCTTAATAATCCTTTTTAATCCGTTAAAAGCTGCTTAAAAGTCGTATAGAAAGCGGGTTGTGGGCGGTATAAAAGTTAATCTTTTACAATTCCTTCGGCGGAGCTTTTATACGTTTCAAAGGATTTGATTCAGATATTTTTATTTACACTACAGATATAGGTTTTACGTTGATTGAACACTAAATTCCTTCAGTTGCTAAATTCAGTTTTTAATTATATATTTAATTTTAAACGCACGTGATATTTTTACGAGCTAGTGATTCAGGGTTGGAGTAAAACGCTGGTGTTCAAACAATATTCACTTTATTTAAAAACAAAAAGGAAACCGTTCAAGTGCGAATTGGACTCGAGCATATACTTCCGTACATTATGTATTAAAAGGGCAATGTCTGTTGTATGGGAGTCCCACTTAAATTGTATTTTTTTTATTTGGTTTTTTAGTATTTGTTGGTATAGAAACAGAAATTCATCATCTGTGAAAATTTCAACCGTCTAACAACCACGGTTAATGAGATACAGCCTGGTGACAGAGGGCCAGACATACATTGGGGTCTTAGTAATAGGGTCCCTTAGGGCAATGAACTCTAAAAACGTGCCTGATTAGAACTAGTAATTACATTCATTTGAACTTATCTCAAAAAGTGCGTGATTTATAAGCAACTCATTTAATTTTTTTTTACTCATTCATTACTAACACGCACACAAGTTCGTTTGTGTGCGTGAACAGTAAAATTTAATATTTATGAAAGACCACGTTGTCGACAAGTTCTGTTTTTTAGGGAATAGAATTGCAATTTTTTGGAAAAAAAAGATGAACATTTAAAAGTTTGTTTTTATTTCAATAAACGATTATACTACCGAGTCTGAACCTCCTGTGTAAATTTGGGCACCTTTAAAAAAGTATAGTGGCTTTTCGTGCTGTGAGGATGTCCACCTCTTACGCCCCTTACGGCAGGAAAGTTTATACTTAATAGTACCATAGTAAAATTAGTTCAAATAAAATAAAAACGGGGTATTGCATCCTTTATTTCAATTAAGTACAAATGTATTAGTTCTTTGGACGTAAAATTAATAGATATTATATCTGATTTGACATTATATAATGAAAACACCGACATGTATCTTATATTAATCTTGTATCCATTTATTACAATTCCGAGGTGCAGTTAAGGATTTTACTAACGGTTCACTTGGAAAGTAGAAGTATTGCATGTAAATACTGAACAAATATCAGAATGATAAGACGGTGAACTCCCTCAGAAGCCCCGCTCAGAAATTTATTTATCTAATGTATATTATGTCTTTGAGGTTAAACACAATGAAATAAACAGAATTTACACTGATTTAGTCCTAATTAAAGTTTGTGATTTAATGTTTTATTTTTAAATTATTACTATATTCGTATATTTAAGTGAGTAGAAACGCTTTATGACGTAAAAATATTTTACAGAACTTATAATTATTTGCACCGTATACACGTCATAATATTAGGTTTTAAACTTTGGCGTTTGTAAAAACAAATTTAAAATTGAAATAATAAAATAATAATAGAGAAATTGCTCAGTTCATATCAAAAGCTGCAAAAAGTTGTAACGATCGTAACTGGGTTGGTATAGTCAAGCAAGGGAAAGCACTATAACGTAAGGTTGCAGAATAGTCAATTATTTTTATTACGGAATGTAGAGTAGAATCAATAATACAAGAAATCTTTAAGGGGGAATAACATTTGATAAGGACGTCAATAGGGATGGACAGGAGATAAACTGTTCAAGGAGTGAGATATTCGAAAATAGATAGAGAATTATTTCTTAACATCTATGGACCCTTAAAATTTCCGATCGGCGAGTAGGCGTAATACGCAGCGGACACGGGACATTCACAGGTTCCCCTTGGGCCTGGGACTCCTCTAGGGCCAATGGGACCTATGAACAAGAAAGGTTTGGTAAGTCAATGATCACCTTATCGAAACAAAAACCAAACGCAAATATATTTTGTCAGTCGGACTAGAACAACAATTTTAACATAGTTTGGGAGCAGAGGTATTTACATGTACAAGTTTTTCAATCCTCTAAATCTTATATTATATAGCCTAAAAAATTATTAAATAGAAAATATACTGCTATAAATGTTAACGAATTAATACCGGAAACGGCTCCAGTGATTTTCATGAAATTTAGTATGTGCGTAGATTGCCGTGGTTCGTGTCACGATCATTTATATACTTATTTTTTTACTTTTTTTTCGATTCCAGATCATTGCTTTCTTTATTTTTTATTTTTTGTCCATCCAGATGATTTTGTCTTTTCTTTGAAAGTTCTTTCTTTTGTGAAAAACACCAGTTCATATTTCAATACTCAGTAATTTGCATCTAAATGTACTTTCCAAAATATACAATTTACCAAAAAAAAAAGAAAACAAACCGAGCAAAGGTCCTCCAGGTAATTTTTCTTTAATAATGTTCACGAAAGTCTTAATGATGTTATTGCTACAAATATTTATTGGTTGATTCTCAATTTATGTGGTATTTTTTCTATGAAAACATCAAGATTGCATTATGTTACAATACAACATTTGCACTCTCAAATGTAACAGTAATGATTGAATTCTAAATTTAAGCATGTATTCAATTATATGTTACGTATGTACGGCGTTTGTGTGTGAACTATGCATCTTTTGTGAAATAATTTAAAATGCAAACATATTAATTTCCCACTACACGGTAAAATATATCATTATACAATGTTACCTGGATATCCCGGGTCACCTCTTTCCCCGCTGCGTCCCTCAAGACCTGGAGGACCAATTGGACCTGGAGGTGGATTAAATAAGGACACGGAAATTAAAATCGGCATAAACCACACAACGCTTTACAATGTCAAAATATATTTTAACAACTTTTATGTGAGATCATGATAGTCGTGATAAAAACATACATTGAGAAAGTTTCAAAAATAGAAACATATTTCTATTTGTGAAACTTCGCTAATTTTTATTTCTATCGTCCATTCGCCGGCAATATTATTTTTCATTTGTAATAAATAGACAATTACTTGTCCATATAATAATATTGAAATAACAACGTATTTATAACGCTAGCATCCACAACATGGTTTTAGACTACGTGACCAGGAAATTAATATCAAGAATTCATTTATCTCCTAAATTCTAAAGTCTGCAAACCTTGAACCCCTCTTGGCCCCTCTGATCCTGGTACTCCCACTCCTTCTGGACCCCTCTCTCCTTTGTCGCCCTTCTCACCGCTTGGCCCCGGATTACCAGGTCTACCGGGCTCACCAATTTCACCCGGATAACCTCGAGGACCCTGCATACCCGGCTCTCCGGGCACGCCTGTTTTATAGAAATACTTGTAGTTTATATGTACATTTTCGATGGTTTCATTCGGTTTCGAATAAAATTAACAATATGAACAATATAGCACAAACAATCAATTTTTAACTAATTGGCTTTGACAAATTCGCAATGCGTTTCGTTATAATTTCGTCAATTAATCACAATTATTTACATCTATGTTCTCAAGGATATTTATTCATTACTAATTATTAATTATATATGAATTCCAATTAACAGTTAAAATGTTTCAAATTTGTTTTGTCCCTTACTATTTTGTTTTTAATAATATTAGATTTTATTAATGATATATATTACGGTGGTAGGGCCACGCAGCAGCCTCGGCTGTTGCACGAATGGGCAGGCCCGTCCGGGTAAGTACCACGACCTCACAGAAGACCAGCGTAAAGTGGAAGTATGACAAATACTTTCGCGTTTCGTCTGGTGAGTGAGGTAGCCGGAGCCCAATTTTCAAAAGGTTGTCAACGCGTCTGTAACCCTCGGAAGTGGCAGATGTCCATGGGCAGCGGTTTTCACTTAACATCGGGTGAACCGTCTGCTCGTTTGACAACTTTTCGCATAAAATAAAATAAATAAAAAATTAGATTTTATTTACAAAAATTGTTCCAAATTATAAATAAGAATTCACATAGGAAACCGGAAAAAAAATTTTTTTCTTAAGTTCAGGTATTTTAAATTATAGGTCGTAGTTTAGAAACACTTTGTGCAATCGTATATAATGAGATGTGCTTGTATTTAGGAAATAGGTAAACTAAATTAACAAGATACAGCGCTTTGCGAAATAATTTATCTACCATGCTCTAATAAACTTATTTTGTTATAAAAAAAATTAACAAGTTTTAATTTTTCACCACGTTGAAAAATACTCTGATCTGGCACATTCCTTCAAATCCTCTGTGCGACTACAACCGAATAATATTGACTGTACCAGAAGTAATAATAGTCACATGATACATGTAGATATTTACGTATGTTTTTGGAGCAGTGTCCGGGCGATCGCTTTTAATTCAGTGTACTCGATCATCCAAGTGCGCCAGCACCAATGAAATCGTCAAATTTAAGTGCTGAAACATCACGTGCTCAGCGGTGAATGAAAACATAGTGAGAAAATAATAACAAAAAGATATTTCATAGATTTGTTAAATCTGCCAATCTGCAGTGGGATTGCGTGATGGACTATGCCCTAATACCCACTGTACAGAAGAGGCCTTTGCCCAGCAGTGGGACTTATACAGGTTGTTATTTCACTTAAATTACCTGGAGGTCCAGCGGCACCCGGCTTACCGGGCGGTCCGCGCTTAATTACGCTGATCGTAGGCGGAGTAATGAGGCTGTCCGTCAGTTCTCTTAATCGAACTGGAAACAAAAGTTCAAATCAATAACTAATTAATCTACAGTAAAGCCTTGAAGGGCAAGATATTAATATCTTCGTGACGTTCAATATCGAATTTATTACAAATGTTTAACTTTAACGATCTTTGAAATTAATTAATTCTATTGTATCTTCATAGTTAGTTTGTGATAGAAACATCTCAATGTAAGGTTTAAGAGAGGAAGGAAGCGACACTAAGTAAATTTGATATAATAGCTAATAACATAACCATTAATAAACAAAAGATATTTATTTACTCTATTAACTACAAAAAAGAATAGGAAATTAAATCAAATAAACTTAGAGGTGGGATTATGCTCTTAAAATCGTCATGGTTCCGATTGCTATCAATTTTTCATGAATATATAAAATATAAATTTAAATCATAATGGCATAGTTCATTTGAGTTACATATTTAAGTACTTTTATTGGCATTCACTACCACTTACCCCTAATTAAATCCTCGCAAATGTTCCTAACCTCCGTTTCCGAGAGTGAAATTTCCTGAAAATATAGATAACGTTATCAAACTTGAATAAATAAATCAAAACAAATATCCGAAACTAATTAAGTGAAATTATCATTCACTAATCGTTTAGTTATTTTATTTAATAAGTATTCACGCCTTGAGAACAAATTAAACTATCTTCTTACTGTGTGCCATATAACAAAAAACCAGGTTAGTTCAAAAATAGGTGAAGGAAGTAAAAAAGATTCATTCACAACGAATATTTGTTATTCAAACATTTTCGGCGATTGAAATCTGAATTGAATTTGAGTGTCCCGTATAAAGGGAATTGCCCTAATACCTCTGTGAAGGTATTAGGGCAATTCCCCCAATGGCCCAGCAATGGGACACTTACAGGCTGTTACTTTACTTAACTTTATTAACGTGTGAAAAGTAAATAGACTAAACTATAATCCCAGGAAGGATGCTGAGGTATTTTGATGTTAAAGCTCTGAAAGATTTAATATAATAGTTACTAAACTGAACTTACCGGGGCAACAACACTGGTAGGCGCGGGCAATCCGGGTGCACCCCTCTGGCCTGGTGATCCCGGAATCCCGTCCTGTCCATCTCTGCCTGGTAGTCCGGATAATCCCGGATCGCCTTTCTGAATAGAACATTCGCAAAATGTTTATGAATTTATCTCTATGAGCCATCATGTCACGTGAGCATGATATACATCAATCAGTGTACTCAAGTCACTGAACGTAAAATCCCGGTACAGGTACCTAAAAAAGCCCAAAGTCGTTTCGTATTTTGTATGTATAAAGTTGTAGTAAAATCTCGTCGGTTTCAGCTACTGTTTGTGTCTAGCTGGTTTTAATACCACTGAATAGATTCCGCCGTTTTTTAATTTTTTTTATATCCGCCAGTATGAGTCAATTTTACGAAGAAGTTCGATGCATTTTGAAGTTTTATTACAAAAATGCAAATTAAGCCGCGAAAAAATTGTGACGATTATGGACCTAATGCAGTGTCAGGAGTAGCACAAAGTTGGTGCAAGATGCAGCTCGCTTGGTCACGGATAAAATCCATGCCATTATTTCTAAAAAAATTGGCAAAATCAGTATATTAGTAGTTCTTTGTGACATAGCTAAAGAACCGAGGAGACCACAAAACAGTTTTGACCCGTTTGAAAATGTCTTAACAATCAATAACCATAGTAAACGATATATATACATTAGTTTGTTTAAACGAAAATATATGTTAATAATCCGAGACGTTAATAATATATGTTAATAGTATGCCGCCGGCGGTCTTTCCGAACCTTTACGACCTGGGAACCTTCAAAAAGAGAGCATACTCTTTCTTGAAAGGCCGGCAACGCATTTGTGAGCCCTCGGGTGTTGCAGGTGTTCATGGGCGGCGGTAATCACTTACCATCAGGTGAGCCACCTGCTCGTTTGCCCCTTTTCTCCATAAAAAAAAAAAGATCGGTGAATAACATTTTCTTTAAATTCATAATAATCATAATCTAGCCAATCTAACTATGGAATTACGTTGGAATAATATTATTTTTAATATTGGCTACGTAGTTGCCTGACGTCAACCCTACTAAGAAACATTAACTCGGATGCAAAACACTACAATAAAAATGTATGGTACAAATACTTGTTTTGTGACACTAGTTTAAACGAGTTATTCGGTAATTGCCCTAGTGAGGCTTGCAAATGCGTTACTACTGGATTACCTTTTTTTAACAGGAAACTGTTTAGACAGTGGTTGATTGTTGCTATTTTAAATAAAATTTTAGCTTTAAAAAAAACTAAAAAAAAATTAAAAAATCTCTCCCCGGCGGGGAATCGAACCCCGGTCTCCCGCGTGACAGGCGGGGATACTGACCACTATACTACCGAGGATTGTAACAACTTTTCGAATTATCGATCATATTATAAACAAACATTAAATCACAATTTTTATCTTGTTCGATAAGATTTGCGCGTAATTTATCGCGACGAATCTTTAGATATCAAAATAATAGTTTATTGTCTTTCTTTGATTATATACAGCCACTAATATAAATCAAACCAGTTGATATGAGTTAGTAAGGTTATGATTCCACTCACGTTTAGCATGTGATTTGATTTATAAAATTATTGAGGATTATTTTTGTATTATTCATACACGGTTACGCGGAACAAGCACGATACTTTTTAAGATTTGACATCTCTGGTAAATTTACAAATATTCACGTTAAAATCAAGATTTAATGAATTAAAACACAACAACAATGTTTTATTGCAGGCAGTGTAACATTTGAGATGACTCCGTGGCGCAGTTACAGTTCGCCGTGAATTCGATTCCCGCACGAGACAACTATTTATATGCCCCACTAATGATAATTGTTTCCGGCCTGGGTGTTTGTCTGCGTGAAATTTATGCATTTAAAACGTCCTAACAACACAGGATAATGTTATCTTGCAGTAAAAGCAATGTTTTGGCGTTGATCGATTAATGTGGCGATGATTGTACTACCCAATCCCTTCCACACAAAATACAAAACAACGCCTGTAAATCAACTCATTATAATCAGAGGATTAGTTTAACAATTAATTTATTTTGCTATAAAACTTATCTATGTAATTAATTTTCGATTAATGACAAGAAAAAATGAAAGCTTAGTTCAGTTAAATGACTTACCTGTCCCTTTTCACCATGGGCACCTGGTGGACCTGGAGTGACAACGAGGTCTTGCGTGGCCGCAGCAGTGCCAGGCGCTCCGGGTGGACCTGGTAATCCTCTAGGGCCCTCGGGACCCTAGAAATAACAAATAACTTCAAGCCTGCACGCTATTGATTCAGCTTCTGCTGTAGGATTGCCTCCTTGATTGGCACAGAAGACTTAGCAGGGAATAATGAACATGACATTCAGTAGGAGTGGAATTTCAACGAGTTCTTCTTCTACTGAATCTTCGGTGGGGTTTATTGTTATACGCGGTTCGGTTGGTAAAAGCGGAAGCCCACCCATCTCATATTGCGGCTACTCTTGGACATCATTCATATCAGGTGAACCGCTTTTTGACACAAATCGTCCTATGGCTACATCGCAACCACGCCAATTCTGAATAGTGACAGTCACAATCTCGATTTTAGTAGGACTGGTGAACAATGAAAGTTAACATAGTGCCAGAGGTTTGCAAGCGCAAGGAACCAAAGAAAAAAACAGCAACTTTATGATTTATAATTGAGTACAGCAATAATATTGTTAATGTAGTGTTCTTGATCAAAATACACAATTCTTAATGTTTTTTTTTATTATTAACTAGTTTCTCAAAACGGTTAAATAAATATTGTTGATTTGGCCAATACCCAAGTTACTTCCGAACTACATATTATGTATCCATCCGATTGCTGAACCATGATGTCAAAACGTCCAAAAATAATTAAGTCAGATTCACACGAAATGTTTAAAATATAAACATTGAAGTAAAGAATAAAAAAAAAACTCACCGGTGGACCTTCAGGTCCTCTTTCCCCTGCATTACCCTGAAATCCCGGAAGGCCCCTTTCGCCAAAGGGTCCTGGTAAACCTGGTGGACCTTGGGGACCGGGTAGACCCTATAAAAAAAATCTGTTAAAGATATATACGCATGAAGAGTTGGTATAGTTTGAATCAAAATTGAAACAACAGGAAACACAAACCCAAGTATTATACAGACTAAAAATTAAGGAAATCAAGGTCTAAAGCATGGCATAAAAGCAGGAGAGATGTACTTGACGTCATACCTGTAATCAATTAAATAAAAAATGCGAAATAAAGTATTTTCGCGCCGTGGGGATATCGAGCGCCTAGCTCGGCTGGTTAAAGCACCTGTACACCGCGTACATACTCATCTTAAATGCAGACTAGCAATTAAAATAAAAAATAAACATAAAAATTCAAAAGCAAAGGCAACACCTCTCGTTCACATGTTCAGTGCGATATTTTATTTGAAAATGTCAGCATTCTGTAAAGCTGTTCACTAGGTGGCACCAAGTATAACTCAAAAATGCAAAGTAAAGTAGTTGCCGCCATTTTTAGGACATGAGGTTATAGGGCCTCGGATGATTAGAGCATCTGAGTCTGGGCTAAAGCGGCAGGGGGTTAAATCGGGTCCTTCGTGTTATGGTAAAAACTTACAGGAATCCCATCAGCGCCCGGCAGCCCTCTAGGTCCAGAATCACCATCTCGACCCGGCTTTCCCGGGTACCCTCTATCACCTTTCGCGCCTGTATGAATTTTATAAAAGACATGGATTTTGAAGTGTCATAATACCCTCTCCGGGCTATACTTTGACGCTCACGTTTCTTAAAAGATAAGTCTATTAAATATCATCATCATCATTTCAGTCTGTTTGAGTCCACTGCTGAACATAGGCCTCCCCCATAGACTGTCACGAAGTACGATCCTGGGCCACCTGCTTCCATCGACTTCCCGCACATTTGCACAGGTCGTCACTCCATCTAGTGGGGGGGTCGTCCCACACTGCGATGGCCAGTACGAGGCTGCCACTCGAGAACCTTTCTTCCCCAACGGTTATCAGTTCTACGAGCTATATGGCCGGCCCATCGCCACTTCAGCTTGCTAATCCTCTGAGCTATGTCGGTTACCTTATTATATTAAATATAATCTTAATTAATTTTATCAGTTTTTTTTCTTGTTGTGGTTACTCTTCCTTTCGCTTGTCTAATATAGTATATCGTCGTTAAGCTAAATTTATATGTCCGTTAACGAAAATGTGCTTATTACTTTTTTAAAGTGTTGCTAATACAGTGTATATGCTATGTTTATTCTAAGTTCCATTCGGGTCGGGTCAACTATTGCGGCATATAAGGGATAAATATATTTTCCTGATAGGACGTTAGTGCTAAGCTTTACCATAAATCAAAGAGGCGTTGATACTTGCAGGGGCCCCGGGTGGTCCTTGCAACCCGGGTTCCCCGCGAGGTCCAGTGGATCCTGGAGGTCCCGGATAACCCTAGAAATAAAACTATTACACTATAAGGGAAAATATTAAAAGCATTACATAGTTTTACCTTTTCGTTTTAATTCTTCGACTTGTATGAAAATTAATAGTAACGGCTTATGGACATGATGCTTGCATCATTTATCTCGGAGGGTATACGAACAATACATACTCCGAAAAGTATAATTGAATTGAATTAGTATTGAAAATTGTAAATATTTAATCAATTCTAAATAAAATATCAGTTCATAATGTAAACTTATTTCTTGATTTTACCATGTTTAAATTTTATTTTAACTCCCGACGTTCCAAATTACTTTCCTTATTTGAGTAAATAATTAGCCAAACTAACCATACCAAAACTATCCTTTCTCCAATGTTAACGAATTATTTCATTTTTAAAATACGCAAGTATAATAATAATTATTTTTCGAAGAAGCCGCTAGTCTTCAAAAATTAAAAAATACCACAAAAGTTTGATAATTTGCGCTCAGTAATAATTAGACGAGCATATTAATTAGAGTAAATTCTAAGTATTTTATACTTAATCGTTCTATATCAAGTTTCCCAATTATGAGAATGTTGAACTTTATTTAAATTGCTTTCAACAGTACAAGCGGTTTTCGTGTAAGCAACTTGATCACCTCAGAGAAATTATTAAGTGCTTTATTATGTTCCTAGCGGCAACCGTTCAGGTCTGTCCATTTATTAAATAAATTTTATATGCATTATATTAACATTAATACACTCAGTTAGATATAGTAGTACTATTTAATATAGAAGTGTTTGGTTGACCACAAAAACCCAATTAATTTGCACTTTAATACTCAATCCATTACTTTCAGTGTACAATCCTTTACCTCGAAAGTTTATTTATATTTTTTTTTACTTTATTGTACACAATTATAATACAGACAATCGGAACAAATGACAAAAACATGTACAAAGCTTAACCCTAAAAAGAGTTCTCTTCCAGCAGACCCTTGAGAACCCGAAGCCATAATACTATATAATTAGGTGAAGGTGTGTACATTATTAAAGAATTTACCAGAGTAATTATAAAAATATACAAGAACTAAATACATAATATGTATATATATATATATATATATATATATATATATATATATATATATATATATATATATATATACATATATAATATTTTTGTTTCTAGTAACTACCTTTTATTAACCCCTTTAGAGGTATTGTGCAAGTCAATCATATCTGAGTTACTTGTCCAAATTGTCATAAAGTAAAGTGTTTCCAATATTCCACGCGATTTATTTATAGCAATGTAATAATGATCATAGCCTGGATTGAGAATCACTTACATCTTTACCGTCTGCTCCCGGGAGTCCCGCCAAACCTACCAGACCAGCCTCACCCGGTTCTCCTGCAAAAAAAAGTGTAACGGTTTTTTTTTTAAGAGCTTGCCACCGAGCAAGCAATTGCTGAGATATACTTATTAAAATACATACTGCTAAGATATAGGTTCAGTTACATTCAATTACAATAGGACATGAAAAAAATAAAAATACTTATTGTTCAAGTTAGCCTTCGCAATCCGTCGTGTGTGTCCATCTATAATAAGGGAAGTGATCTCGTGTATTACGCTTAAAATTGCTTTTGCGTTAATAGTTAGAATAGAATATACCACTACAAACTTATAGATAGATAAGCCCATGGAAATTGCTCAGTTTTTATACTCAATATTTCACATTATCTTTAACGCTGCGATCAAGCTTATTAAAAAAACAAATTAGTATCTTATATGTATGGAGAAACCTTTTTGGCCTGGGTCACCCTTCATTCCCTTGGGCCCCCGTAGTCCTGGTACTCCAGGCGGTCCGGGGCTGACAGTACCCTGAAATTGTTTTAAATATTCAAAAGACCAATCAAATCATATTTATTTGTTATTTACTCATTCTTTATTGAAAACTTAAAAATAGGGGTTAGAACGGGCGGGCTTAATGCCTATTGGCATTCTCTACCAGTCAACACATTGACTTTTTACAAAAAGCTATGTACGGAAACAAATGTAGAAATGGTAATAGTTTAGATCGGTGCAAAGAAGTCGGAATATGACTTCTTAATGTACTGATGGGACCTCAAGAGTTGTTGTCTATTATTAGTTTATATTAGTTAACTGTATTAATATCACTACATAGTATAAAACAAAGTCGTCCCACTGTCTGTCTGTCCCTATGTATGCTTAGATCTTTAAAACTACGCAACGGATCTTGATGCGGATTTTTTTACTAGATAGTGATTCAAGAGGAAGGTTTATATGTATAATACATTGCACCCGTGCGAAGCCGGAGCGGGTCGCTAGTAAATTATGTAATAAGTGTGTGCTATCAATTAATACGCATTTTTGAAATGCATTTTAATATGATAACATATAACTAGATATTATAGACTGGGGGTAAACTTTATATACAAGTTTTGCTTAGTCCTACGTCGTCGCCGCTGAACCACAAGTTTTGTTATATGATGTATAAATTAAAAACTGATGTGGTGAGGAAATTAATACATAAGCCTCAGCCATCTTCAAGACTATTTATAACATGGTCCATAATAAACGTTTTAGGACATAGTTGTACACACCATTCTCTAGCCCCAAACTAAGCAACGCTTATACTATGGGTACTAGTTAACTGATAAACATACTCAAACATACTTTTCTTTTGTAAATAATTAGGTACATATTATACATGTATATACGCCTAGACACTAGAAAAACACTATGTTCATCACACAATATTTTTCCAAATAGTGGGGATCGAACCCACACCTACTGGTTCAGGAAGCAGGTACACTACCCATTACGCCATTCGGGTCGTCGCTATGGATTCTTTTCATCGTTATTCTTTAAAAATTACGTCATCTGGCCGTCTTAACTTACGAAAATATAATAACGGTAGAGGATTGGTACTGAAATGACACTTACATTAACTACTAGACCAGGCGGTCCAGGGTCCCCTTTATCGCCTTTGAGACCTGGTGCTCCCGAGTTTCCGGGTGGCCCTTCGATGCCGCGAATGCCCTGAAACATCAATTTCAGTCATGTCGTGTTGAAACATTTGATTCTACGGTGAAAGTAATATTATGTGAAACCTCAAATAAAGTATCAGCCTATATATGTTCCACTGATGGGCAAAAGACTCCTCTGTCAGAGGATATTAAGGAACCGGGAACTACGCAAACCCAATGCCGATTGAACTTGATGTATCTTCAAAATATTTTTTTTTGTTATTATATCGAAAACACGCAGGTTTCACGATGTTTCCTTTCTCCGCTAAGTATGCTCGAGTACATTGAATTAAAAGCGAGTGCACAGGCTGAACTTTAACGGTCTATTTATGTAAACCACAGGTAAATGTTCCTGGGGACTAGGGATCAGTGTTAATGCCCTAAAAATATATTTATGTGTCTTACTAACCGGAAGTCCTGTATATCCTCTAGGTCCTTGCTCGCCTTTCTCACCCGGTGGACCTTCGGGACCCTGAAATTTTATACATAAGGTTGTGTATATATCCTTTTCGTTAAATATATATTACTAGCTATTCGCCCGCGGCTCTACCCGCGTTGAGGCCCTTAAATAAATATATTTTTTTTAACTATTTATATTTATTTTAAAAGATCATATGTCCTTTTCAATCTTTATACAGAGTTCAGTGACATACACACGTACACATACACACATAAGAATTGTATATACATATATACAATTCTTATGTACGTGTGTATGTCACTGAACTCCTGCTAAACGGCTGGGACGATTTTAATGAAATTTTGTGCGTTTCTTCAGATCGATTCGAGAATGGTTTAGATTCACAATTCGGTCCACATTATTTTTTTTGATTTATAAGTTTTTTTCAGATTTCAGTCGTCTTACAGTCTTACAGAACGACGTCTGGCGGGTCCGCCAGTACCTCTTTATATATTTGTACAAAATTTCATGACAATTGGTTGAGTAGTTTTGGCGTGAAAGCGTAACAAAGAAACTTACATTCACGTTTATAATATTAGTAGAGATTCTTCGCATAAATAATTTACTTATTCTTTTTTCTTCTTATTTAAATGTAGTATTTTGAAATTGTTCCGTAGTGCCGAAAATTTTTCGACAATTTAAAAATACAAAAAAAACGTTCTTTTCTTTCACCTTGAGCGTAGATACTAGCACCAAAATAAAATCAATCACAAAGCTTTAAATAAGTTCCATTAATAATTATAAATAGAGGTATCCTGTCTATCCTAGCGCATTTTTACTAATATTTTTATTTTTATGTTTATCTTCAAAACTAGGTACTATAATCACTAGAAGATAAAATGGTAATGTGTTGAAGATAGTCTTGCGTAGTGGAGACAAATACAGTGCACTCAACTTCGCGCCTTAAAGAAAACACAATTTTTGTCAAATTACATGCACACCCGGTGTGACTTTTAAATATAAATCCGATCACCGTTAGATAAGCAGAGACAAAGTTAACGTATTCTAATATATATAGCCTATAAACGAAATATTTTGACAAAAAACCTTATACCTCTATACTTTGGATAGCAGAAGAAAAATTATCTGGTTTAAACTCAATTACAACTTACGGGCGGACACGTGGCATTACAAACTGGTGTCAGCATTGGGAACGTATTGGGTGAAGAATCTGGTAAAATTAGCTGTGAACAAATATTTAATACGTGTTTGAAATTAAACGTAGTTTTTTTTAATTACCCACTGTGTAAAAGATTTATAAAGCAACTCACAATCGCTCGACAGGTATTGTAGGTGTCCATTGGCGGCAGTTATTACAAATCATCAGGTACGTTCTCTCATAAATAATATGTTTCTTTTTGTAGGATATATTTTTATTCATATTACTTTATATTATGCGAAGGGCTATGTTTGTTTCTTTGCGTTATAAAATCTGCTAAGAAGTGATCCGCGGCAGTATAAGAGTAACGGACATGTTCATAAGGAAAAGTAAGCTGAAGTCGATGTCCAACAAAAAACTAAAGGAAGGTCAATAGATGCAGGTGGCTCAGAACTGGATCTTTGCGTCATTTTTTTTAAAAAGAGAAGTTAGCCGAGGTAACACGTAGTTGAAAATCTCGACTTAGAAAACTCTTAACTATGTACTTGGTGTCCTATTTATAGTGAAGACGAACTTACCGGTAAAGGATTGCTTGCAGTCAAAGGTTCAGATAATTCCTGCAACAATAAATAATTTCTATAATTAATATTTTACTTCCAATAACATTCTTCCTGGGCTTAAGAAAGATGTACATAACCCGATTGGCGTGGGGAGTGGTGAACTTGTTTCTCGCGCCAGACTTCGATCCACAGTACTGCAAAAATTGTGTGTGATGAACATAGTGTTTTTCCAGTGTCTGGGTGTTTATGTATGTATAATATGTATTTATTTACAAAAGAAGTTCAAGTATGTTTATCAGTTATCTAGTACCCATAGTACAAGCGTTGCTTAGTTTGGGACTAGAGAACGTTGTGTAATAATGTGTCCTAAAATATTTATTTATTTTATTTACTTAACTTCTTCGCATTTCTAATATTAGTGGAGTTCAGATTTTACATTCGCATGAGTATACAACAATAGTAGTAGGAGTATATAACAAGAAAATAATGAATTAGTTATTAATCAGGAAAGATACAAAACACATAAATAATGAAAATATTTTGGTCGTTCCTCGTCACGTATTATCCATTATTTGGAGCGGTACTTACAATTTCCTCGCAACTATCCTCTGTGAGATTGTAATGGTTGCAACTCAGCGAAAGCCATTGTAGGTCTATCTGCAAAATGATGATATGTTGTTATTGTACTGAAAAACAATAAGCCCTAATGGCTGGAACGGCACTTCGTTCATGGAGCCGTAGATTCTAATCCTAATGAAATAATGTACAATGGTGAATCTCATTGCGATTCATTTTATTTTATTTCATTTTTATTTTTTACTTTTCAAATCACGATTTCATGTTTTTCAAATCTATATCTCCAAAAATCACGACCTCATATCGTACACAATTTACTTTAACAAGGTGCATCACTTGTCACAATAAAATAAGCATATATCAGCTCCCCTTCCCAACGCGGTGTGATTTAGTAGCCGTGGCTTAATGTCTTACGATGCATCCAAGAACCAACCTAGGAAGCAACTCTCAGTTGCCACACAATGCCGAGGTACACGTATAATAAGGCCCCATGAGGCCATTCTATATTGCCTTATTTAAGACCGCACGGAGAAGATGCGAGGGACAGTTTAAAGTAAGTAGATGAGACTATAAGCCATACTTCTTTTAGTTAACATTTTATTTTATCAGGGATAACGAACAGCTACACTGTATGTTAAAAACACTTCTTTCATTACAACTTACACTTCTTTCACACTTACACTTCTTTCATTTGTTGTGTGGAACTTGTTTCGTTTGCCACACTTATTTAAAGGTGGCAACGCATTTGCAACCCTATGAGTGTTGCAATTGTCCATGGGCGGCAGTTATCACTTAACACCAGGTGAACTGCCAGCTCGTTTGCCACTTTGTCACATAAAAAAATACAATTTAAAGGTAGGTGTTACAGCGGTGGTAGCAAACAGAGAATTGGCTTAATGCGAAGATGGCGAACAAAACGTGGTCGAAGTGGTGTGCTGGACTTTGGGCTGTGGCGTATTTTTTCGACTTCCATCTACCGGCGTTAGCACAGAGCTTGATATCATGCTTGAAAAGGTTTGGACTTACCGGCGCTGGTGATCCGTCGTCGTTGGATACTATAGACACTGTGGTTGCGTTTCGAAAGTCGTGTTTCCTTATCTTCTCCGGCAACAACTGGTGAATGATTATTTATTTGATTAACATTTTTTTTCTGGTTATATGTATATACTATTATGTATTTCTATGTATGTACTTTTCTTTATATTTATTTAGTACACCCCTGCCACTTTCTTCTTTTAATGAATTTCTCTGACGCACTTACTTCTTTGCAATCAATAGCCACATGCACTGTGTCATCGGTGACTGCCACGTGTATTTTATGCCAGCCGGCGATGAATAACTGAAAGCATAACAAATATTTTTTTTACTAGATAAAGTGATTCAAGCGGAAGGTTTATATGTATAATACATTGCACCCTTGCGAAGCAGAGGCAGATCGCTTGTAAATAATAATCTAAACTCAAGCAGCCATTATAATAATAAGAAATAGAAACAAAAAAAACCAGCCAAGTACGAGTCGGACTCGCAATCGAATGGTTCAGTATATATAAAAACGGCAATAACATCATGTCTTTTGTATGGGAGCCACTAAAACATTTTTAATTCTATTTTTAGTACTTATAGCGGCAACAGAAATACATAATCTGTGAAACTTCCAAACTTAAACAGTTTGGAATTTTCACTATCACGGTTCATGAGAAACAGGCGGACAGACAGACAGCGGAGTCTTAGTAATAGGGTCCCGTTTTACCCTTTGGGTACGGTACCCTAAAAAAGGGAATTATTTAAATCAAAGTTCATATTTTTTATTATATCCATTCCACTATGCATCATATTAAAAGAATAACAATTTTGCCACAAGTCGCTTGTTTCCAATGAAATTTTGAAGGAAAAAAAACGCATCAGCTTTTTCCATTATGCGTGCATTAAATGAAATACTTATAAAATGTAAATTATAGAGACCATATCGAAAGTTGGGAGTAACAGGTTGATAATCAAAGTAAAGTTTGCAGGAGAGGTATTGAAATTTCTCAGGGACTGAATACGTAACATATACGACATTCGTTATTCGACAGTTTCGTTTCTATGTTCAGCTAATGTTTTTGTACTATGTCCTGGTTAAGATATAGTTTAAGCCTAGTGCATAACTAGTTTTGCATGCACTTTATAATCTTTGACCCGCTAAACTGCAATAGCATTGAGGGTGCTATGACTCAAATAAAGATGCACAGAAACCTTTTTGCCCAGAAGTTGTCTCTCTCTCTCGACAGTATCTATGTCGACATGTTGACGGATTGCGGTTTAAATCGAGAGGATAGTGAGTGGTCACGTCACATTACCGGCCTTCGAATTGTGTGAACGCCTAGGAACTGTCACGGGCTCCATACTATTAGATATATTTATACTTATAAAATTCTCGTGTAACAATGTCAGTTGCCATACTCCTCCGAAACGGCTTAATCATGAAATTTTTATATATATTTGGTAGGACAGAAAATCGTTTGTAATCTATTTTTCATATCTTTTTTTTATTTTTCGGAAAAATTTTGGCAAAATAACGTTTGCCGGGTCAGTCACTAGTATACATATACTATATAATCTAGTATATAAATCTATATTTGCATTTACATTTGTTAAAACAGTGATTTTACTCGCAGAATCAACATTACCCGCAGTACGCCCCACGCATGTAGGAAACGAGAGGAGTGATAAAAATATTTTTTTTTTTTTTTTTTATGCGAAAAGTTGTCAAACGAGCAGACGGTTCACCTGATGTTAAGTGAATACCGCCGCCCATGGACATCTGCTACACTCGAGGGTTTACAGATGCGTTGACAACCTTTTGAAAATTGGGCTCCGGCTACCTCACTCACCAGACGAAACGCGAAAGTATTTGTCATACTTCCACTTTACGCCGGTCTTCTGTGAGGTCGTGGTACTTACCCGGACGGGCCTGCCCATTCGTGCAACAGCCGAGGCTGCTGCGTGGCCCTACCACCGTAAAACCATGACACCACCCAGTTGGGTGTGAAATCAGGGTGGAATATCACTATTTCGCCGTCATATATATTTAATCCTCACCTCAGGACAATCGAAAACAACCCTCGATGTCTGAACGTATACAGTCAGCTTCTTCGCAACCGGCAGCAGCGTCAGCGAGAAGAGAAGGTTGCGGGAACGAGCGCGTATTAGACTCCACGGCCTCTCTTGGCCGTGCGCGTTGAAAGTGCCCACGACGCTGAAGCGCTCGGGCCAACCGTTCGGGAACACCTTCCTTGAATACATTACAACAGTCAAATGTCATTTTTGGGAACAAGAAACCAGGTGAACATACACAAATTTAATAGTAAATTTATTAAATCCATATTGTAACTCAACCCCCCTTCATTTGCATATATAATTATATAAAATTATATATATTTTTGCCCAGTTATAAGAATAAATCATATAACATCATTACGTGACCAGGATAATTTATTGATCTTTCTATAGGATCTTTCTAAAGGTAATAATTAGCCGTAGGAAATATTATTGTGATCGTCATGTTCGGTAGGACCTCATTTACGTTGTGCTTATTTAGTAACTTGATTCTTTTAGGTGTATCTTGGATAGATAAATATTCACTAGTCGTGGTATAAGCCAGAGATAATACTAGATTGCTTCTTATTAACTAACCCCGACTCGCTTGAGACGGGCTCAGAGTACATAGTATACTCCCTCTCACGCTTGTAAAGGGCTCACAATATAATTTTAAAATAATATCCCTTCTCTCTTGAAAAGGGCTCACATCAATTTTACATACCCGATACAAGTCAACAGCTCCCCCACATTTTAAAAAATGTAGGGAAGGCACACGGCTACATGAAAACACTCACCAACGCCGTGTGCGGTGAGCGCCAACCAACATATTGCGCCCCCCCCCCCCCCAGAAGAGGGACAAAAAGTTGGGGAAAGGACCGAAGTCCATTGCAAAGCTGTTTTACCAGCATAAAGAGGACTTGGCCCCTTGGCAGTGCGTAAGCACAAACTTTGACCGAAGTCGCGCATGTCAATGCGTGTAAACGTCATACAAGCCGACGACAAATCCAGTCTTCGTGAATGTACGTCAATACGGTTTTGGGCATGTGTTAAAGATCAGGCACTCTGGCCCTATGATATAATAAGCCCTCCGTAAGCGCCACCACTTTTGCCAGATCGCCGCGACTGCAGACGTGATTGTTAGTGTTTTGGCATCACCACCATTAAAAAGGTTAGCACGACATTTCGTCGCAGAGCGCGTTATGAGTCACTGCTCACCCCAAGGGTATGGTTAAAACGTTGCACGGCATCGCCGCAGCCTTGAAAGGTTTTCTCCCGCCAGCAACCATCCACATGAGGTAAACGCATATGCTCCACCAATCATTGAAATAGTCAGATATAGCCATAGTTGTGATTTTTATGTTAAGCCATCAGAAGGGTTTATAATTGGCAACATATATTTATTTGTCAGTGTCTCTGACGTTGAGTATAGTGTATTTTCGATCAAGTTGGTCTCACCCACCAGCAAGTTGCCATTATTCGTTCGAACGGTGGGAACTTTACTGAGATTCGTTAATAATGATAAAACGTATAAAGAGGTCAGACAGTCTGCAGTTCCGTCATCAGGAACCCGACTTGGACAAAACTACTGAGATGTGCATCAAACCGAGACGCAGACTCGGCCATTATGAATAGCGTCGTCTCCCAAGCAAATATCGCAAGACGCAATGTCACTAAATGCAACATGCATCAATACAACTATCGCAGGTCAACACGCCAACATACAGACAATCCGCATACTCAGCAGACATCATCACCTCGAACCTCCGTCAACCAGAATCATACGATGCAATGATATTAGGCGCAGATCACCCCGCAACTACCACAAGACGCATTACTGCATATAGCCGCACGCATCAATGTGACTATCGCGTAGGTGTCACACCCTCACACCACACTCCAATCAACTTCGGCTCCAAAGTTTAGAATATACTCGGAACACACGAAGTGTCCAAACATACTCTTTCACGATCTGAATGATAGTCGACGTATCATAGCGTAACCACTAAGACGCCAACCACCAACGGACCCCCACCCAAGCCAAGTAATAGCCAACGTATCATAGTGGAATACACTAAGACGCAAGCCACCACCAGACTCCCCAAAGTCAGATGATCAGTCGACGTATCATAGTGCAACACACTAAGACGCCAACTACCACCAGACTCTTACTATGCCGAATGACAGCCAACGTATCATAGTGATGGTCACTAAGACGCCAACTACCACCAGCTATCGATGATATGTCCACCACTGAAGACATATTCATTCATGGTTCCACGTTTACCGTAGACCATATCGTCGTACAGAAGTACCACGCAACTCCATAGTAATATGTCTTATAAAGTACCAAGTCATTCATTGCTCTTCAATATATTTATATATTTATTATTTTTTCTCTGAGCCTTCACATATTATTACTTTTATCCATTAGACCTTACTTCCATATGATATTGGTATGGGACGTTCATACAATGTACTTTCAATATACTACTAAGAGTCGCGATCGACCTCTGTACTTACATATGTGCGGTCATACAAATGTGTCCCCGCACGGTATATAATACTTCCCTTAGAAATCACTAAGTATGGAATTGTATTTAATGGACATAATAGTGATCGTATCTTGCTATATTTTTAATAAATCGCGCGGCCCCAAAACAGACGGCCGTGGTTCGTATCACGATCATTTACACACTCTTTTTTTACTTTTTTTTCGATTCCAGATCATTGCTTTCTTTACTTTTAATTTTTTGGTCGATTTGTTATTTTGTTACTTTTTCCCTTTTTTTTTAAAGTTGTTTCTTTTGTGAAAAATGCCACTTCATATTTTCTTATTATGAGGTCGGTAAGATCGAAAAATATTACGCATATTTCATTACACTATTTTGTTTTATTATTTGTATCTAAATGTAATTTCCAAAAAACGCGATTTACCAAAAAAAAAACAAACCGAGCAAAGCTCGGTCCTCCGGGTACTATACAAGAATTGCTCGTTTAAAGGATAAGCTCGTTTAAAGGATAAGATAAATGCAGCGCCGTAGTGGTTTAGCGCCACTGCATTTGCCGGTAAATTAACAACAATTGTTAATAATATATGATCAATATTATCTTATTAATTTAAATTTGATGTTTCAAACTACTCAATACAAGGTCAAGTTTAGATTGAAACAAGTATTTACAATAGTTTCTTACTTTTTACTTAAAGCACAAACGAAGGAAAAAGGAAAATACATGTAAAATGCCTCTTTTTTAATGAATGTACCTATGTAGTACAACCATGAAATGCAAATAACCTTGTCATAAAAGGAAAACAAAAATACATGAATATTAAATTAATGAACGGTCAACTTGTCTATGATTTTTATGGTAGAAAGAAAGCAAGCAAGCAGGATGTTCATCTGATTTTATAAATTTACGCCGCCTATGATCATCTACAATATAATAATAATAATAATAATCGTTTATTGCCAAGAAAAAATAGATTGTACAATAAATTTAAATGCTCAACAAAAAAAAAAGAGAATTTAAAAAGAACATTAACAATATTATATAAAGACAAAAAATTTTACAAAAATATTAAATTTACTTTATTACTTAGGGATTTAAAAAAAAAGAAAAGCTCCTTGGCAAAAGGTGGAAACTCAGCTTATGCTACAACAGACGGCATAAGGCTGACTGTGTAGCGCTGATTTTCAGTTTCCCCTGGCCCTGTTGTTGTTATAGAGCCGCGATTAAAGTTTCTATCGGTCGGTACGAACTTCGAAGAAATAAATAAGGCAAATATTCTTATAATTATTACATATCTTATATATTTACATTTTTTTTTCTTATATTTATTCTACATATTTTATTGTTACGTATAAGAGAGTGCGTGAGTGTGACGCTTCTGTGCGAGGGTGTGTGTATGTGATTGTTTGTTTGTGGAAGTATTCGTGTGTCAGTTTGCGCGTGATAGTGTGTGTTAATTTGGGATGTAGTAATTTTTGTTTGTAAAAATATCTATATAAAAATATGTGTATAATTGTAAAAATATAGCAATTCTGTTGCCGGGGTAAACGTTAGCACCCTCGCCAGATGAAATACAAAATTGTAAACACTTTGATATTTGACACTGGGCTTATGAGAAGCTGTCGTATTTATCTGGATGAATGAGCGCACTCGTGCCTCATTTAACAGCAGAAGCAGCCATGTGGCTTACAAATAATGATAAGTTAATACTAAATGTGGTCGCCGTTCGTGGTACTAACTTCAAGGGTAGCGTGAGATTGGCTCCGTCTCCGATCCGGTACGCCCTCTGCAGGTCCTGCGAGCCCTGTACCAAAGTCACTCCGGTCGCGTCCGGCTGGTCCAGGCGGTAAACCGCTATCAAGTCCACAGTATGAAAGTCCACGTCACCCGGCCTGACCGGGGAGCATGGGGCGTACGGCGAGGGTTCCTCCAGAGGTCTTGTTGTCGTAACGTTATCTGAAGTTACATACACAAATGATTACTCCCTTGGCTTCGGCGCCAGGGGTCGTGGGTTCGATTCCCACACGAGACAACTGTTTGTGTGACCCACAGTAAATTTTTTCGGATCTGCTTGTTTGTCCACGTTAAATTTATGTATTTAAAATGTCCTTACAAAACAAGATAATCTTTCAGGCTGTCGTTGGAACTTACTAACAACTACAAACTACGTACCGACAATACATATACGGATGCGTCTGTCGTCTTTTGATCCTAATGTGATGAACAGAGATAGCCCTAATGTAGACCTGGATGGGAGGCCAATGCCATCGACAACTTCACCGAAATTTTATAAGTAACCAATCGTGACCGTTGGAGTCTTGCCATCCTCCACGTGTGCAAACGGCACGAATGTGTCTTTTGCAGGTAAAATCCTTCATATCAGCTACTTCAATACTACCGTGTATTAGTGTATTTCAATCAATAATAATGCGTTAGAACTCACCGGTGGCTTTCCCATACACCGTGATCAGTACCGGTAACAACCTGAAAGAGATAAATACAAAAATAAATTAAGTTTATAAGATACTATGCACCTTACGTGACCATGAATGCTGCAAATCTTTCGAAACTTAGTGAATTTAAATTCAAAATTAGCACGATAAATTCTAAAACAGAAATTAAATTTAATTGTGTAAGTAAAGTGCTATACTTACTATGAGTAAGTGAATACTTCGTTCGCGTAATTCAGTGGTAGTGCATGGCAGAAAATTTAGTTTAGAACACGCAAGTTGGTGTACAATCGAGGTCGGATTGATGGCATGTGGTGGTATGACGCGTTGTACGGTGGTGAAATTTAGTAACAAATATTAGTCAGAACAATCCGTAAGAGCACAATCCTTGATAAATGTGATAAAAGTTTAACGAGGCGTAACATCTCTTCGGAAGCCCAGAAGTAAAAAATTTTGTCATTGTCAATTCGAGCTGCTCTTTTTTGACCTTAAAATGTTGTCATTATCAATTCGAGATGCTCTTTTTTGACCTTATTTGCGATCAAATGGAAGGACCTGGTACTAGGGTGCCCTAACCCAGAGATAACAGTATTCGTTAAGCCATTAAATACTATTTAGCTCGTGTACACCGTGGTATTAGAGGGTATACCCGTGCACTCAAGTCTGTCACGGAGACTGGTACTGTCGATGTCCCTAAATGTTCAAACACACGTGTGTCAACACGTCGTACGACGTACGTCGTCGACACGTGTACATTACATAAGCTATCCATAGTGAAGATTGATTATATTTGCCTTAATTAAAGCAGATAATCTTTTTTATAACAAAATGAATAAACCCTGTATAATTAATTACACAGGAATTATTCAGTCTTTGCATTAATAGCGTTCCATTCTTGTTGTATTTACCATCTCTTCTTAAATATATTGCCAATGTATAAAAAATATCTAATAAAAAATAACACATAAACTATCACCGACATTGATTTATTCGTTCGTCATTATTTTGATTTCACCATTGTCCCAGATTCGCGCTCTATCAAATCTCGATATTTGTCAGGTCAATAAATAATTGTCTTGCATGCGCCGGTATGCAGCCACTTTGGAGACCTTCAACCGCCAATCAGACGCGTCAAGGAATCAATTTATTTTAAATGTTCCTATCGGACAGTTTATGGAAATGCATGCGTGAGCTTATTGACATTTAGATTGAATTCATTCATGAATGACATTCGTCTCTATACCAAAGGAAAATGACGTCGCATATGAAAAAGGAACTTTTAAGTGTCCATAATAATAGAAATTTCGAAAGAGTCAGAATCCTCGCTAGAAACCTTCTAAGCCTAAGAACTTTTTTTTTAATGTTAAAAGTTTTCAAACGAGCAGACGGTTCACCTGAAGTTAAGTGAATACCGCCGCCCATAGACATCTGCTACACCCGAGGGTTGCAGATGCGCTGACAACCTTTCGAAAATTGGGCTCACTCACCAGACGAAACGCGAAAGTATTATACTTCCACTTTACGCCGGTCTTCTGTGAGGTCGTGGTACTAACCCGGACGAGCCTGCCCATTCGTATAACAGCCGAGACTGCTGCGTGGCTCTACCACCGTTATATTTGTCATATTTTTGTGCTAAATATTTCAACATATTACTATATCATTACTTAGCAAATTGAACCACACTTATCACAGCCGCAACGATAAGCCCAGGGGCATAACATTTTCCTTCTGGATTCATTGGACATAATATTTCTGCAGCAAATAGCAGGAATCTACGAAAAGACTCATGTTTGCGCCATTTACTGACTCTGACAATACTACTACTGTTCTTTTTTTTGTGTCTGTTACCAGAACTACGTCATTTATGAATCGATTTAAATATTTTACATCTCTCGTTTGATGTTATTTGTAAGATGTTGTATGCTGTAAAGTATGCATACTAGATGGCGCTAAGCATTGCTCAAAATGCAGAAGAACGAACGTAGATGTTAAAATCGCGTTGTGAAATCTTCGAACGTTTAGCTTAGTTGGTAAAGCCTTTGGGCGCCTAACTAGAAGACGCAGGTTCGAATCTCCACCGAAAGTTTTTCGTCATTTCTCAACAAAAATTTTAATTTAAAAACTATTTTACATTTTATTCGGTTTAGGTCTCCCGTGGTCCCATATTAATTTCATTGGTATTGGACCTTTGACTCAGGATACAGATCAGGGAGCTTCTCGAAATCAAATAGAAAATTATAGTGAGTGTGAGACTTGAAGTCGGTTTTAAGGTTCCGTACCCAAAGGGTAAGTCGGGACCCTATTACTAAGACTCTTCTGTCTGTCTGTTTGTCACCAGGCTGTATCTCATGAACCGTGTTAGTTAGACAGTTGAAACTTTCACAGACCATGAATTTCTATTGCCGCAATAAAAAAAATACTAAAAAATAGAATAAAAAAACATTTAAGTGGGCCTCCCATACAAAAGACATGACTTTTTTAAACGACTTCAAAAAAGGAGGTTTCTCAATTCGACCGTATATATTTTTATTTTTTTTTATGCGTGTTCGGGGATAACTTCGTCATTTATGAACCGATTTTAATGATGCTTTTTTTGTTGGAATGGAGATATCCTCAGGGTGGTACATGATAAGGAAACCCAGATCTGATGATGGCATCCCAGAGAAATCGAGCAATCCACAAATGTTATAGGCGTTGACAATGTTTTTTTAGTTTTCTGTTCGAAGTCGGTTTTTTTTTTTGTTCAAAATTATTGCCGTTTTTGTAGATAATGGGACGGTCCCTTCGTGCGCGAGTCTGACTCGAACCTGGCCGGTTTTTTTTTTGTTAATAAAAATGTTTTGTCATGAAAATCCGTGGAGATTTATCTACATTGACACCGCAATGACATTGGTATGATTGACGAATCGGTGTTTCTAGAAGTATTTCTATAACAACGCATAAGCGCTGAAGTTATATAACTTCAGCGCTTATGAAGTTACTCAAGTTACTTGTCAAATCGCGAAGCCAATAATTCGATTATTTATATGAGACACCTGGAAAATGAGCACACTCTAAATCAGCATATATAGAATGAAAAAATATTTTTTGTACTCTCTCTGCACCAAAAGAACATCCCGCCGTTTTTGTTGGTTAAAATCCAATATAAAATTTTATTGGAGCACATAGCCAGTCAAACCAAAATTATAGAAAAAAAATTCACCCACAGTTAAGTATCGATAACAACTGGTAATAAAATATGTTATTAAAATAGACGAAATAGAAGAGCTACTTTCAACTAAGACAATATTTTTTCCAAAACCATAATCGTACACCTTCGCAAAATACTGCCGACAAAATCACTTCCCTGCAAATATATGATCGAAAATGCCTTCGTACCACACAATGAAGTTTACTGTGGTGTTATTGAACCAAATTACCACTCGTAAAACGAATCAATTTCGACCGCGTATCGCTATTATGGAACAATTTTTTGTTGCCTCTCAACATGAGATTAATTCGTCGGCTCGAATGACGTACTTTTAACACTCATGCAAATAACGTGTTTTAATTTTTGCTCATTCAATTGCAGCCCTTGTTGCATTAAAATAATAAACAATTAAGGAAAGATTTCGTTTAAGAAGCAGCACAACACTAGGATTGAAAGTGTATATATTACATAATAGGAGAAAGTTCTTCCTGTTAAATTGATGCATTAAAAGTCATTGGCATAGCTTCTGTAATAAAAGACATTTTTCACATCACAATTTTTCGAACGAAAAAAAAGTTTCAATAACTAACGGTCTTTTATTCGTTAAAATTATAACGAAATAAAAATTTTTATTTCAACTTTATTGGTGATAGGGTAATTTAAAAGTTATAAAACTAAGAACTGTTGGTACGATTTATAGAATGCCTTATCAAAATCTCAAGCCTTATCAAAATCTGCAAAAAGTTTATCACTTATGCACAAAGATTAATAAAGATCACTTTTTAAAAAACCGGTAAACCAAGAATTCTTCTCTTCAGTACTCTGTTATTATTAATTTTATATTATAGTCTTCTTGACTCCATAATATACATACCGTCTAACTTGACCCAATAATTGTTATAATCCGTAAAAAATCCAGTGTATGAAGTTGTGTTCTTCTTTTTAAGCATCCTTAGATAACATACACATGCATAATCACACATACATAATCGGTAGATTATACTTATGTTTTATCATTGAATACATGTGGATGACTCCGTTGCGCATTTGCCAAGGTATTAGCTTCGGTGTCGGGGGTCGTGGGTTCGATTCCTACACGGAACAACAGTTTGTACGATCCACAGAAACTTGTTTGAAATTTATGTTTGTAAAACGTCCTTACTACACAGGATAATGTTATTCTAAAGTAAGGGCAACGTTTTTTAAAAAAAATCAAATCAATCAAATCAAACAAATGTAACAACTATTTTAATTTTTATTTTATTTGGAAAAACCACTTTAACGATAGATTTCTTTTAAATTTCTACGACTTCATTAATGCCAATTATTGTTTAACACGGCTTGTTAATATTTAACATAAGAAATATTCTAATAGGATAATTATAGTTTCCGATCGTATTTCACGAGGCGAAATTTTAATAAGACGATCAAAAGATTGTTAATTGAGGCATTTTTTTATTCATGTAACAGTTACTGTTTATTTCTCATCAGGATAAAAATAGTGCATAGCAAAAAACACGCAACCTGCTGCACAACAATGGTACATAATATTTCATTTGACAGTTTTTATGTTTCTCAATTAACTAAATTTTACTACCCAGGTTTTCAACTCACTTTGTAATATAATAATAATAAGCTTTATTCATTCCACATACCACATCATCGTCACTTTGTAATAACATCGGAAATTTTGAATATACAGTTTTTTTTTTATTTACTTCGATACATCATCGTTTATGATGTAACGTAGTAAATTTAAACAAATCTCCAAATGTCACCCTCACTTACCAGTACGACTTCATTATGACGGCAATATATTCAAATTTTAACACTAAACGGCATACTATATTCCGTTCACGGCACGTTAAGTTGACACTTGCAACACTGTTGACTGAATGACAGAAGTCCAGCTGGCTAATCAATGGTCCCGAGATTCATTTACCAGTGAGTCGGACCGCGACCATATATATCAATTAATTCGCGGCGTGACATCTTTTTAATAGCCGACAGTAATAGCTATATTGTGGTACATTGATATGCGTGAGTAACGTGTACCCGATATGCTAGAATTTCTAACAGAATAAATTAATTATAGCGTTTATTAATTATATGTATATATATATATATATATATATATATAACTAATAAATTACATTTCAAATCATAGTGTAAAATAATTTCTAACAACAAAGGGAATAGGCTACGGCTATGGTAACCATCTAGTCCTTTTTCCAATGCTATTTAACAATTATTTTTTACTATGTCATATGTGTATAGTAAAGAGAATCAATTCCGAAATTATGGTCAATTTAAAAAAGAATTGATGGGTTTAAATTTTGCAAGACTCTTCTTCTCTTCCTGTAGTCGAGATATTTACCTTTAAATATCAGTCATGTATTAAGTCTCAATGATATCAGTGGAACATGGATGGCGTCTCAAGTTATTACAGCTTTCAATTGTACGTTTTGTTACGATACCAATCCTTTTATTACGTACATTTTATGTACGGGTGAGCCTGCGGCACTCGTACACACATCACACCAATCGCTCGACGTCGATCGTCCATGTCTACCGGATCAGACAAAGAAAATACGACACTCTAGTAAGCCACGCCTGCATGTACGACAAACGAAGTCACACCATGAACACTAGGTACGCCTGCGTTCCAGGGCCGTTCTCAGCTAGCTGTGTCGGCAACTATCAGAGCTGAGTTTAGAATCTTGCTTCGATGGGACAAACCGACACTCAAAAGAATCGCAATTCAAGAACGCACGCTCGACGCAGAATTACAAGACATTCATTTTTTAAGTGTTATATCATTCATATTGCCGGAAAAGTATTGCGTTTTCAGGGTCTTCAAAAAACGAACCTCTTTCAATTACCTAATAAATATTGGACTCTACCAGCGACACTGAAACACTCACTTTGTTATTACGCATAGGTTCTGCTTATTTATTTTTTAGATATTATGATTGAATATTAAATAAAGATGAGTCTGTTCTGTAGTCTACTTTAAAATTATTTCCAAAAAGTATTCGAATTCCGTTTTTAAATAAGCTTATAAAAGTTATTTACATTCCATGATTATATAAATCAAAGAGGCTAAACAGTTCTAATTTTAAATAGTTATTGAGACCTGTTCGTTCACAGTATTGAATCAAATGTAACTAATTGCTTTACATTGTCAAGGATAAGAATATAGGGCAACAATTCTTCCTGGAACAATATGCAAGCTATTGCATGTCTTGCTTTCAATTTATTTCAAGGAAATCGGCCTATATTATCGTTCCGCAAGAAAAAATGTGAAAAAGCCTCGTGTTAAAAATCATAAAAATAGTTCTCAATCTATACAGATAAATAAAATTCTAGTGTCTGTTTGTAATATTAAAATAACCGCTTTTTACTAAATGCATATGGATGTATACACGGTACATATACCAAAATAACATATTTGTCTGTCTGAATGACATGAATGATTTTCACTGGAAGATAGCTGATGTAATAAGGAGTAACTTAGGCTACTAGTATTTAAGGTTTTTTTTTATTTTGAATTCCACGCGGACCAAGTCACGGGCACAGCTATTTAATCATAAATTCAAATAAAAAAATATCTTTATTAAAGTAATAAACGCAGTAACTTTTTAAAGAAACCAAATAAATATTTTTTGATTATAAAAAGACTTCTAGGGCCAGACTCTCCTCAAGTGCACGCCCCACGAGGCACACTCTCAAGTCGTCACTCTGCTAACTACGAGCAAAAAGTTTGCGGAATGAAACGTTAAAGAGACAAGAACTTTCCCGTATAACTAGACCTACTTGATAACTCAATTTCACTATGAATACCAAGTTTGGGCTAAATCTATTGACTCTTGTTCGAGTTATCGCCAAATCAACAAGTCAATCGAGCAGAAAATGCCAACTGTACAGAAAATTGTGTTTCAAGTTGTCATAAATATTCCTCACTAAGCTGGGGAAAACGGTGCAGATCATTATGGAAAATATTTCATATGCTTACGGGGATTCTTGCCCTCGGAAAACCATAATTTAGAAATGGCATGGTCTATTTAACCAAGTCAGAGAGACTCAATACGATGACCACTCAGATCGAACGATTGAAGGAACTTCCTCGGACAGAAAGTGGAAAACATTTTCATGAAGATACTCATTTGAAGAAGATACAATTACTAGAAATTGTTGGAGTATCATCCAGTATTATGAACAATCTTTGAACAATCATGGTCGAAGGTCAGCGGCATTTCGAAGGTCAGCGGAAGATGTGTGCACACCGCTTCAAAAGCAACAGCGCGTCGAGTGCCCGCATCAGTTTAAGGAACTCTGTAACGAAAGCCGAGGTAAGTTAAAGAACCGAATTGTTACTGGGAGCGAAACGTGGCTTATTACCTATGAGCTTGATTCAAAGCAGGAGTCAATGCAGTGGCCATAAAATAAACACATCCCCGCCTAAGACCTTCAAAATGTCGCATTCAGCCGGTAAGATCATGACCGGCCGAATGCGACATCATGATTTTTAGGATTCTGAGGGTATTTTGTTGATCGGACCGGAAAATGCTACACCTGTTTACTCGTCTGACTTAAGCCACCATCCGATCCCCTCCGACCGGATTCCCTTGTCGTGGTAGATGAGCCCACACTGGGCCGGTCTGTGGTGTAAGCCCGGCCCGACTGGGTCACTCCAAGTGGGTTCATTGAGCATTGAATGCATTCTACGAGGAACCACTGTGGTGTCGTGGAGAAAAAGTGTCAGTATTATGTGTGGCCGCTCTAACCCTGCACGGCCGAAACGTGATATGCGGCAGAGCCACAGATCAGATCTGCTGTTGAAAGCTGGGAGACTGCTTATTAACACTAGCTCTTCTGGCTCCCATAGCCTCAGTAAGCGAACTTGGGGGAGTTCATTAATTGTGCAAAAGGGTCTAGAAAGTGGCGGATCGAAATCAAATCGGAGAACAGTAAGGCAATCATGTCTAATTGTCACTCGAACTATTAACATGAAAAATATCTCACCCATCAAATTATTAGGCAAATCCATGACATGGAAAAAGACGGCCAAATCTCTAGGCGTAACGCTAGGTCTCGGGCTCATAGAATAGGATTAGGTATCCCCTGCCTGTCGTAAAAGGCGACTAAAAGGGGACACGAATGGACAGCAGCAAGAAGTGGTCTCGTGCTGCTGCAAGAGGGTGAGGGAATCGGAGGTTTATCCTTCTCCGAGGCGTGCTCAGGCGTAGTATCGAGTCAAATCTGTTGGTTAAAGCTTTCTGAATCGGACTATGCATTAACGCACACGATAAACAATTCAATTCAAGACAGAGACGCAAACTGCCCACGCTAGATGTCACTACACATAGCGTGGCGCGCTATGGATACGTTAGAAAACGTATACGTAGCTTAGCACATTCGACGACGAACGCGAGGTGCCCGATTCGCAGCCTATACACCTTGTACCATTCCGGGTCTTCATCGTGCTTTTATTGTTGTTTAATAGCTACATTACGTTCATTTGATAATCTCGTAATTAATTACGAAACTTATTTTTATATTCCGCGAAATTATTACTTTCGTAAATCTTGTGTTCTCGTAAATGATTTATGCTCATTAATTATTTATTTAAAAAAAATTGCAAACAAGCAGGCGGTTCGCCTGATGTTGATTGATTACCACCGTACATTTACATATACAACACCAGACAGATTTCAAAAGAGTTTCCAACATTAAAGAAGTACTAGGCCCCGGCTACCTCACTCACCAAAAGACAGGGATTTGCTTAACAGGGGTCCTGGAGGGCTGGATATGCATTGAAGTGGACGGCGTCGTCGAGTCGTTGTCATGCACTAACTCAGATGTTCTAGGAGTATAACGTATCTCGAGATAACAGACAATAAATAACAGTTCCTGCTCCACACAAGTTGCTCCTTAACACGCTGTCACAAGCTTTTCTTTATTCATAACTAGCTGTTGCCCTCGACTACGTCCGCGTGGAATAGGATGAAAGCGAAAAATTCAGACAGATACAGACAGATATCTATACATATAATAAAAATGTTACTTGTCTTTGTCGGTACACGGAAGATATTTGAGAAAAACTATTATTAAAGATCCTCCTTTATCAAAACAATGGTTGTTAAAATTTTTGTCCGTGTGTATATGCGTTTGTGCGCGTAATCTCGGAAACGGCTTAACCGATTTGGGTGCAACTTTCACTTATGCATTGTAGTACTTCACTTAACATTTAATGTTAGTTTTATTCAAAGCGGTTCATAAATAAAAATTTTATATCAACTTAAAAAAAAGTAATCGCTACAACTGAATTGGATGAAAATATAGTCAACTACAATTATATTATGGTCTGTAAAATGATGATGATTGTTAGATTATATAAATTTAAAAACCAGCCAAATGCGAGTCGCAATCGTGAACGAAGAGTTCCATACTATAATCTATAAAAAAGGCAATAAAATTATGTCCGTTGTATGAGAGCCCCACTTAAAAAAAAATATTCTGATTTACTTTATTTGTTGTTATAGCGTCAACAGTGAAAATTTCAACTGTCTAAATATCACAGTTTATGAGATACATGTATCAAACCGATGCTAGCAGTCTAGCTAGCATCAGTTTGTTTGAACTCACTAATCTCAGCTATTACTGATCCGATTAGAAAAATGTTTGCACTGTTAGATAGCCAATTTATTGAGGAAGGCTACTTTTTAAGCACGATATAAAATGTGGTACATACGGGCCGAACCGCGGGCGAAAAGGTAGTGTACAATAAAATATCACTTTAAATACCACATTCATAGTTTTGCCTTTTGGGAAACAATTACTATGGGTCACACAAATAATTGTCCAGTGTGAGAATCGAACCCACGCCGAAGGCAATGCCTTGACAACTGCGCAATGGTAAGTGATCTAGCGAGTGGTATTCGCGAATCAACATATAACTGACTCCAATGTGCGAGATTACGACTGTTACGTTAGAAAGAGATAAAAACTGTCACACCTTGTCACAGTTGTTAGTAACAACAACTTATTACTGATTACTGTCACTGTTACAAGCTCTTTTTTTTCTTGCATCGGTAAAATACTGTAACAGCTGTTATTATGGTAACAGTTCCACAAATTGTCACAACATAGTATTAAGTAACAAGCTGTTATTTTGTAACAGGTATTTGTCACTGTTACTTTTAAGGAACAGGAACAGGCGTAACAGGTACTCGATTTAACCTAGTATAGGTCACTCCTAATTTGTTCTGACTGAGGTCACCACAGGTGACGATTTCAAAGCCGCCGAACTATCAACAACAGCAAACTATACATAAACAAAAGAAGTATATGAAATCTTACTTACTAACTTTAAAAAATTATTTAATTATCTACACTAAGGTTCAGATTATTTGTCTTGTCTGTAATCTGCATTCCAAAACTGTCAAATTGTCGTCGACAGTCAACGTGAACGCGTTATATTATTACACTATTTTTAATAAATTCATTTATTAAAACTGAAAAATTTGATATCAAATAACAGAAAGTATTTATTTTGTTTAAATCCAAACATAATGTTTGAAAAAGTATCGAAATTTGTCCCTAATGTAACCTACATTCCAGATGCCGTTGTCGTGTCGGTTTTACCAGGAGAAATATCCTGAAGTGGAAGATGTAGTAATGGTTACTGTGAGATCTATAGCCGAGATGGGTGCATACGTCCACCTATTAGAATATAACAACATCGAGGGCATGATCTTACTGTCAGAGTTATCGAGAAGACGTATTAGGTCTATTAACAAACTCATTAGAGTTGGAAAGACTGAGCCAGTAGTAGTTATCAGAGTAGACAAAGAAAAAGGTTAGTAGTTGTAGTGAAAATTAGACTAAGAACAACTTGTAAAACATAAAAGGGAAGCAAGGAACAGGGCTTTAACTGTACATATTTAGAAATATATTTTTTATCTCTTACTGTCTCCTATGAGCGATATGTAGAGTAGTAGATTGATATTTTGTCAACAATTTAGCTTAATAAATCAAAGTTTATGTAAAAAAAAATGATGATTCCATTTTTCTAAAATTAATATATAATATAATAACAGTGATTTCCTCATATAGGTTATATAGATTTGTCTAAACGACGTGTCTCTGCAGAAGACATTGAGAAGTGCACTGAGAGATTTGCAAAAGCCAAGGCGGTTAATTCGATACTGCGACATGTTGCTGAACTGTTGCATTATGAAAGTTCAGAACAATTAGAAGAGCTGTATAAAAGAACTGCTTGGCTTTTTGAAGAAAAGTATAAAAAAAAGGCATCAGCTTTTGACTTTTTCAAACAGGCTGCAGTGTAAGTGTAATAACTTAAAATACTTGTGAAAGTAAAACTAAATACAATTTGGCATTCCACAGGTCTTATGATAAGATACCATGAAAAATAATATTAAATTTATAATTACAGTGATCCATCAGTCCTCAATGAATGTGGACTTGATGAGAAGACCAAACAAGTTTTGCTAGAAAACATCAAAAGGAAACTCACGTCACAAGCTGTAAAAATCCGAGCTGATATTGAGTGTGCCTGCTATGGGTATGAAGGTATTGACGCCGTTAAAGCTGCACTCAAAGCAGGGCTCTCATTGTCTACTGTGGAGATGCCTATCAAAATCAACTTAATTGCACCACCTCTATATGGTTTGTTGATTTAAAGTTTTTGCAATATTTATACATAATTTAACTGCTTAAACTCTTTAATTTATTTAAATTAGTGCTGAACTATTTAACCTCTACAGATAAACTGATTAAATAGTTCAGCACTAATTTTGTCTTGCTTAATTCACTCAGATTAACAGATTGTTAATGAAAATAAATCAACCACCTATGATACAATACACTTTCTTAATAAATCTATTTTTATTTTTTTCAGTGATGACCACATCAACTCCAGAGAAGACAGATGGTCTGAAAGCATTACAGGATGCCATTGATAAAATCAAAGAAACCATAACTGTGTCAGGTGGTGTGTTTAATGTACAGATGGCGGTGAGTTGTATTTGGTTATGTATATGGTAGTTGGTTTTATAAACAATGTATTATGTAAATATGTTACCTAAAAATCGAATTAATGAAACTAATTACTTTTCTATTTACTTACTTTCTTTTCAAGAAGCACAATTATAGGCATTTTGGTACTGATGTACTTATCTTCAAATGTGATAATTATCAAGCACTAGCACATTTTTGCATATAAAATCATCTGAACATACATTATTATTTATGTATGTATGAATGTCAGATTATTAAGTTACTTTGTCCGGCCATGGGTTGCTGTGGCTTGTTCTGGTAAAATAGAACAGAAAGAAAAGTGATAACAACATGTAATAAGACACAAGAGAGAAGTAAAAGATTTTATTATGTATTAAAAGCATCAAACTATCTTGCATTTCACTTGATGTTAAGTGATAACACTGCTCATGCATATCTGTAAAATGGAATTGCAAAAATGTGCCTGTTTTTTTAAGTGGTAAACGGTTACATCACTCACTATGCAAAACGAAGAAACATATAATACGATTTTTTATGTGGGTGTAGAACTTTCCCAGACGTGAGGCCCTACCAAAGATAAAAATAAAAAAACTTTTTATTGATGTGTCAAAATATCCAAGAAATTAGTAAAGAAATTTCCTGAGATTTGTGTTGAGAAGTACACATGTAGATTGTGGCTTACCTTCATAGAGTAGCCATACCATAAAGGCTACCATAGATATATTAATAATTGTTATAAATTGTTAAGTGATAACCGTCGCCCATGGACATTTACAACACTCGTAGGGTTGCAGATGCGTTCCCACCTTTTAACAAAGTGGTCTCTGTTTATCTCACTCACCAGACGAAACACAGAAGTATATCTTCTGTGAGGTTGTGATACATCCCTGGAGGGACCTACCCATTGGTGCAACAGAGAAGACTGTTGAGTGGCCCTACCATAGTTAATCACTACATCAAACAATACAAAGTTGTCCCGCTGTCTGTCTGTCCCTATGTATGCTTATGGGTTGCTAGTATTATTATAAGACCAAATAAGTCAATGTCGCCAAAAATGACCAGTTCAATTATATTGATGGAAATATATGCAATTGTTTCATCGTACCTCTGCAGCCTAAAGTGGTTACGGCGACCGACGAAGCGGAACTGGCGAGGCAAATGGAGAGGGCGGAAGCGGAGAACGCGGAGGTAGCCGGCGACTCTGCAGACGAGGGCGACGACCAAGGTAAATCAGTGTGAATCCCCCTTTCAATGTGACCTTCTTGAAGTTACACATAAATTTTGAGCCGACTTAAAAAAAGGACCTCCACAATTTGGTTATATATTTTTTATTTTGAGTTGTTACTCTACCTAATAAACTCTCTACCTCAGAACTCCGTCATTTAAAAACATGTTTATGCATTGGGTCCAGTTTAGCTCCCATGTTAATTTTATTAGTTTTGGACCTTGGAACGGAGATACATCAGGGACTTCTCAAAATCAAATAGATAATGTATTGTGAGCGAGTTGTTTTGTAACCACTTTTTCATCATCCTCAATCATGCTTTGATTGTTCTTATGTGAGAAACAATCATGATACAATGTACATATTATACAATATATTTACTTTCAATTATTATTACATTGAACTTGGGAGCAGCCAATGGATATGATATACTTTTGCAGAACTAATCATTACATACACATCATACACATCTTAATCCTCAGTGTATCCCATAGTATAATAGACTTTTTTTCCATCTAGGGTTCCCTGAACTTTTTCTTTGTCTTATAACTGGTCAAATGTCATTTCTTTCAAGAAATGAAAAAAGATTCAGTGATAGATACATATTTAGTGTAAGTTAATTTTTTACACTAGTAAACTGGACTAGTGGTTAGGAGCATAAGGCAAACCCCAATCTAATTAAGAAATTGTGACATTAAGCATAATTGAATTTGTGCTCAATGAATCATTTGAGCTTTGGATATATTCACCTAGATGGTTTAGCTGTTAGTAATCGATTATCACAGCCTTGATATTCACATAAACATTGATATTTGTAAACCGTAGGCCAACAGAATGCAAAAGTATAGACACTTCCACTTTACTTTGATCTTCTGTGAAGCTGTAATAGTTTCCCAGTCAAACTGGCGCATCCATGAAACAGGCCTTCTCAGTAACTGTATCATAGTAAAACATAATTTATTCCTATTTTTAAAAACCTGAAATGTAATTTCTTCAAGGAATGGGTGATGCTGGCGAAGAGGAGCCTCAGCAGAATGGTGCTTCCGATGAGGATGATGAAAACTGATATAATGAAGGGTGTTCCATTTTATCCAATTCACTATTGCTATTTGTATAGTAACGTCAAGAAAAACTCCAAGATTATACATAATATACTGTTTTATAATAACTTTTTTTTATTTACATTGTAATCATTCTCAACAGTCAGCATTGTTGTATATAATATATAAAAATACATAATAACAAAAATTTGTAAGGAATTTGTAAGATTTATTCTAAGATGTCTCTATACTCTCCGACACTATGAACACAAGAGACTTCTTCACAAATTTAATATTACTATAATAATAATAATAATAAGTTTATTAAAGTTCAAAGTAACAATATACATTTGAATAGAAGATTTACAGTTATCAAATTAAGAGAAACATTTGGACTGCAGCACTAGACAAAGCAAGATGTAACTTGTGGTCCTCACACTAGGCCTGGCCTGTATCGTGAGAACCCACTAGAATGTTTACATATTCGGTTTACGGTAGTGCGTGGTGAAAGCAAAAAAAAACAAAAAGTATGATTTAAAACTAATAAAAACAAAAAAATAATTATGAAAATTAAAAAAAATGAAAACTAACAAGAACATTAAACAGATATTTCAAAGCATGGTGCCTTACTGTGTGTGTGTATGTGTGTGTGCGTGTGCGTAAGCGTGTGCGTGTGTGTGTGTGTGTGTTTGTGCCTTATTGATGTATAGATAAAATATTCTCGGTTTCCTCATAAGAAATTTTCTTAGAATTGTGCTTGTTTTTTTCATGTTATGCATTTTTAGATCAAATTTTGCTGCAATTCTGTTGTAAACAAAGGGAGCTAAGAAGTATGAAAAACGTTTAGCGAAAGCTGAGTTAATTCTGGGCGTAGTAAGTCTAAATATACGCCTTTCAGACAATTTTTTGTAGTCGTAGGAACTAAGCGTCTTCTTGTGTTGCATTAGGACTGTTTTGTATATGAATAGTTGTCGTACGTTCATGACCTGAAAATCGGAGTATAGTGCATTGGTAGGGTGTTTTTTTTTTTTGTTTTTTTAATAACACCTTTAGTACTGCTCTTTGAGCGCGTTCAATTTCTTGCATTGCGGATTTACCTGCACCACCCCAGGCTGTTATGCAGTAAGTTATTATGGATTCGCAAAGTGACGTGTATACCATTCGTAAAGTACTGAGATCAGCTATATCGCGAATGCGGTGTGCAACGTGAGTAAGTTTCCGAACTCTAGAAGTCAATGAGGATATATGAGCTTTAAAAGAAAGGTTTTCGTCTAATGTTATGCCAAGATACTTTATAGCTTTTGTTTGTCCTATTTCTATACATTTGCATGATTCGAGGTTGATGCAGTTGGAGTGGATTTTTATAGAAATAGGTATTCGAGGTTGTGAGGCTTTAGTTTTATGGAAACATATAATTTTTGTTTTTTCTGTATTTAGGGTTAAGAAGTTATTGTTTAACCATTCTGAAACCTTACCCAATTCTTGTTCGGCCCTAAAGATTGTATCCGACCAAGACTCTCCATGACATATTAATACCGTGTTCGTCAGCGTAACAAACAACGTCAGATTGCTTGTCAATCGCTTCCACGATGTCATTGGTATATATAAGAAAGAGTGTTGGACCCAGAACAGTACCCTGCGGAACTCCGAAATTGATTGGCAGATTAGAGCTAATATGATTTCCAACTTTCAAACATTGATGACGATTTGTTAAGTAACTACGAAACCATTTAAGGGGTAAGCCTCTGAAACCTAGACCTTCAAGTTTGTGTAAAAAGATCGGCACAGATACGGTCTCAAAAGCCTTAGATAAGTCCAGAAATACTCCTATACAGTTTTTATTAGAATCGAGTGACTTGGAAATTGTTTCTATTACCTTTGTGACTGCGTTTTCAGTTGAATAGCCCCGCCTAAAGCCGTACTGATGCTTGGAAAGATAGTTATTAAGATTAAGATATTTAATTAATTGGTTATTAACAATATTTTCAAGAATTTTTGAGAAAAGTGATAAGAGTGAGATCGGCCTATAATTTTCAGGACATGTTCTAGGCCCACTCTTGTTTATGGGCACTACACTAGCAAGTTTCCAAGCGGTAGGAAAAATACCAGTAGAAAGACTCAAATTTAGTAGGTGTGTTAAAGGTTTCAATATCTGTGGTGCTATAATTTTCAGTAAAGTTCCGTTAATACCGTCACCGCCAGGAGCACTTCCGTTTTTGAACTGCGTAATCAATTTAGTTATTTCATATTCGTCCGTAGGTTGTAGCGAAAATGACTTTGGTGATTGAGAAATATGCTGGATATTTGAGTATTTGTATTGTGATTTTGCTGTTTTCGTCGTAGTCTTTTCTTGAATCTTTTGTGCAAGTTTTTTACCGATATTAGAAGAATAGTCGTTACAAAAATTTTGAGACTCTAATGGGTTCGATTTGCAATTTAACAGGTTAGGATTATCAGAACATTTATCACTGGAAGAACCTATGAATTTTTTAATTGACTCCCATAATTTTTTTGGATTGTTTTTGTTTTCTGAGAGCACTTGACTTTCGTAGGATATTTTGAGTCTGCGAAGCAAATCATTTATATATAATAAGCATATATTAATAAGCATTTTTATATTTTTTGTAATTGTTTTGTCTAACGGGATCCTCAGGATTAAAATAATAATAAAATTTTGAAAAAAAATATGTACTTGGTATTAGATTAACCGATTCAATGCGGATGGCTCCGCAGAGGCGCCATGTGTATCTTTTGTGTATGGCGGGTGGCGCCCGAGAGGAGCCAAAATGTTTTCCTGTAAAACTCCGCTAAAAAAGCTTTATTCAGAGGCTAGCCCTAAATGAAAGTTTCCTTATTTGTCACGTAGATTACGATACTAGTATTAGTTTCAAGATATAGCGTGAAAAAAGACATTTCAGATGTTGTAAACCTTTTCAATAGAAACAATAATTATGAAAGGTAACTTTTGTGCATGGCGGGTGGCACCCCAGAGGAGCCAATATTTGAAACCAAAAAACTGACTAATTTAAATTTATCAATAGTACATATTTCAGTGTTCTAAAAATATTAGTGTCTTTATTTATCACGTAGATCCTTTCCAGAGAAATCGCTTTAAGGTGTAGCGTGATTTCACACTCTTCGGGGATGGTAAACCATTTTAAGCGTTATTTAAATGTTATTTAATATTAAGGGTTACAAACGAATAGCACTAATCATGACAGTTAAATATTTAAAAAATATCTGTTTTCACTTTTTTGCTTTGTGGATATGCTCTTTTGCAAGTTTATGGTAATAACTAGGTAGTTTCTCGAAGTATGTCCAAATTTAACCGGACTAGTAATTGCATTCCTTAGGTATCAAGACAATGTACTTAGTTTATTTTTGGTGAGAAACAACAACAAAAACGATTCTCAGAAAAGCACTATCTTTTGTTGTTATGCTATGCAGTCATATCAAAGATGTTTTAAAGATTTTTAAGCTTTTTATTGCCCTACTGCTTATTGTTAATATGCCGTGCCGACCGACCCTTTTTATTGATGGGCTAGGGAAAGATGTTATTTAACTAAAAAACAAAAGAAGTCGGTGCCATAAATCACTTAACAAGGTTTCTCACGCGCAAATTACTTAACTATCGATGATGTTTTTTCGTTTACTTCTGTTTTGCTATTTATGGTGATCAGACGTAAGCACGTTGTGACCGTTTAATGCTCGCTTCTGAAGTCTCTTAGTTTGCCTTTTAACAACTGTGGACTGTGTATCTGGACTTCGAGATTTTGCTTCAGTGACTACCCCGGCTAGTAATTTGGACTCTGTTTTGATTCTTGACTTTACAAGGTGAGTTTTTTTAACAATGTTCTTTTTTTCTTTTCTAGTCTTTTCAATCATTGAAATTTAACATGAGCTTTTTGAAATTTAACATGAGGGACAGAGTGATTCCATGTTAGAGGAAAACCTAGATAGGGCATGTAGCACAGGTCTCGTGCTACAACGTAGTAACTCGTTAGATACGAATTTCCCAAAATATTTACAGGCGTGAATATCCACGACGGTTGTACTCGTAAATTGTTCTTTATCTTCTACCATTATATTTTCAGTAAACGTTGAAATATCTTTGGTGGATATTTCTGTGTACGTTGCACAATCTTTCGTAGGTTTTTTTGTACCTTCCGCCGCAGAATTTATTTCATCTTCATTTTCTTGACCAGGTTCCCAGTCATCATAAGTCTGGGAATTTTGTTCTAAATAAGCCTGTTCGACAAACTCGTAGTCAGTGTCACATTGCGTTTCCAGTTGTGATTCTGGGATATATTTTCTTTTTTTTGGTAATTCTAGAACAAAAAAGAATATATGTTTATATCAAGCAAAAAAAAAACTTGCTGTGAGCATTACGACGAATTTTTCTGTAACTACTTTTTGTTTAAAATAAAAAGTGCGTAAACTGAATTGTAAATCTTTTAAATTTATGTAAATAAATGTAATTAAATAAAAAATCTATCATGAATTTAAATTTTGTCGACAGACTAGAAAAGAAATAAGTATAGTTTTATAAATTCAATGAAAACTACAAAAGGTTTTACAACACCTTACATAAATGAGTCACTTACCTTCCATTTCCATTAATACACGTAGATAATCACTTTTTTATACACTAAACGAACAATAAAACCGCTTACGTTCGATTTTGGTTGGCGACTAAACTTACAGCAAGTGGAAACAACAAAAAAAGCGATACATTACAATACATGGCGGAAGGCGCCTTAGGGGAGCCATCAAAGTGCCTGGCGTTGGGCGCCCCAGAGGAGCCACGAAACATTTGTTCGTAGCCAGGCATGAAAGTTTGTCAAATAGTCCACCGCATTGAATCGGTTAAGATATATGATATCAGCATAAAATAATTGCAAGTTTTCCTACTTAAGATTCTTTTGTTAGGTTTTCCTACTTAAGTTTATTTTGTCGGAAGTTTTCCGCTTCCATAAAATCTAATATGTTCTTGTTTTTTCCTCCTAGAGTTTCTCTGCGTTTGATAATATGGGTCTATTCTACCTGGTAGAAAAAAAACACTTTTTATTGCAAAAAAGGGCAACCAGTTGGAGGCTAGCCTGATGGTAAGTGTCACCGCCGCCCGTGAACGTCTGCAACACCGCAGAGCTTGCAAATGCGTTGCCACCTTTTAGGAAAGAATTTGCTCCGTTCTTGAAGGATCCCAGGTTATAACGGTTCGAACAGACCGCCGGCGGCAGCTGGTTGCATAAAGTGTTTGTGCGAGGCAAAAACTGCCTGGAAATATTGTGTAGATGAAATGTTTGGTTTTGGCGCGATGGTCGATGGTGTAATTCAGCCGGCGGAATCAATCCAAACAATTCCTCGGAGCACTTCCCATGATATGTGCGGTAGAAGATGCAGTGATCCAACATCTCTTCACAAAGCCAAAGGATCATGCTAGTCAGATTTTCTTTAAAAGAGAGGTTCTACTTGTTTTAATAAATAGAAAATGTGACCAAAATTAATTCTTATAAAGGTGGCTTTCTATTTGCGTGGTTTTAACAAAATATGCTATGATTAAAAAGTAGGAGGAAGGGCATAGCATTAATAATAACACATAAAAATTTTAGTTTTATTTAACAATGCTATTTACAAAATTCATTCTAATTAACTAATAATTATATTTACATTAAATAACAACGTGACTATTCATTGTCTAAATTTGCCAAGTGTGATTAAAACTGTGACAAGAAGAGATGTCACTAGAAAACTGAAACATTAGTCTATATTATTATTACCAGATTAAACTTTGCGGCCATTTATTTTATGTAGTTTGCTTCGATGTATTTTATCAAAGAACAGCAATCCGGCAGCTCGTTCTATAGTTTCCGGTGGGACCTGTAGTTGTAACATTTTTTTTTAATTATATTAAAACGTGTATTAGGTTAACGATCGGTTACGCATTTCCTAAGTTATTTGCTTCGGCGCCCGTGATTGTGGGTTAAATTCCCGCCAGCGTTTCCAGATTTTGAAACCTTTTTAAATATAAAAGCGGTATTCTTTCGTCGAACACGTCATCTGAGTTTCAAAATATGTTACTTACATTAACAACAATGAAGCCGATTATTTTTTATATAAAAAAACTCTTTTTTTTTATGTGAAAAGTTGGCAAACGAGCAGTTCGGTTCACCTGATGTTAAGTGATTACCACCGCCTAGGGACATTTGCAACACGGGTTACAGATGCGTTGCCTATTAATAAATTGGGCCCTACCTACGAAACGAAGTATAACACCTAAACTTTACGCCGGTCTTCTGTGAGGTCGTGGTACCAACCTGCCCATTGTTGCGTGGCCCTGCCACAGTAATTAACTATAGTTTATTAAACTTTAGTTTTAAAAATTAATTTAACAAAAAAGACTAAAGTTTTAAAAATTAATTACTGTGGCAGGGAAGTTTTAAACTAATTGATTATTTATATTTGACAACGCATTGTACCGTTATAATGCGATGTGCAGGCCAGAGTGCATGGCCCTACCAAAGACCATAATATTAAGAGCTGGATATGTGTATCTTGCTAAAATATTCTATCATCTTATGATCTTATTAGGTAGGCAGATATAGTTATTAATGAATTTTCACAATCATCAACCATCCATTGAACGTAAGTTGTTTATTTGAACTGAAGTTGTGGAAATGAAAAACACCAGCATACCACTATGATCATCAGATTACTAAAGATTATCTGTTAGAAATGTTAAAATGTAATTTCTTTTGTAGAAAGATTTTCGGCGATGTGGGATGCGGGCCGCTTAATTAGTAAAAGCAGGTTCGAATCAAACAGCGTCGAAAATAGTCGACAAGTTTTCTACAAAAAACATCACATTTGAGTTTCATCTTTGGTGCAAACATTAGCACTAAAAATAAAATTAACCATAAATGAACATATATTTAAAACAAAGCATCTGACCATAAAAGAAGAGACGGGAGTCTCATCGGGTATCCTCTGATTGGGCATGACATATGCCTCCATGTCTAAGCTACCGTCCGCTCCTTCGCCGACCACCAGCTTGTAGAAGTGGGTGGGGACAGCTACCGTGTTGGCACCAATCACCTGGTAACGGATATACCACTTGCCGTCTGATTCCTTCCTGAGAATTTGGAATGAAATGCGAGCTCAAGCGACTTTGACTATCGCAAATAAGGACTAGAAAATTTTCCCTCTCAGCCTAAAAACCGGGTTATCAGGGGAAAATATGGTAGGTTCGGCGAAATATCTTCAATATTTGGATGTTCGAAGATAGTATTTACTTTAAGTGATGTTTTTGCTTTCAGTCCATGAACTGTTAATGCTTCATTGAACGCAAAACTTGTGGACTAGCCAGAACCTCTTTGAAGATAGTGGTATTTCTGCTGACAGTATTATAACAATTAGATTTTACTTTTAGAATCAATATTATTTATGAATAAATGCCCAACTTATTGCGACTATTATGCTGGCAAAGTTTATCAGTCAATATATATTAAGTGTTAAAGCAATTAAGTCTAAATAAATTGAATGTGTGAATGGTGTACAAATTTATTGATCCAATTACCTTGGTAGATAAAGTGGTCCTGTGCAGCAGTAAACATTTTCATAAACCTTTGTTAATTTCCTTACATGTTTCTCTAATCTGTTCCATGCGTGTCTGTTAAAGCCCTCACCAACCTGCAAGAAATATTTAAACAGATTGCATGGATAACCCAACAGTTTAAATAGTAACTACATCAAGTGTTATTACATGCCATTGTTGCAACATCACACAGCATAAATGTTTTTGACAAATTAGTTTCCAGTTTTAGCCTATTTTGTATTCTTGATTTAATGTTTGTAAAAGGCCATACAAAACTGAGTTGATACACAAACAATGCCGTTTTTTTAAATAATGCTATTTTAGCTTGGTTTTCGCAGAATTGTTATGGCTTTTTTATAACTTACAATTTAAAAAATATTATTTATTTTAAAACAATTTTTTTTTATTCACATATTTCTAGCAGTCTGCTTGCCCTATTAACATGGACCCTCTAAAGTATTCATGTATCAAATTATATGCAATAAGTTCTGTAAAATACTTTTTTATAACCATGAACAGTAATTTGTATAAATACAAAGAAATCATTGAAAAAGGAAATGAATTAAAATTAAAAAGCAATAATAAATGCTGAATACAGCAAAAGCTTTAAAATTATAATATAAGCATTTAATACATATTTAAAAATACATTACCTGTGGGGCCATATTAGTGAGATAAAATGTTTGCTCTACATGCTTCTGTGCCAATCTGTGATTGCCCGCTGCTGCCATATGCCCTCTATCAAATCCTGATCCTTTATAGTCACTATTCTGAGATCTGATTATTAAAAAAAATTCTAATTGTAATCAAATTAATAACAAAAGACAGTGGTGGACTAAGAGACTAACTTCAGAGCAAAGCTGAATACTGAATTTTAATGATGAATGAATATAATAAATTTATAGCCAATGTACCTCACCAGCCTGCTAGCCATCTCCAGAGACAAAAATCATACCATAATATTGCTCCCTTGCAAAATGAATGGAGGACAAACAAAGCAACATGCTTTCGCATTGATGAGTTTAGAAATATGGATTATGTATGAATTGGAAATCCGCAACTTATGGATTTTTAGTGCTCTTTCCACTGTTTTCCCACTCTAAAAAGTAACCTACATTATTCTCCACCTTCCTAACTACCTTCATATTAAATAACATGTTGATCCACAGTACCATTTCGATGTAAAAGTTGGACAAACATTGAATATATTTCACATTGAAATTTGGTATGACTTCAAATCAATAGCAACAACAATACAATGGCAATAGTAGCAAATGAGCAAATAAAGCTTTATTTTATAAATATTTATTGGGGTGCAAAAATGACACATAGTTATCAAATAGAAGACCTTTTTATTCTATGGGATTGGTTAGTCAATTGTATCTCTTTTAGTCATAAGCTTAGCAGCTATAGGTAAAATATTTACAAACCTAAAGAATGGATGTATGCTTTCATCTGGTTTGAAGTCACATTTACTCCTATCAACCTGGTCATTTTTTTCCACATGCGCTTTAGTCAAGTGTTCAAATACCCAATGTGGAATCCGATTACGCCGATCATAGGACAACACAAAATCATCATAGGAACGTACATTATCCATACCAGGGAAACCATACTTCATAATTTGGGACACCTAATAAGAGATTCTTTATTAATCTTAACACTTTAATAATATGAATGATACAGAACATTTCATAACAAATTAAATTAAAGTACCGTAAAGATAATGCCAAGAATAAGTGATATAAAGAATGGTAAAAAAATTAAGAAAAACTTGTATACCATACCCTAGAAGATCCACTTTCAGTATAAGGTGCTGCCGCAGAGACTGAACCGAAAATAGGTAATCCCGGCAAGTTTCGTAGTTTTTTACCATCAAGTTCTATTAAACTATCTATTAAATCATTTTTATCCCTAAAACCATGGCCTATACAATAACCGGTGAGTCCTACTGCACTGAGTTGGACAACTTGCATTAATTTCTTCGATATCATTTTCCTAAATATCGTAATTCGTACTTGGTGTCTTGTATGCAAATATTTTCTGATTTTTATGTAAATTTAAGGTTAGACCTGGTTAGGCCTATGTTTGGCAAATTGTCAACAGCAGGGTGACCGTCTCAAAAATGGCGAATCTGCCCAACACTAGCAAAAAGTCTGCCAAACACAACTCTAGAAAATGCAAAAAAATTGCCATCCTATTATATTGTATCGTTGGAGACAGTATTGTATAAATAAATGACATAGACGTTATTTCGCATGGAGCTATCTCCAGTGGTTTCGCTCTGTCGCCTGGTGGAGTACTACCAAAACATATAAGATCAGGAGATCCTTCATCCAACCCACACTCACAGATTGAGTTATCCCTGATCAAATTTATATGATAAACATATGACGGCCCTACATTAAAATACAATAATCGGGGAATCCCCATACTATATAACATGGGATGAAAGTTGCCAAATCAGAAAATAATTTACTGCCAAATAATAATAAAAGTAAATAATAAGACATAGAATACTATAAATATTCTAAATACAAGAATTAATTTATATGTTTAAATTTATTTAAAAAATAATAAAGGTTTCCTTGAAATCTGCCAAATTCTGCCACTTTTTTGAATCGTCAGCCTAATCTGCCACAACTAAAATTTAGATGTAAAATCTGCCCAAATGGAACAAATCTACCTCAAATGGTCAACAGTCAACACTTCAACAGAAACAAACTCAGGCAGGCCATAGACATACACACACAAGACACAAGTGCTTATTACCTTGCACAGACGAACTAGAAATACCTAGTTAGCCCTTTGGCTATACAATGATTTAACAAAATCGGTGAGAAAATTAACCTATATTTTTTTTTGTGGCGAGTAGTTTTCTGTTAACCCGGCAGCTTTGACAGTTTCGTCGGAAGAGGTCCGCGGGCAGACGACCTATGCAATCGGGAGAGCTGGTGCATGACGACGACACGAAGACGCCGTCCGCTCTGGTGCACTCCGCAACACCCTGATAACGAAAGATGGACAATCAACTAACAGGGGCGAGAACGACACGATCCCAGGGCCCCTTAGATAAGGGGCACTACCCAGTGGTAGGAATAAGGTTGAAATTGCGATTTAATCCCGAGACGTATACGCATCGTACTTCGTTTATGAATGAATAGTTATACAAACAATTATTCATGAGATGTGTTCATCTTTATTAAAGCAATTTTTTTCACGAAAACATCGTCTACAAAATAAAAGGTTATACATTTAATCACGCAGCGATCACGAGCGCCTATACACTTGTCATTGAATAACAGGGATAACACGACATATCGAATCAAAAACGACCAGGCAATGACCTAGCGCATTCGACGGCAAATGCTAGGTCCCAAATTCGCGACCTACACGCAATATACTACTGTTTGTCCCGCGGTTTGAGTTTTTCTTACGAGTTGGCTTGATTACGGATTTTTTGATCTGCCCAAGTGTGCACGCTAAGTGGCTTCCTACTTCAATCCCGGACTGATTCACCGATAACTTTTACTTCATCACACGGACTTGGATTTTATTTTTTCGACTTTGAATTTTAAAAAGGCAGCTGACAGAAAATGCTTTGTTGGATGTCATATCGATCCAATGGTGAGATATTCATATTAGTTAACTTTTGTATAATTATCTCTTCAAAAAATCACCACAATTAATTTGTTTGTTGACTAATCACTAAATTTAATTTAATATGTATTTATTTAATATTAACCTGTCTAGGTTAGCTATTACATATATCAAAGTAGCTAATGAGGAGATAAGATAATCATTTCTTTGCTTTTAACATAATATTACTACATGTTAATCTAATTTATAAATAGCTAAATACTAATGTTACCTATCAACTAAAGTTATAAAGTAACTTTCTGTCACTATTTTTTTATGTGAAAAGTTGCCAAACGAGCAGACGGTTCACCTGATGTTAAATAAATACCGCTGTTCATGGACATCTGCCACACCCGTGGGTTCCAGATGCGTTGACAACCTATTAAAAAATTGGGCTCCGGCCATCTCACTCACCAGACGAAACGCGAAAGTAATATACTTCCACTTTACGCCGGTCTTCTGTGAGGTCGTGGTACTTACTCGAAGGTACTTACTCGGACGAGCCTGCCCATTCGTGCAACAGCCGAGTCTGCTGCGTGGCCCTACCACCGTAATTTATATAAAGTTAATAAAATTCAGGTATTGCTTATAATCAAATTCTCAATTAAATGTTTTAATTTATAATAAAGAGCACAGTATGTACAATATAAAGTCTTCTTATTAAAAAATTCTTATGCCCATTTCTGAAACACTGATCATCGTAGAAGTTCATCAGTTGGCTCGTGAACAGCTGGCCTAGGTGACGAGCTTCGCGGTGTTCCCCATGCCTCGGACGTGATCTCGAGGATGGCCAACATCTCTTACTCTGACCGCGGTAGCGGCGCTGGTGGGTGTTAAAATATATTGAATTCATTAATTAAGCAATATAAAATACCAAAGGGTGATAAAATATGTTTACATTTAAACTTATTATTTTATTTTTTATTCTAATGATTGCTATGTAAAAAATTATTTTTTACATTTTTTTAGTATTAACATATTTATTTATAAAGTAATGTAAAAAAGGTGATTTTACATTAAGTTTTTCATTCATTCAGTTCATTCAGTTTTTGTTTGAATTTAGTCAACTTAAGTGGTTTTTTAAACGTACTTATTTTTTTTTAAATTGCTGTAGGAGTATTGTTTTAGAACTGTTGATAGCACTAGGGCTGCATTCCACTAAGCGCCCACAACGATCAAAATGCTCCTTTGGTCGTTCCACATAACGACCGCGGTCGTTGTGGTCGCGGCCAAAACGTCACTTATGACGTCATGACTAACGCTCACGCGAAGCTCACGGCGACCCATCTAAAAAGGTGGGTCGAAGTGATCGTTGAGAAAATTGGCGGCATTTTCAAAATTCAAAATGTCTAAGTTAAAAGTGTCACCGCAAAAGACATTTTAATTACATTTGAACGTAAATTAATTAAATACACCACTAATATTAAATATAAAAAATTAAATTATAATTTTTTTCAATATAAATCGGTTTAAACAATAATTATTTAACATTAAAATAAGTGCAAAGATTAGCACTATAAACATTATTTACCTCGACGCTCAAAACGCTCTATAATCCATTCCACTTGAGTTTACGGCAGTAACGTTCACAAGCAAGTGGAACGGGAATAACTGCGGTCGTGAGCGTGATCGTTGTGGGCGCTTATGGAACGCAGCCTAGATAGATACAAGTGTCAGTGTCAGTCAAATAAAACAAAAAAGTTACTGTCAAGTCAAATGTCAATTAAAATATGTTTACAAAAACTGTACATAATACTACTAATTTGTTTTAATTATAATATATATATTTATTTATTCTTTAATAAAGTTTAAAATATTACTAAGAAAAATATGACGAAAATACTATTAAATAAAATTCATGTATTAACATTTCGATTTTGTAAACACAATTACGCTACTGCAGCAAAAACTATAGCGACAATTAAAATAAAAGATAGAGAATTTCTCACCGATGAGTACACAAATGTGACTCCTAAGATTCTATCATATTTAGACCGTAATCTGCATTTAAAGATAGATAACCCTATATCGCTGGTTCGACAAAGGATTGTAAATTTTTTCTATTCTTCTTTCAAACACGGAGGTAATCCAACATTTAGTGTGTACGAAAGTCTGTGTCCTATTGTGTCTACGAAGCAGAACTTCGATGATTTGTTAATACCAGAAGATCACCCAAGTAGAGCTAAATCTGATTGCTACTACATCAACAACAAGACTTTGCTACGAGCTCATATGACTGCTCACCAGATTGAACTTCTTTGTTCAGGTCTGGATAACTTCCTTATGATTGGTGATGTATACAGGCGAGATGAAATTGACTCTACCCATTTTCCAGTTTTTCACCAAGTAATTTTATATTTTACTTCTTATAAATTCATAACTGTAATAGATGTTTTAGCCCAACTTATCCTATTATTTCGTGTAAAGTAAACAAACATACACTATTTACATAATTTTTTCCACTTAATTCAATGCATCTAAAATAATGTTATTCCATATGCTTATAAAAGTTAACTTAATTAATGTATTGCTTAATTGATATAAATTTTATCTAAACTTTTGTACTCCTATTGTAGTTTCTAAATGTTTCTCTGATTTCATTGTTCTAAAATAACATAAGCTTCAGGTTTTTGCTGAGATTATGCAAAAAAATTTCCTTACATTCTGATCAACCTAGTAAAAATTTTAATTTTAATAATAATTTTATCAAGTAATTTTTAGTTCTAAGAAATGTGTAAGGAATGAAGATTATAAGATTATCAATAAATAATAGTCATACTAAACTGTCAACCATTCATGTCCATTATTCACTTATTCAAGCATGTCTGTAATTTCTAACTTCTTTCACTTGCTGATTTCAATTAACATCAAAAAATTAGAAAGTAACTAGTGTTCAATATAAAAGTAATTTTTCTCTGTGGCCTGTCATATGTCTTAACTTATGTTAGGCTAACATGTAACTGATATTAAAAACTTTTAGGTTGATGCTGTCAGATCACAACGTAAAGAACAGCTTTTAGCCGATCACCCAGACTTAGAACTATTTGAAGCAACATTTGATCCACATACATTTAAGAATTCTATAAGTGATCCAATGAAACAAAGTTGCCACACATTAGAAGCAACAAAGCTTATGGAGGCTCAACTTAAAAATCATCTTATTGGACTTGTCAAGATTCTCTTCGGTGAAAATATTAAACACAGATGGGTTAATGCATACTTCCCATTTACACATCCATCATGGGAACTTGAAATTTACTATGAAAAAAACTGGCTGGAAGTGCTGGGCTGTGGTATTGTACGTAATGAGATACTAGTAAATGCTGGGCTGAATAATACAATAGCATATGCTTTCGGATTGGGGTTAGAAAGAATTGCCATGGCATTATACAAAATTCCAGACATTCGATTGATGTGGAGTGAAGATTCTGGTTTCATATCACAGTTTCAAAATAAGCAATTAAATGAAAAAATTATTTATAAACCAGTTTCGTCGTACCCACAGTGCATTAACGATATTTCATTCTGGCTACCACCAAATCTTACCATAGATAATTTTACTAGCAACGATTTTTATGACTTAGTGCGAAATGTTGGTGGTGATATCATAGAACAGGTAATTTAGAATATCCATTAATTTAAAAACCGACAAACTGCAAGTCTCACTCGCGAAAGAAGGGTTTTGGACCATTATCTATAAAACGGCAACCAAATCAAGTCTGTTGTATGGGAGCTCCACTTAAATATTTTTTTATTCTGTTTTGTAGTATTTCTTGTTATAACGGAAATAGAAATACATCATCTATAAAAATATCAACTGTGTAGTTAGACAGTTGATATTTTATAGTTATCACTATTCATGAGATGCCTGATGACAGATGGATAAACAGACAGCGGAGTTTTACCCTTCCTGTTTTACCCCTTGGGTACAGAACTCTAAAAACTGGTGTGTGAAATGAAATATCCCATTAAATTACCCTTTTGTCATGTATGTCACCCAATGCGTACAATGTGTGATTTAACAATTAATAGTAGATAAGTCTTACTACATTTTAGTATGATCCACCAAATTGGAGTAGGGAACTGCACATATTCCCAAAAATGTAATCACTTGAGGTTGTGTTAGTCAGTTATTTCTACCATATAAGCTGTTTCATCCAGTTATGCAATTGTCTTATTTCACTCAAAACAAAGTTATGACATTAATTGTTCTCTTTCAGGTGAAACTTAAAGATAAATTTGTGCATCCAAAGTCAAAGAAACATAGTCTTTGCTATAGCATTGTATACAGGCATTTGGAAAGAACTTTGACACAGGCAGAAGTAAATAAAGTTCACAAGATGATTGAAAGAGCAGCTGAAGGTGCTTTTAATATTGTCATCAGATAAAAGATGTTTTATAGTTTCTAGTCACAATAAAAAAGTTAACTATATTGATGTATAAATATTACTGTATTTTTACTCTGGTTCTCGGCAACCTTTTTATTTGGCTCATAAACTCAAAGCTGCAAATTACCCCGTCGCCCAGTCAAGTTGAATCTCATATGGGGACAACACACCAAAGGGTGGGGGCGAAAAACCTCGAATTATTTTATATTTATTTTATTTACTTTTCCTCTTGAAGATATCAACATTTTTGTATGCTTCTTGCTCACACACAATATTTCAGTATACTTAAATTATTAGAAGGTATTGTAAAATTATCAATTTAAATCAAAAATCAATTTTTGATTGAAATGAACACATACTTATCCCACAAACATTCTTTAAAAATATATCTATATGATATACAAAGAAAGTAATGAAATTTTCTTGGGATAAAAATGTCTTTGTTAAATCATAATTGTCTAAGTCGAAAGTGTTCTGTTCGAGATTAGAATGTATCGATATACTGAACTTTTATCGATACTTCTAAGAATCTTTCTAATATAGTCTTCATTTAGTGGGACACAACTACAAATAACTACGGTGGGGCCAAGCAATGGGCAGGTCTCCGTCCAGGGAATACCACGAACTCACACACGACTGGCGTGAAGTGTTATACTTCTGCCTTCATCTGGTGAGTGAGGTGGCCTGACCAACTTTATTAAAAGGTGGCAACGTATTTGCAAACCTACAGTTGTTGCAAATGTCCATGGGCGGCGTTTAACACTAATCATCAGGTGTACCGCCGGCTCCTTCTCACTTAAAAAAACCCTAAAGATAGTTTTAAAAAATCCGAAAAAAGATTATAATTTTACTTTTTAATTTGCACTTGACTGTGCCTGTAGTAGGTCCACGCATCAGCCTCTTTACTGAGCGGCGAAGTAAGAGTGCAATTACTTAACATCAAGTTCATTACCTGCTTGCTTGCCAACTATTCACATAAAAAAATCACATAGTTAGTTCTCTAACATAAGCTTAAACTGTATAAATGGTACTTGCAAAGTTTGTTATTGTATTGGGCGTAGAAGTCGTTTAGGAGCTAAACCAGTTATGCTAGCTAGTTAGAAGCGAGATTACAGAAACTTTCAAATGAATATTTTTCCAACCTAATTGTGTCAAATTAACCATTTGATTCGTATATTGATGTAGGGTGCAGTGGGGTAATTCCGACATAAATTTGTATGACATCACTAAGGGTCCAGTTTTCGATTAATTATTGAAAGTAGTTTTATATCTAAGACCATAATTGTTTTACATCTGTTTGCGTTACGAAAATAACTGTGTTAAATATTTACTCAATTCTTAAAATGCAATTGGGGTTTTGGATTAGAGCATTTGAAATATTAAGCTAATATTCTTTTCGTAAAAGGGATAATTACGAACTATCATGGGGTAATTCTGAAGTATTTCAAAAGTTGTATTTATTGAACTCTGGCCACAAAGTTCATATTACTTTTTCAATCGTAATTATGTGTTACACAAAATATACGCAATATTGTCCATAGAAACATTAATCTAATTTATTACAGCTTTGTTATTTCGTAATTTCCCCTGAAAGTGTGTGTGGTTCTCAAACTTTAAGTTACAATTGTAGGAAACTTTTTGTTAAGCAGTTTTGTCCACTTATTTTGTATATATTGTTGTGTATTCAGTTGGCTTTTCCAATACTTTGTATTATTTAGTAAATAATACAAAGTATTTAGTAAATAATACAAAGTATTGGAAAAACCTACATAAATAAGGAGAGGAAGATCAAATAATGTAATTTATATTTATTTAATTTATAATCTTTTTCTTCAAGATACTTTCCAGCAAATCGATATATTCTTCAATGACGAATAGATCTGTCATTTTGTTCTTACAAATTCTACCGGCTGTACTTTTTTAAAAGACAATTTATGTCGTTTCCGGAAATTAATTAACCAGGGATATTATTCTTAAATGGTGTCGGAATATTGTTTACCTGCACATATTCAGCGACATCTTCCATAGTTTAATTGTTCTGCTAATTTATTTTCTTCTATAGGTATGACGGTAGGTATTCTTGCATTAAACCTGACTGTTGCTTTATTTCTCTTAACGTATTCATGAAGAGTCGTTAAGGGGATTTTATATACTTGAGCTGCAGTGTATTAAGTTAGTTCTCCCTTTATAACTTTTTCGATCGCTTGAGCCAAATCTTGTGAAGTGTATTTTTTAATTTTCTTTCTTATGTAATTTCGGGACATGATAGATATGTAAAACAAATTTGTTAATAATGCAAATACATAAAAATAAGTTTGAGAACCACTGCTAATTACTATGTGAAAGCTAAATGGGGTTATAAGGAAAATATAATATATCGGAATAAACCCGGAAGGGTATTTCCGAAAAAAAAAAATTAATAACAATTAGAATGTTATGTTCCTCGTACATAAACGCAAAATGCGATAATCTATGTTTAAAAGGAAAACTTGTTCATGTAACTTACCAAAATTGCGAAATAAATTTATTGGGGTTATTATGAATCACGAAAAATGACGCGAAAAACACTTGTCCAAGAAAACTTACTGTCATACACATAATATTGTCACTAGCGACTTGCTACGACTGAGACGGCGTGGTTATTAAATATGCTGTCTAGCCTAACTTTGCTAGTAGGGAAATATAATTATAATTAATAGAAATTTAATTATTTCGGAATATACCCGTTTTCGGAATTACCCCACTGCACCCTACTAAAAATTACAATAAAACGACATAATTATGTTTCGATAACTTACGTACTACTTGTTTATATACAAAGTACCTGGATGACCGAGCTTTGCTTGGTATTTTTAAAAAAAGTAAACAAAATATCTGTGTAAATAATCGTGACAAGAACCGCGGCCTTCTTTTTCGGGCCGCCCAATTACCAACCAAGCTATTATTACATTTTTTTCGGCGAAATTAACCATCATATTCGAATGATATTTTTCATTCCCTGAAAATTATCCCTGATAAAACGACATTTTCTGAAAATGAAACCTAGCCAGATGGATTTTCGCCCCCGATATACGCACATACTAAATTTCATGAAGAACGCTGGAGCCGTTTCCGAGATTCCGATTATATATAAATACAAGAATTGCTCGTTTAAAGGTACAAGATTTCAACAATTTTATTTGTAATCTTATAATCTTCATTGTTACTCATGCGGTTTTATCATAATTACATCATAGATTAAGAACAATATAGTTTTAACATAATCGAATACGGTATTAATAAAATCTTAATTTCTACCTGTCCTCTTCACGTGGAATGTTTTGTCAATGATTTTTATAGTATAGTAAATCGTATGACATAAATATATATCATACTAGCGGCCCGCCCCGGCTTCGCACGGGTAACAATACGGTTAACAAAAAATTTTAAAATTAAAAATTATCATACACACACATAAAACCATCCGAATATTTCGTCTTTGGTGAATAATTTTATGAATTTCTTCATGTTTTAATGAAATACCCTTCAAATTACGTCATGAAGATCGAAAGACCGCTGACCAGATGATGGTTCCGCTTTAATTACGGGACATTCGGGGTTACACGTAAAAGTGACAAATAAGTCTGGTCTCCCATAGCTTCGGACATAAGTCATCGCATCTTTGGTTATTTAATGCAGATAACTCGGAGAACCTGTAAATGAATATGACGTTGCAGATTACGCGTTGACCGATTTTTGATGGGCAAATGTCTTGATTTAAAGCGTCTCTAAGATGAATGTTTCACCAGCCCTCAGTCTCTGGTGATCACGACATCATATGTAATTCAATCTTTTTGCCATCATATCGACAAAGTATTAAATAAAAACCAGCCAAGGCGAGTCGGACTCGCACACGAAGGGTTCCGTACCGACCTTATAAAACAGGTAGCTCTAACCATCAACCTAAATACATAAAATTGCATGCATGTCACAATTTTGTTACACACAGTACCTTGCTGAGGTATAGTCAAATATTAACTAAATTCTCCTATTACGACTATTGAGGGATATTTTAGTGGATCATACAATCGGTGTAACTCAGAGACCCTTTTAAGTTGGCCGTGTCTACCGTGCAACACTATATCTCTAGGGCCTTTTTAGAGTTCCGTACCCAAAGGGTAAAACGGGATCCTATTACTAAGACCCTGCTGTCTGTCTGTCCCTCTGTGAAGAGGCTATCACGGTTCATGTATCTCATGAACCGTGATAGTTACACAGTTGAAATTTGATCTGGGTATTTGTTTCCCAAGGAGGGTTGACGTCAGGCAGGCGGCTGGTTGTAAAAATATAGCCAAAGCCGCTTACAACATGATTCATGTTGTGGCGACCCCACCTAGGTGGGATAGGGGCAGGAGGATGATGATAACTTGTATACGAAAATACAATATATTATATATTGTCCCTCTATTTTAAAAGTTCGCGTCAAACGAAGTCATTTGAAAAAGGCTATTGTACTTTCGGATGTTGGTTAAAAATGTCCTGATGGTGAATGATTATTTGTAAAAGATTTTTTTTTTGGTTGTGGCGGCTCCTCAATATTGGAGAGACTAACTTTTCCAGAAGCACAGCATATACCATTTGGTTCATCGACCCATTTTTTGGCAGAACACTTAGAGCAGATCTTATTCATGGCATGGCGATTTGGACGGAAGACTGTTGAGCATAATGCATGAAAGCTGTTCTGCTACTGTGAACTAAACTCGATAACGAACTCTAGTTGTTGACGTTTGTTGTCTTTCTCGCTAATCTCGTGGGCGTTGGGAACGCTCAGAACTCGATTCCCTAGTGTGAATTTGTATATTTATATTATTATGCTCTTCAAGCCGCTGCAAACACTCTACTTGACTCTCTCCGACTTGTAAGATGATTTTCAGTTTCCGTTAAGAAGATTCCTCATTACGACGTATTTTTGATGCCCTCGTCTGGGAACTATTTCTAGAAAGATGAGATCTTGATCTTTTGGGCATTTTAAAATGATAAAATAAATTAAACTGCCTTTCTATTAAATAATTTGCTACCTGTTGAACAGGAATTACCAGTCTAAATGTGATTGAAAAATTATAAGAACTACTAAGTCGGTCCCTAAGCTGTTTGGATAGTTAAATTACACTATACTAACATTTTTAAACTTGCAATATGTAAGGAATGGAATGTCCGAATTTAATAATTCAAAAAGTTTTATAAAGATATTAAAACAGACTTAAATATGAAGTAATTTATTTTTATAAGGATTAATACCAAGATATAAATAAACAGCCTTTGTTGGCGGCAGCATTTCAATCAAAATTTTAAAATATAAGAACACTTATTATGGCATAACTATAATAGTTAGACATTTGCTGTCGCGACACTTTTTATAGATAATGATGTGGTCTGCAAAGTCTTAGTACATTATTTTATTCTATCATCAATAGTTTTTGCAGCGCACGCGATGTAAAGAATATTCTAGGTAATTTTTGTACACCTTGAGTAACTTTATTGGAGTTTTAGTAAGGATCCCTAATTTTTTTGAAAATATCATATAGCCTATGTCAAGCAGGGATAATGTAGCTTTTCAACAGTGTAAGAATTTTTCAAATCGGTTTAGTAGTTTCGGAGCCTATTCAATACATACAAACAATCAAATCTTTCCTCTTTATATAATAATATATATATTATAGATGATGACATTATTAAACATCACTGTTTTCTTATTATATTGGTTTTTAATATAAAATTTAAACTCTTTTGGAAGAAAGCAGTTATTGTTGAAATAGATAATACACAGGTATGCATAATTTTAAGGCTGCAATATATTTTTGCCCCGTGAGGTCACCGGCCGCTTAACTTGGTTGGTAAGAATCCCGTAGCGCCTAAATTTTTGTTCATATATCTATAAAAAATACTGTTTAAAGTTTCATCTTCAGTGCTGAAACTAGCAATAAAAAAGGGTGTTAAAAAAATGAATGATAAAAAAGTCCTTAATGAGGGAAATGTACTTTTAAAAACCCAATCCGGTCTTTCTCAGTTTTACATGATTAAACAAATGTTGAAATAATGCCTCTATTTTTTTTACAAATAATTGTTAATGTGATAATTGTGTTTACCTTGTATAATCTGATAAAAAGAATAGCAATTGTTTACGTCGAAATCCTATTAAAAATGTTTTTTTTTTTGTATGTATTATAAAGAGATGACATAAGAATAAGCATTTTAGTTGATAGTAAGTGGTAATCGTCGTCCACTGCAGTAAAACTTAACTTTTTACAAATCCCATTGACGTGTAACATAAAGAATTCAGTGAAATTAAATATATTACATTTTATCATAGTTTAATGAAACATATCACAGATAAAAAGGATTGTTTCAACTTACATTTATAATACAGGTTAAGTATAAACAAAAATCTTTAACTCGTACAATTAAATAATAACATCCTTTACTTCTATAGGTAATTTATGAATCTAAACAATTACAATAAGTTATAGTTTATATGGGTTTGAATATGAAATGCAAAATCTGTTTAATAGCCCCAAAAAAATATAACAGTATTAAGTATTGTTTTTTTATTATACACTGTCTGACAAATATTTAACACTCACTTCATTCTGTTTCATTTAAACACCTAAAATGCAATTTTCTTCATTGTCATTAATGTCTGCCGATTGATTTCTATTCCAAAAATTCATTTGGAAATTCAACCGCGACATCATAGTTTTCCACGGGCACTATTTTATGAGTTTCGCTGACAGGTCTATCGCTGCTAAATGTTGAATGCACGGAATTGCCTCTAACACGCCTTATTTTCATCGCTAGGGGTTCATCGTCGGATGAATCTGAGTCATTCTCATAAACTCGCTTTTTCGGTTTATCTTCGGTATCTTTCCGATTTTTATTTCCATCTCTGTATTTAATGGATATTTGTCCCGCTTTCTTCTTCGAATTCAATTTTCTAGATATTTTTCTGGTTTTATTTTTTAGCCTAATTTCTTTGTCATGTTCATGGGTTTTTTTCACAGTATCGTCCAAAATTTTTAATGAAATCATTGTATTTAGGTTTTTTCGTAGAAAAACAGGTCGACAAGTTTTATAAACCCTCAGTGGAATGGTCAAGTTTTCTACTTTGTTCGCAGTTTTGTGCCCGCCAACAAACGTTTTTAAAATTGAGACGTGTTGATTGTCATTTTTTTGAACAGTTGAAACATTTTCTGAGTCCTCTGTAAGGTCAATGACGGAACCAGGAACTTTTGGTTTCGTTTTCTTTCTGATCGATATTATTATTTTTTTAATTGTATTCGTACTTTTATTACTTTGTTCGCTTTGAAGCCCGACTGCGTTTTTAATCATGTTGTAGTTTAAAACTGTATTAGACGTTGACGGTACAGCTGCAGGCGATTGTATTGATGGACCTTCCTCAGAGATAATATCAGAATCTTCATGAGAAATTCCTGACATTGTCATCAAATCTGACAATATTGTTTTTCTATTAGTATCCAACTTAGTAACACAACTTTTGACAATATTACTTTCCGAGACATAATTTAACGGATGAATTTCCGTTTTCTGGTTGTTTGGCTTTTCAACGGTATATGAATGCGTACTTTCTATTAATTGGTCATTTGACTTCAAAATTACTGGACAACTATTAGAATCGTCAGTGCTTACCTGATATATAGGATCACAATTATTATCCTCTTTCGTCTTGCCACTTTGAGAAACAACAACAGTGAGAGTATTGTTCACGGAATCTGTAGTTTGTTGTAGGTTTGAAGCTGTCACTTGATTGATATCAACATGAGCACTAGGCACATTTGAGTGAGAGTTCGGGTTAGTGGCGGCAAGTTTCGAGTTCATAGTGGTGTTATCAGGGTCGGAATTAGAATTAACCTCACTTGGAACAAGACCCTCGGAAGAATATTTAACAAGTGTTGACTCATGTAGGTGTTTCTCTATTGCTGAAAGAATTGGAGGTAACTTTTCCAAGTCTGCTTGCTCAATTTTTGCATCTGGATCTAAAGCTACGCTTAATCCTTTATCCGGTAGGAGAATTAGTCTCACTCCTTTAGGTAACACCGGGTTATTGGCGTACAACTGATCTTCCGCATAACTTGTTGGTTCATCATCATCTAACAGTATGATTGGATCTGTGTTGTTATTATTCTGGTTAATAACATCTTTACCAGAGCTTATGTTTGATGAAGCAAGTACGTCAAGAGTATTTTGATGACTTACGTTCGTTTCTTCTACAACATTTTCATCGCCCAAAGACGATGTGCTATTGATCGTTTTTGTTTTCATTAATATTTCATAAGCCAAGGTTAAATTTTCAGGTTGTGCGGAGACTTCAAATTTTTTGCTTTCAATATTATCTTCCGTAAGCGAAGAGATCTTAGTTGCAGGCAATGGCTCTCCTGTCCATGTTTCGCCGTGTAAAGTTCCAAATGAAATGGGCACAACGTTTAATAAAGGTGATGGAACGGAGCAGTCATAACTTGTATAACCTTTTGTTGCATCAATAGTGATATCTTGTGTTTTAGTTGAAGAAAAAATTTCAACGCTTTCATTGTTTTTATTACTTTTGTCCGACTGATCGGTCTCCACATTAACAGACATATTTTTACACGTTGCACTTTGGTTTTTATTAAGATCATCTTGATAAATACGACTCAATAAATCTTTAGTCCGATGATCGGGTCTTATTTTCCCATACATCAGTTGGTTGACTAATAGATGGCGGCAGCAACATCTGCACAGTGGTCTCGGACACAAATGCCTAAGTCTCCTTTCGCAGTTTGAGGTGGTTTGTATCCTGTATTGGGCCCAACAACAAAAACCGCTATCCGACGCGATCGTTCGCATCGAGCTCTCGTTTACAGCTTTCAACTTCTTAACTTCAGTTAAATGGGTTTTCTGGTTTTCAACATTAGTTATTTCGACATCATCGGTAAAAATGCCAACTTCAGGTATTTTTTTAGCTGCCCCATCACTATTATCTGTAATTTCCGGCGCTTTATTGATGTTTTGCTTTTTTTTCGAGGTATAATATTTCTTTTTATTTTTTTTATTTTGAATATGAACCCCATTAAGCAAACACAGCATTTTATCTAGAGTGTCTTTTGTAATTAATGACTCATACGATGGACCGTGGGAAACACACATACTCCACGGTGGTAAAGAAGTTGGTGTTTTTATTTTTGGTATAGTGATTTTTTTTTTCACGAATCTTTTCTTATTTGGATCTTTACGAACCACATTTACGGCATCATGATTACTAGGCGGCGTATCGGGGAGAAGAGTGACACTCGCTTGATTCACTTGATTGACTAATTTTACCGGTGGTCTGTTGTCATCTATGCTAGTATTGATTGGTATCGGACTTACTTCCGCCGTGAGTAAATGCTGGTTGACTAGACGTATTTGCTCTAAGTTCGGCAACTTTACCACTTTATTTCTCTCCATTACGGTACAGCTTGGAGGTGATCTCTCTTCGATTTCTTCCGTTTTCGGTTGTAATATTTCTTGAACTTTTACTTTGCTGTTGTCAATTAAACTTTGGACGGCAATAGCCGATGGGATAACAGATGCACTATTGCTACACGCATCGATTTCCTTCTCTTTTTTTACTACTGGACTATCTGTACTTTCTAAATATAATGTATTGTTCACCAGTTTCGGTTCGAATGCTTTGTGAAGATCTATGGTTAAGGGTTTGCAAGCACTGAAAAGCAGTCTGTTTCGTTCGAAAGAGAAGAAACCAACGGTGAGTCTTTTTAATCGCGTATTGAAGTCGGGATTTTTGCACAACTGTATAGGATTATAGCTTCGGTTTTTTGGCTTTTGTAGGCGCCAACTAGTGAATTTTATCTTTGGGAACGATTCAGAATTACTTTCCGTTTCTTCTGTGGTCGATTCCGTTTTTTTGAATATTGGCTTACTTTCGGCAAGTGCACGTCCTATTACATCGTTCCCTTTAACTGTTAGGAAGCTTATATTCTTAAATGTCTCCATGTGATCGAGTTTTATAGTATACGTTATCGGAAACATTATTAGTTTAAGATCAATTTTACATTCAGTATTATTTTCGTCTTCGGATATGCTCTCTGCACTCTCCTTGGATATCAAATATTGATCTGAAAGTATAATAATTATTATTCATTAACTATTTTAGGTATAACTAAAATGATTTTTTTTTAATTTAATAAAACTAAAGCAATTGTATGAGGTTGAATATAATTTATGGTTAATAATCGACTGTGATTAGCTGTGGTAAGGCCGCGTAGCAGCCTTTTCTATTGCGCAGATATGGACAGAATTGTCCTGGGATTATCCATCGGCTTCACAAAGGCCGGCGAAGTGGAAGTATTAAGTAATTCTGCATTTCATTTGGTGAGATAGGCAATCGTGGCCGTATTTTTAAAAGGTAACAAGGAATCGGCAACCCCACGGGATTTGCAGATGGACGGTGGTTATCACTTTAAAATCAGGCGAATTGACACCTTCGCTTTCCACCTTTTCACTTAAAATAAACTTTTGTCCAGTATTCTCCAACCTTTTTTGACGTATTATAAAAAAGCGTTCGCACAGGTACAATAACTAAATATATTTTTTTCTGATAGCTCTGACTAACAAGAAATATCTTACAATCAAACTAAAATTTATTTGTGGTAGGGCCACGCAGCAGCCTCGGCTGTTGCTCGAATGGGCAGGAAAAAAATATAACAAGCCATATTTTTGTACCTGTTTCCTCTTTAATAAACTGGGATTTCGTAGTTCCTTGATATTTAACATCATTATCTTCAAGCTCGATCCCGTCATCGACAAATTCTAAATGAACCGATAGTTCATTGAAATTGCTGAGACTCCCCTTTTGTTTTTCAACTTCGCTTTTCATATCGGGGCACGCTTTAACATTATCTGCTACAATTAGATCCTCATTTACTGGAGTTTCAAAAATCTTTACATCATCATTATCATCTTCACAAGGTGTCATGTTACGTTCTTGAGCGGCCACTTGAATATTCTCACAAGCCGCTTCATTCACTTTTGAATCACTCTCCGCCATAACTACATTGCCCATTACGCTAGTAATTTTGGGTAGAAAAATTCCGTCTGTTCCTGAATCCTTCTCAATTGGTTCAAAATGATGTTCTTCTTTTTCTATTGGGATTTCCATACTTTCCAATTTTTGAATGGCATCATTTTCTAACAAGTCATCGTCGATTTCTGTCTTTACTGTTACTTCTTTGACAACTTTTGTAGAGTCAGTGTTAAGCTTTACATCGTTTGTTACTACATCATCGCTATCAGAATCTGCAGGTAGTTCAATAGTTTCCACTTGTGGCTCTACTACTATAATATCAGGATCATTATCTGGGAAAGGAAAAATGTATATAATATATGATGAATATTATTTTTGATTTAAAATTAATGACATTAAAGTTATTTTCTTTCTAACAAAAGACATGATTGGTTAGTTGTTATCTTAGCCTAACTCATTAAACGAAAGTAAAATTAGTTTTCCTACCATATCGAATTTTTAAATGGTCTGGTTAAAGAATATAAATAACATTGTGTGGTCTTAAGAAACCGCGATGCGAGTGAAACTTTTTTTCGAATCTTATACCTTTTATCTTATAACTTTTTTTCGAGGCTATATTATTAATAAAATAATTCAAAATTTAATACAAATGCAACATGGTTAGCTAATAGCGCCATGGGCACCGCCATATTGTCTTTCTCAACCGAGCGCTTTTATTCTACTCCGCGGCCGGCTCTAATGCCACATGCGATTGATGGATGAAGAATTTTAAAAAATAATTTACGTATTGATACTATTCTTTAAAGCGGAACAGTACCTGCACATGGATTTTGGTAAAAGTCTATTTTAGTGGATTCGCATCATTTTCTTCCTACTTTTCATCAGGGTGACATAATTTTCTATACATCTCAATAATTTTGTCGATATCTAAATTTGCTACGAACTCTTCACGACGAGCTAAAATCAATTGTTTATTTTCTTCATAGATTTGATTAAATCGCATTTCAGCCAGAATGTCCCTTTTTCATTACGAAATGGAATGTACAAGGTAACCAATGCACATTTATAGTCTAACATTTCATTTTCTATATCGAACTTTTACTGCATACCAAGCTACAAACTGAATCAACGAAACAGCTTCTAATTCTGCAGGTCGATTTTCGTATTTTTCGAAACAATTTTCTTTCCAAATATTGGTACATTCATCATCACGAAGCCGTCTTAATTTTTTTTTCTGTTTTTCTAATACGATGACGTTCCTGAGGCCACATTGTAGGTATGAATTCCACTTTAAGTGTTGACTTACACATTGGCTCCTTAAGGAGAAAACCATGCTGCTTCTTGACTGGACATTTCTATTGTACTTAAAATATTAACACTCATATGTCTTATCATTTCAACCAAATCTAAATTTGGATTTTCCTCCAAAAGATTCAATAGCCCTCATTGAAGATTACTGATGCCTCGATTCGATTAGTTTACATATTCCACAATGTATGCAGCACAGGAATACTCATCTTTGATGTATTGGATATCCATGTTCGATTGTAAGTGGTGAAAAATGGATTAAAGAAGTTATGCCATTTTTCACTAGGCAGGCGTTTAACGAAATCCATTGGTCGTAAAATTCCAGCGGAAAGAATTTTATGATAGTCTTCATCTGATGTTACGCTATTTTTATTATAAAACTGATCAATGTCATTGTAGTTATTATCTTCAAGATTTTTGAGTATTGTTTGATATCTTTTTTTATATTCAACATAAACGCGTTTTTCGTCATCAGTGAATTTAGCCAAAGGCTTAAGTAGTACGGTTGACCGACTGGGCATAAAAGGGGCATTAAATCTGCATTTCCATTGATTCCAATTATTTTTATAACACATAAAAGTATGATGGTGTCTGGCGAAATTAATATTTCCTGACGACTCCGTGCTAGATACTGAAATTAAATCATCGATTAGCCAAATAGTAGAGTCCATATCCACCCCAAAAGCATCTTTAGGCGCCTCATTCAGCCAAAGAAAAATATGTACATAAGATCTTCCTCTGTGTTGAAAGTCAATCCTCTTGAAATAATGTTGAACATAATGCTTGCCAAATGGGCTAATGTTTTTGTTTTGAAGAACTGTCATTATTATGTTGAAAAGTTTGTTGAAATAAATGGCGCATGTCACAGCATCTTCATTGCCGCTGCCTTGACTTTACAGTGCAGCTGATCAATTCCTGAATCAGTGATCTCCGTGCCATGTTTCAATTTATGCAATGTTTTCAAAAGCCATTTCCATGATATTTCATTGGCGCTCATCGTCAAAAATACCGTTGGCTTACCAAGTTGCCTGATCATCGCAAAATTTTTCGATTTTGCCAATATTGTACTGAATTCGGTATGGGTTTGAGAAAAGCCAAATTTGATCCATATAACCATTAAGATAAACGGAAGATAATATTTGCTCTTTCGTTATGTTCATGCCTTGTCCGACATGTTTAAAAGCAAAGCTGATGTTTTCACTCACTTGAAGTTGCATAATCTTCATGGCTAAGAAGAGCAAGTGGGGAGGAGTAACTCCTCGTCGATCAGAGCCCCGCAGTTCACTTATTGCAATCGAGTAGGCTTTACAACTAACACCATCTTTGAATTCCCGAAATTGACCGTAATAAATTGCTGGGAAAGACAATTCTTCCGCATGAGAATTTTTTCTACAACGATATTTCCAGATACGGGCTTGCCACTTTGAAAGGTAGAGGTATTATTTCCGGAACCCGACGCTGGACCCCTACTAGTACCCGGCATGGCATCTGTTATCAGCTTACTAATTCTATCCTGTGGTTCAGACTTTACTTTCGCCTGTGAAGATGACTGGAGGCCTAAATAAAATTAATTACCGGATATAAATCATTCGTTAAATTTATATTATTATTAACTAGCTGCTGCCCGCGACTACGTCTGCGAAGAATAGGCTGAAGGCATAACATTCAGCCAGGAAGACAGATATACATACAATATGTATATAAACCATAGCCTATGTCTTATTCTTGTGTATAAGCTATATTATTATAAAGTTTTATTAAAATTCATTCAGTAGTATTTGCGTGAAAGAGTAACAAACATTCATTCATACATATAAACTTTAGCCTTTATAATATTAGTATGGATTAGTAAGGAAGTATGGATACTTCATTAAATATTCATATGAAATGAATTAGAATAAATTCCAAAAACTCAAAATTAAAATTTATACATAAACAACAATATGCACTAACAGAATATTCGAATAATTCTAAAAAATCTTTATAACATTTATAAAAATTTCTTATCACGTTGTTTGTCATGATGAACTCCTTAACTACTCCTACAGTGGTAGGGCCACGCAGCAACCTCGGCTGTTGCACGAATGGGCAGGCCCGTCCGGGTAAGTACCACGACCTCACAGAAGACCGGCGTAAAGTGGAAGTATGACAAATACTTTCGCGTTTCGTCTGGTGAGTGAGGTGGCCGGAGCCCAATTTTCAAAAGGTTGTCAACGCATCTGTAACCCTCGGGTGTAGCAGATGTCCATGGGCGGCGGTATTCACTTAACATCAGGTGAACCGTCTGCTCTTTTGGCAACTTTTCACATAAAAAAAAAAAAAAAAAAAAAAAAAAACTACTGAACAGATTTTAATCAAATTTAAAATATTGTGTGCAGTTTGATCCAACTTCAGAGTTATATCATTTTATAGTCGCAATAATTTTTTATTGCACATTGTTTGTTTATTAATATATTAGTTATATAACAAAGAGTTATGCGAGTTCTAACGGATGGCGGTATTAGGTAAAATTTATCGGCTGGGTGAAGTATCCAATAGATGGCGCTATGTTAAAAGTCAAAACGTATGGACCCGGTAGTTGTCTAATAAGGATCATTGTTATCAGGTTCTAAATATTTTATTTTTTTAATTTTACTGTGTTTGAATGGGTCTTTGGATACTTTGGAAATACAATTTTTCGCGGTAGGTGGCGCTGCAATCGCGATATAGTTTTTTTTTTTTTAAAGGATTTTTCGCGTTTAGAAATGCAATTGAAACCGTTAATAAAAGATTTGGCGCAAACGAAGTTGCGCGGGCCAGCTAGTAACAGTCACTAAAAGAAATTAATTAACTCACGTAGAGCCTTTTACCTTTCCCTACAAGTACGAACTCTCTCGGCATTCTGATTCTTACGGTGTAGAGTTAATTCATCATTGGATATTTTCGAACTATTCTTGGTTTTTCCCTCATTGACCGGTTTATTTAACTCACTACGTGTAATGTTGTCCATCCCGATCAAGTAAACAAAAACATTTACATGAATACACTGATTAAAACACAAATACTTAGTACTTGCACGAATGAGTGAGAATATAAATGTTTCACGGTTATATGATGCGAGCCATGCGCGCCGCCATATTGGCCTTGACTGCTGTGCCAAACGCCTTTACTCCTACTCCACGGCCGGTTTTAATACGACATGCGATAGATGGTAGAGTTGTATAAGTAATGCTTATGATATCACTCGTTACTAAGCAATGTCACCATTACGCGAGTATGGCGAGCATCACTGTTTATCATGCATTACCTCGCGACCGCCGAATCCGAAAAGGATGTCATGCGTGTGCGAGCGAGATGATCGTGCGCCATGATGGCGCCGCCATCGGCACATTACTATTCTGCGCTCTGTGCTCGGAATATCTTATATAAATAAGATTATATTTTGACGATGTTTACTTTGTTTTCAAATTTGCCTTCATATAGTTCAAGGTTTTTTTTGGGCTGGATGAGCCACTGTTGGCCTTAGGGGCCTTCACATTTCTGACGGGCTTGCGGTGGCCTGGCGCACGGGGCGCCTAGCCTGAACCTCGGCGTATTAACATTACGCGTTATGGTGACGTGTTCAAGGTTAATTTCTTTAAGTGAGTGACACTCATTGTCATCTCTCTCATCTCTCACTCATCATTACGAATTTATTTTATTGGTATTCATTTTTACCTTCCCCTTTGTCCTTATTTATTTTTAACTTGGCCATACGATTAATTATTATAAACACAAAATAACTATAAATTAAATAATAATTTACCAAATTGCCATTATTTTTTAAATATTTATATTTAAAATATCCTATACTTATTACACTTAAATAAAATCACAATACTCTTTAATCGAGTACGTTATTGTAATGATATAGCAACATCATCATCACAGTATAGTGTTATGTCCATCTATAAAAATATACCGTACTAGGGACATACTTCCTAATGCTTTTGATTAATACCCATTACTTCAGTGAGTGAGAGTAAACATCACTACTTGTTGGAGTACTGTTTTGCGCATTTCGATGGAAAAAAAGTTTCACTTTGATAAATGTCATATTATCTCATAGTTGAACATTACATCCACTGTACCTAATATTAATTATTAATGAACTCTAAATACCTTTTTTTACCTTTCAATTTGCCACAGTATTTGACAGTAATTCGAAAGTAGTTAGTGTTATGTATAGTGTGTGATACTTCTGCGTTTCGTCTGGTGAGTGAGGTAAATGGGGCCCACTTTATTGAACGGTGAGAAAGCATTTCTAACCCAACGGATGTTGCAAATGTCCACGGGCGACGGTTATCACTTAACATCAGGTGTACCGCCAGTACACTTGCCATTATGATAAATAAAAAAAAGTGACACAAACCACGCTTGAATTTTATTTTAAATTATGGTTTCATCTCATTCACTAATGTTAAGAGTTCATTTTAAAACGCCTGATTTTCACACTCATATATCGTTACAAATAAAAAAAATTTAAATTTTGTTATATTACCAAAATAAAAAAATGGGTGCGTGTACTTACGTACGTGCGTGAGAAGTTATACTTCTTTGGCACCATTAAATAATTAATAACAATAAAATAATAAAGACTGGAAAAGAATATAAATAATAATATTATGAAAGCGCCATCTACATTCTTTATTGAAAACTGTCACGGGCGAACAGTGTAATTGAGAATATGTTGCAAGGTGTGACTTTTACTTTTATAATTTTATTACTATTTATAATATCATTAAAAACTATATTTTAATGATGCCAATGAAGTATAACTTCAAGATCTTACATTTTTAATTAACTTACCAGTATTAAAAGTTTCTTTAATTTTCTTCCTTTCCTGAAAAGGACAATAATATTTGGTTAAACAGTAATTAAATATAACCTTAAAAATTATATTGATAAAGCAGAAAATTTTATAATACTTTACAAGCATTTAAAAAAGCACAGTGCCGTGGATCAAACGTTTTTCTAGGTTCGAGGGTCGGGAAACTTTGTGACGTGAAACATAGTAGATGATAGTTTTATCGATATAGCGTTAGCGTTGTTCATTGATATCGATATTTGACACACTTGTAAGTATGTTTTTTAACTTGTAAGTGCGTTTAGGAGATGACTGTACTATCGTTTACTTCCCAGCCATATTCCTCATATGACAACTACTTGAACGAGTGAAAAATTAATTGGTAATTTTATGTAAGAATATTTCAGAATTAGTAAAACTAACTAAAATCCAAATACAGTTAACGAGAAATCAGACAGACTTTTTTTTAAAGAGAAAGAGCTCCTTATCGTTTTTATAATTTATGGGCTAAAATTAACAAAAACTTACGAACGCGCCAGCTGGAACAACCATCTTGTTGCTTAACAATTCTTCCCATTGCTCAAACGGTTGCGTAATTAGAGTTTTATACCTGAAATGATATCATGTCGTGTATTCGAAGCCGATAATCACATTATGAAAGAGGTAAAGACATACACTTTTATAACAAACTTCCATGCTTTTCTAAATATGGTCATCTAAAAGTATTAACTCTTTATCGTATCGGAGGTCGGAGAGAGGGGGAAGCCACACATCTTGAAGAAAGACCGGACATTTTGGATAGTCACCCTCTGGATCACTGTATTTGTCTGGGCAACGGTTCATTGAACCGTTCCAAAGTCGGGGTGACGCCTTAATATCTTGCGAATCTGTAGTCGCTGAGGATACCTTAGCTCTGTGCTTCCTAATGGAGGTCTGTTTTATTCACTGCTAACCGTACCAAGCCGCTATATTAGGTATACAATGAGCCAAATTATACACAGGAAGCCTATATAAATAGTGTAGAAAGTTATGTAATGAAATTGGTATAATAATATCAAAACAAATATCAAAAAGCATTAAAAACGGGGATAGAACCCGGGATTATTGCGCCTTGAGGTCATCGCCCTCTTAGCTTATCTGGTAAAGTGCCTGGTTCGAATTCCGCTTCGCCAAAACTTTTAATCAATTTATCTAGAAAAATATAAATTTTTAGTACAGTATTCTAGTAACCAAGGGATAAAACAGACATAAAATATGCGATAATTTCGGCGATATTCCTATTGAAGAATTTATCACAAAGTAATCTCAACCTGTTTTGTCTATTACATTTATATTTATGCAATACTTAGAAGACACATTGCCTATAGTCGTGGGGAGAGTAGGCATATAAGTAGCATAATATGCCGGCACCAATGAATCTGTTATTTTCAATTTTAGGGCTGGCTTATAACGTACTCAGCGGTGAAGGAATAATAACAAAAAAGGAATATTTAGAAAATATGTAAGTCCGCCAATCAACAGTGAGGTTAAACATATTGAGACATAGTCCTTAAAAGCCCTAATAACATCTGTAGATAGCAAGCATTTGCTCAGGAATGGGACGTATTGACGTATAAAGGCTGTTCTTTTTTACTTTTTACTAGGTCATTGTTATTGAACTGCAATTTATTTATAATGTCATTAATAATTGCCGTGCACTACCAGAAACATTTAAATTTAAAAAGACGCGACTTATAAATCTAATATATAAAATTCTCGTGTCACGGTGTTTGTAATTGAACTCCTACGAATCGTGAAATTTTGTGTGCATATCGGCCAGGGTGGAGAATCGGATAACATCTATTTTACCACCCCCCTAAATGTTAAGGATGGTCCACCCCAAACATTTTTTTCTACCCTACAAATAATTTATATGGCAAAACAACGTTTGCCAGGACAGCTAGTATTATATATATGCGTAGAAATTATTATTTTGTTGCAATGTATTTTTTCATTTTTATTTTTAATGATTCTTCTTTAATTCTCCACTGCAGTTGATGAAAGTTAAAATACGTTGTTTTTCAGTTTTTTTACGTGAACGTTTAACTTTTAATAATGCATCACCTAGGCTCACATGGATAAAATGCAAAAGCAGTCATAGTTTTCACAACTGCAATCAGTTGCAAAAACATCTTTTGCCAATTTGCCCCTTCTTGGTTCTATCATTACTTCTTTTAAATGCCCTAGAAGAGAACTGTGCGTTATGAAACATATTTTTCTTCTAAACGACGGGCGCTATGAACTTGACAGGCGATTGCGATTATCTTTAAGTAAGTACAGTCTTATATCTTGTATCTTGTATTAACTGATGTTTTTGCTTTCAGTCCCGAGACTATTAAAGCTTCATCTGACGCAGAACCGGTGGGCTAGCCAGAACCCACGGGTTTGGGCCCTCCGCTGTGGGTAGGGCCACGCATGTGCTCATGCGTGCGTTTAAGTATGGTGTCTCATCTAAGGGCCATCGAGGTAGCGATCACCTTAATTAAATTTTTATTTAATACTTTTACTTTTAGCGTTAGTTAAATTGTGTAGTCGGCCGGAGACGAACGCGGCTCTATTGCGAACGTTATTAATGTGCGTAGTAAATGACATACGCGAGTCGAAAGTGACTCCTAAGTATTTGACCTTTTTCTCTTAGGGAAGCGGTTGGCCATAAAGGATTGCCCCAACTTTCTGCATTGACGAGGGCCATTATAAAGATGTGACGGGTAAATACTTCGTGTGAAGTGAATCGCCACACTCTTTTCGAGATTTACTTCTATTCTCCATTTGCGGAACAAATCGCCGAGGCGGTCGGCGGCGCTTTGGGCGTCGAGTGGTTAGTTGTCTAAGGTTGCGGTCTGAATAAAAGAGCGCCGTGTCATCCGCGAACAGCGCGAGATTGACGTGAAGGTCTTTAGGTATATCGCTCGTGTAGAGCATAAAGAGCAAAGCTCACCTTTGCTCTTGCGGCCGGCGTACCACAAGGCAGGAGCCTTGTGGTACGCCGGCCGTGAGGCGGCGGCTTGTGGAGAGGGTGCCTTCGACTCGATATCAGAAAGGAGCGGTTCGACAGGAAGGCCCGGATGGTGTGTACGAGCCTATCCGGCACTTTTATTGTGTACAGCTTGTAAACAAACCGTTGTGCCAGACCTTGTCGAATGCTTTTGCGACATCGAAGAAAAGAGCCCCTTTACTAATATGTTTAGGGTGATTTAGGCCTTTTAGGATATGTTCCGTTAGGCGGAATAGTTGATCGGGACAGGAATGTCCAGCTCGAAAACACATGCTCATTGAGCCTGTTTAATAAAAGCCGCTCGAGAGCTTCCCGAAGCAACTGAGGAGGCTGACGGGACGATAACTAGAGGGCTGGTTGGCTGGTTTATTCGGCTTACGAATGCCGATAATCGTGGCTTCTCTCCAGTCGGCCGGAAAGGAGCAACTGGAGAGTAAAGTAATGTAAATGGTCGTCAGGAAACAGATAAGTGGCCCAGGGAGAGCTTTAAGAATTTTGTTACTAATATTATCTGGGCCCGGGGCGGATTTGGGTTTTAAGTTTTTAATAATATCTTGGACCTCTTCGGGGGTCATTGAACTCAAAGGATCGTCTTCCTGTGGAAGCGCAGCCCTGATCTCGATTACGCGGTCCACCTCCGTTAGTTTGGCTGTATCAATGTGTTCGTTCGGAGTCATGTAGGGCTACTAAAGCGCTATTAGGTCTAACTAACGGCGGTAGAGATTCGCGGGGTCTGCTTTCAGACTGCGGGCCAACCGCCAGTAGGCGATGTGCGAAGGCCCGATGTCCTCTAGGAGAGTGTCCCACGTTGTATGTCGGTGTTCCGATACACGATCTTTGACTTCTAACTGAAGGCGTCGAAGTAGGGTTCGGTTCGATTCCGTTCGGTATCGGTCGAAAGCGAGTTTGGCTGCATTTTTCTGCCTAATTAGAGAAGGCACGTTGGGTTCGTTCGCGGCGGCAGAAGTCGACGCGACGGGCGTTACTAGTGTCGCAGAAGGCGACTCATTAGCTGGCGCAGAGGACATCGGAGATGACGGCGAGGCGACTGCCGGTGAAGCCGGGTTGTCGCTAGCGTATTCGACGACTAGGCGTTTCTCCGCGGCTAAGGCGAGAAAGCTGCGCCACATTTCGGGGCATCGTTCGCGAATGAATTCCTCTAAGAAGGAACTCATAACGGCGCTTGAGCCTTTGGGGCTTTAAATTGCAACTGAAGTTGCGAGTAGCGTGTAATTTGGGTGGCATGAGCCCTCCGTCTTAGAAAGAGGTCCGAAAAAAGTTATTCTTAAGCCAAAGTTGATTACCTTTTGCACCTTTTTTGCAGTTTATGCGCTATTTGACAATTTGCGACCAATTCTTTTTCATACGTTTTAATTACATAGGGAGTATTCACCACCTATCATGCGTCTAAATCAAGGCTATTTTTCCTAGTATTGTAAAAAAAAATGAAAAATATTTTTATTACAGCAAAATATAAAACACAGTTGTTATGGAAAATAAAAAACTAATAGATAAAGGAATTTCCAACAGCATTTTTTATAATATAGTCTTGGAAGTTGTGGAAATGTTGATTGCGATCGCCTTTTGTTTTTTGATCTGTTTCAACTTAAGGCGCTGTATGCAGTAAAAATAGGTTTTTCAAAAGATTTTTTAGCAAAATCTACACATTTTATAGCAGCAAAAAAAAATATATGTCAATCTTGATCGTACGTTCTAAGGGAACATTGTTTCCAAAACATATTCTCGGTATATTTTCTCGATAAAGAAAAATCACGAAACTACCTCTAAAAGAGAAATTCAAAACCAAAAGTGAACGTAATACATCAACAAATCTTAATGAAATTAATACAAGTGGTGTAGAATATATTAATAAAAAGGATTTTTGTTTTAATTTGTTGATTGATGTAAGATATTTCTAAATATTAATTTAATTCATTAAAATTAATTCGAACGCGACGGCCAAAACACCGCGCCACCGCGGCGTTGTTTCGGCTCTCTTCCAACTCCACACGTTGAACAGAGAGCGCTGAGGCGCCTTTTTAGGAGTTAAATTTTATTCACATTTTCGACAAAAACTTCACAAAACAACTTATTTAAAAAAAATTCAGTGCCGTGCTGCTTTGGATGACGTCAGGCCAAGGCCCTATGTGTCTGGTATGAATATTTTATGTATTCTAATAATTTTTTTTAATATTGTTTTGATTTTATTCTTAACATATTTATTTCAAATTAATTATGTTATATTTGATGTTCTTGACCATGGTTTATTTTATCAGGTAATTATTTTCCGCCTTTTTCTATAATATAAAAAAAATCCTGATTTTAAATTTAGAAATTTTTATTTGAATTTAATAAATTTTTCGGTTTTCGAATTGTTTTAGGAGTATTATTTTTGAACAGTTTGTAACACTGTGTAAAGGACCATCATTCTATAGGGATTGGGTTCAAATCCCTACATTTTTCTTTGTTATATTTTTTGGTGATTTTCTTTTTGTACGTATTTTTTTTTTAATTTACCATTTAATTTTTGTTGATTTTTTTATTTTTATACGAAATATTATTGTATTTGTTGAACG